TGTTTTGTGATACTCTGTCAACTTCTGAAGATGTCAAAAGCACAAATGTCCTTGTGTTATCATTATGTGTGAGATCTGATAGAAACAGAAGACATGAGCTGAGACAGAGCACTGACTTTCAGTCTGTACAACTTAAAGTGTATCTGTTCATTACCTTGGAGGAAATCCATTATCTGATAACAATGCTGTCTAATCTATGTTGCCAGTCCTTAAGCTAACTGAGTTGTGAAGTGAACACAATAGTCAATGAAATACAATGATGTGCATCATTGTCAGAGAAAAAATGGAAAAACAGCAGTTTAACTGGTCTCTTAAAGTCTGTCGCACCACGGTGGCGTCTTCCTTGGTGTAAATCACAGTCATGGCTGTAAATGCCCGACTGGCGACTCTTTGATCACAGTGCAAAAAATGGGAGAGAGGCTGTCTACGTTTTGCTGGTGAGCTGCACCCCAGGTGTTTCCAGGTCATTTTTTTCCAACTGAACCGAAGAGCACCTTTGTGGGAATTTAGAAGACAACATTGACTGCCGACTGAATACAACACTACGCACAGTAGTGGTTGCAAACATGTCATTTTCAAATGCATTTTTTAATTTGGGACACACACACACACACACACACACACACACACACACACACACACACACACACACACACACACACCACACACACCACACACACTCTCTGTGTGTGGTTGGGGAAACAGCACACTAAAAAAAAGCTGATAGCTCTTCAGCAGGTACATGCCACCTCACCCTGCTCTTTGATAAGCACAGACACTTCCCTTTAACAAGGGACTGACAAACACACACACAAACACACACACACACACACACACACACACACACACACACACACACACACACACACACACACACACACACACACACACACTCGACCACCCCTCTCTCAGCCCTGTCACACAGTTATCCTTTGTAGCTGTGTCCAAACCAAGCTAGCAGCTTTGAAAATACATCATTTTGGTCTTCAGTCCACATTTAGCTAGTGTTTTTCCACACACACCAATGGAGTATTTCAGTAAGTCCTCTCCAGCTTTCTATTGACTCTCAAAATGGAGAGCAGCAGACCCATAGAAAGGTAGCAAAGCTGTTTCTGATCAATTCATTAAAAGCTGCTGGGTGTGATGCTTTTGTTGTTTGCTGACTGAAAGAAGAAGAATGAAGAGATTTAACTGTTGTTCAGAAGTTTCACTATGGATGGCTAACACTACCTGAAATTCTTGAATCTTGAATCTTGAAAATATTGATGTGGATGCAAGTTTTCTCATGTTTACAACATTTTTAGATGAATCCGCCTTGGCCTGTGTGTCTACTTTATCTGTATGATTATGCATGTGTGCAAAAGATAAAGAGATCTAGACTTAATGAAAGAGGGAGAACTATGCTCACACCCAGAAGATGAGTAAGATGCCTCACAGAAGCCTTAAATAGTTCAAATGAGTCCCAGTATCTCTTTAGCATGTATCCGTCAGAAGGAACAGGATGTGTGTGTGTGTGTGTGTGTGTGTGTGTGTGTGTGTGTGTGTGTGTGTGTGTGTGTGTGTGTGTGTTTCTCTGTGAGAGAGTTTACAGGACACAAATTAGCAGCATGGAGTCTTGTCATGCGTCTTCTGTGAGAGAGTTGGCAGTTTAACTGGCCTCCTGAGCTTCTTACCTCTTCCAAGATGTCCACATGATTATCATACATGTCTAATATGCCAGGGTTCAAAACAAGCCTCTAGTCACTTTGACCAATTTTTAGACTGAAATTATGCCTGGGTTATGTGAGATAAAAATAAAACCCTGTCCGGGGTAATTTTATACAACCTTAAGAACAACATACATATTCCTTTAAACTTGTTCACACAGCGGCACATCCTGCACTGATAATGTCACAGTGGGCATGTGTGTGTGATCAAACCTGTCATCATTGGACTGGAAAGATGTCTCAAACAGCAGTTAAACAATGTGACAATGAACCGCTCCATTGAAAACATTGGAACATTTTTTCACAAACAGTAAAAAGAGAACCATTTATTGTGCGGGCATGTTTGTGAGAAAAGGTCACATTTCCACACCAGCAATTCAGTTTGACAAAGAAAATGCCTGTCATAACAGTAGACTGATCATTCCTGTGGTTTTTCATGTTTTAGCCCATTAGTTAAGAATCTCATGTAATTTGCATGAGGGCCAAACATTTTCCAAAGCGTACCGTAAGTTTCAGACTGATTTTCTACCCTCCAGGCATCCATTTAACAGTTCACTTGTTTGATGCAGTTGCTTGAAGGACAGATTTATTGTCTTTGCTGATGCATTTAAGACACTCTGACATGCAAGATAGGTGAGTGTACTGTCGAACAGCAACTTTTTAATGCAATCAACGATGAAATTTACATTATCATTGGACACAACAATATAAAACAGAATCCATGTTGGTTTTTGTTTGACAACATAGCTTGTGCAACGGTTTTTGGCAGTTGGCAGATTTCAGATGATGTTGGAGCTCCTGTGATTCCTTTCTCAGCTGCATTTGGTTAAACCAAATCAAGAAGATTTAAAGTACTTTCTGTGATGTATTACCTATCTCAAAAGCACCAATGAACGTGAACCAGCTGCTGCAGATCTAAAAACTTATGATGTGCTCTGGAAAACAGTTGACTTTAATAAAGTATTCAGTAATGGGCTAAAACTTGCAAAGCCTGCGGTATGTTCCTTTAATGTGCACCGTGGATTTGTAGTATGAATGTCTGTGTGTATTAGGGGGTTAGTTACAGGATCATCTCCTACCGTCAATGAGGTGTGAACCCCAGACTTCTCACGTCCCACCAACCCCCACCTTTACACCAGCCCAGGTGTCAAAGCCCCCACCGAGGTGACACTTATCACTGGTCTGGGAAAGAGCTGCTCTGCAACAACACACACAAAGACACACAGATACCACAGGATGACTTGGGTTGGAAAATGTCTCTCCTTCTCACCAGATATTGAGGTCTATAGATTATCAGGTCTAGACAAGAATGATAAAATGAGTGTGTTTCCTTGACTATGCAGAGATTTGGTAACAGTGAGAGTAGCACTGATTCTGGGATTGTCTTTTAGGTTTTCCAACTGTCTCAAGTCCGTCTATTAAACTGCCCTTTGAAAGATTTCGGCTCTACTCTTCACTGATCTGCATTATCTGGCTCACTAGCTGGCTCAGCATGTCGGGCCTCGTCTCGAATACTAACACCGACACACACTCACTCACAGATTTATCTATGACTACCTGCCCGGGGTCTGTTTTTAGGCAGTGTATCTTGCCCTGTTCTCCCTCCTCCTTTCCTCTGAAGATAAATGTGTCACTCACGCTGCAGAGGATGTGTGTGTGTATGTGTGTGGAGACGATTTGGGATGTTGAGTCACCAACTAAGGGCAGATAACACAGCAGACAGACAAACACCCAAAACCATTCATTTTTGTCTAATTCATGTCAGACTTACTAAATACACACAAAATAAACAGTTATACTTTGTTATTATGACCTCAATAGCAACTTTTGTTTGAGTTGTGCAGGTTCACCACGCAACAGAATACTTCAACAGGACATAGAGGACAAACACGACTACAGAATATAAACATTTGTGGAGGACAGTAGCCAAATGGTTGCAGAAGTGACCCTGCGACCAGAGGGTCAGTGGTTCAGATTCCTGGACTGCCTGGAAAGTGACTGAGACACAACAACTGCCATCAAGAAGGTGCTACACTACCAGTCACTGCAGATGCTAAGATGCTGCAGACAACATGCAACTGTCAAGTGTTGTCAACCCCGCTTGTAGCTCTGCTGCTCTGGGCTGCTTTCAAATGATTTTTGCTGATTGTTTTGGTGTGTGGGACAGTCTGGTGGAGGCCCTGTGGCTCCCTCTAGGCAAACTGTTTGCATACATGTTAGCAAAATGTGCATGATATGTTCATATGGTGTGTCAAAGCTTGTTGCTGTGAGTTTGTTGTGGAGCCAACTTTGTGCCAGCTTGACTACAAACTATTCTGTATTATCTCAAAAACAATTGCTAAATCTAAGCTTCTATTAAACATCCCAAACAACCTCAGTTATTATATTAGATTAGGATATTGTGTGTCTCTTGAGGTCTCACATACATACAACAATGGTTACATTTCTTCTAAAAAATGATCATCTTGTGTGTCTGGCCTTCATTTTTAACTGGAAAGCAGCTGAGTTTTTCCAACCTGGTATTTTATCGCTATATGATTTATTTCTATTCACCTGACAAACAGAAGCCATGCAGCTTTCCTTTGCTGCTGCTGCCAAATGGTTTCCCTGATGAGCTCTGGAGTCACATAAAGTGGGAAAACTTGTTGCTGCAGCTCATGAAGGAAGATAAAGGCTCCGCTGCTCTCTTGTGGTTCCCTACTGTCTGCTGACAGGCAGTCTGCCACCGTCACTGCAGGAGTAAGATGCTGGGCTGCTGAAAATGTTCATGTGTTAGCGGGTTCAGTTGCCTAATATGCCAACACAGGAAAAGCACATTTTCTCAGAACAGGGATATCACCTCCCTCTGTGTTCATTTTTTCGTTTACTATCTGAAAGCAGACTTTTATACAGTCTGAACTGCAAAGATTTCTCTATAAAATTAGTTTTTCCTTTGTCTGGAAGCAAGACTGGAGTGGTGTTTTACAAAGTTTCACTGTTGCTCTCTTTTTGGAGATGGTTCAAATATTCATCCCAGTGTTTACCCAAACGTCCTAATAGAGGTTTTGTGAAGCTTTTATTGCAGGATTTCTTCTTCTTCTTCTTCTTCTTCTTCTTCTTCTTCTTCTTCTTCAGTGCCTTCATCCCATTTTTAATTCTCAAAATTTTTGTGACCTCTGCAATTACAGAGCCGTCATTTTGTCATGTGAAATACAGTCTAGAGCAAAAAAGGAGCCACAGACAAACTGTACAGGGAACTACAGAGATAGTCATATACTGTATTAAAACAAATCAAACAAATATAAATACCTCAACAGAGATCTACTATGATGTCTGCACAATAAACATGAAAAAGGAGGCACCATCAGTTTTTAAATAAAGGCTGTGACTGTTTGTCCTAAGTTGTTTCTCTGTCAGCAACAAGACGACAACGCTGTTTGTGAGTCAGAATGGAATAAAACTGTTAAGTATCGCTTGTGCTGTCTATATAATTTGTGTTTTCCCATTAAATGAAGGTGTCTTGACTTTCTGGATCCCAGTAATAACAGATTGCCACCTCTTGTAGACCCTGTGTAAGTAGTCTAGTCAGTTGTACTGTAATTGTCACTGCAACTGGGTGTGCCATCACTTGTGACATCCCTGTGATAATAACTGATGTCCTTGTAATTGGTGTTATCCATTGTGCTGTCCCTGTAATCTGTCCTGTCCCACACGAGGGATCCTCCAGGTGACACTTTGACTGCCTCCAGCAGAGACGACGTCCCAAGTCGCCGTCGTGGCCTTCACATGTAAATGAAATCAGATGCAGTGATGTAAGTATTCATCACACCTGCCCAGAGTCTCCACTTGGTTAACATTTAAAAACTATTCAAATTAGCCTTCATTTAAATTCTGGCCTTTGATGATCATACATCGAGAGCAACGTAAAACAGTAGTCAAAATCCTTGTATGTGTGCACATACCTGGGCCAAGAAAAGTCATTGTGATATGTTATCCCAAACCAGATGATCATAAACTCAGTGTAATGGACTGCTAACTATCTAAATATAAATGAATAAAATATGGGTTAGTACAGACAGGGTTTACATTTCAATTCATTCATAACTGTGGCTATTTTAATACAAATATAATACATAAAAAGTCAACTTATATCTTTCATAAGAGGGACACTCTTGACAGCAGCTTACACATAGAATAAACCATGCAACTGCACACTGCACTCTTATGATTTATTATGATCTTTTGGCAAACAATTGGATTTTTCAAGGATTTTTACTTTATGTATACAAAACATGCAGTTAAAAAGCCATCCAGCACCTGATAGCAATTATGTTAATTATGAAGTTTGTACCATAACCAGCACTTCTGGAGTGTGTTTACCACTACTATGTTTCAGTTGCATAGACAAAAATATGTTTAAACCAAAAAGATGCTTACAGGGAGGAAAAGAAAGAATAAAATACTATAATCCCAAAAGATTATGGACAATGATAACCCAGCAGCCTACTATCATTTCTAGCCCCTAAAAGGAGAGGGCCATTAAGATTATTTTTATGTTCAGGACAGTATTATGTGTCCTTAAAGCTCCCCCAGAACCAGGGGTTGTGTTTTATTGAACCACATCAACGGTTCACAGCCAATAACAGAGCAAATACGCCACCTAGTGCAGGCAGACAGGAAGCACAGCTCACTGCTGAATACATGAATACAAATGACAGTGCTAAGAATCATATGACTATTTTAGGTCTATTTGTAAGTTAGTTGATCTGAACATAGATTCTGATATTGTTTTTGAATTTAACATTTTCAAACGTGGTGTGGTAACAGGTGAAAATGGTCGATTAAATCATTTAATGTAGAACAAGTATGTACAGTAAGATACAGTGATTGTTGTAGGTCTTAATATGTTCACAATTTGTATTTTGTTTATGTTTATGTGCCACTCGTTGCTGTTTTAAATCATACAATATGGTCCTATCTACTGTAATTTAATATAATGCATGGTAAAATCTAAATGTTATTTTTTATTCACTTTTCCAAACAAAAAAAAAATCTGCTTATTAATTCAGCGACAGCCTACCCTTAAAAAAAAGAGAGAGAGAGAAAAAAACTTTTATTTTGAATTAATGGAGCTTCGTACTTCCTTCTTCGAGGACGACGAACCTCGCTCGTTGTCTGCCGACGAAAGGACTTCGCGATGAAGTAAACAAACATAAAAAAACCCCAAAATGAATACAGTCGAGAAGAAGCTGGCGGACTTGATCCGCGAACACCCGAATCTGTACGACCAGTCGCGGCGGGACTACAAAGACAACCTGAAGGGCCACCTGTCGTGGAGAGAGATCGCAGACAACATGGGAAAGTCTGAGGAGGAGGTGAAGCTCAAATGGAAAAATCTACGCGACAAGTTCTGTAAAGCGAAGAAGCGAATGGCCAAGAGAAACTTCCCCCTGCTGACAGACGACGAGAACCCGGTGGAGAGGCCCGTCCCGGTGCTGTACAACCAGCTGGCCTGGCTCAGCTCCTATGTCAAACCCAGACCCGGAGCCGGAACGGGAGAGACCGACGAGGTGTGTGTGTGTGTGTGTGTGTGTGTGTGTGTGCACCTGTCTGTTGTTCAACGTGGATTCACAGTTTTTATCCAACTATTTATTTTAACCTGGCCCTGTGGAGATATAATCACTGCTAACAATAAGCTAGCTACAATCCTATTTATTCTGTGATTAATCTTTATATACTTATATACAGTTTAGCTTTATGCTTAGATAAATATATATTCAGAACAATATACCCCTAAGGATAATTACATTGGGGTTTTTTAAAGGCTAAAACGCATGAAAACATCACCAGCATCAACATTCAATGTACTGTCAATGCATTATTGACATCTCACAGGATATCCGGGTTTAGTTTTCAAAATAAAAGCAATGGACATAGTCAACGACCAATTTAGGTGGGACCACTGACAGTGTAGAGGGTGGGACACAGCCAAACATGACAAAACCCACCGCAGTGCCACTGTTTATCAAAGCAGATATTCAAAACGCTTAAAGTAACCAATGTTATGTAAAGTAGTAGAGCCTGACATACTGGATTCTTTAGGCTGAAAGAGATATTGATATTTCATAGTTTAAAATTATATATGTCAGATGTTCCAACATAAATGCACAACATAAACATACATTTTTGATACCGCACGTAAGACTTATACTAATCTTGAGCGAGAGTAACTGAAAACAACTTTGGGGTGTGCACAGTCGTTACATTTTGTTATTAAAGAGTTGTAATATGTTTACCGCACTGGACAATTTACAAATGCAAAATTGTATTTGTTTTACACTCTCTAGTAGACAAATTGTTGTGTATAAATTACCTCAAATGTAATATCATTTATAATAAATATCTTTGGCTGTTCCTAAATTTGTTGTTGCTTATTAGCCAATACCATATATATATATAATAAGCTAGTATTGGCCCATAATATCCACCTGACAATCAGTCAGGCTCTAAAGTAGTAAAATAGTAATAATATGAAATACTGTAAAATACAATATGATACAAAATTGCTTATTTTTAAATTATTATTATTATTTTTTAAATAATAAAATAATTATTTCCATCAGTCAACTTGCAAGAAAGTATGAACCCAGTCAATCCTGTCAACCTGTTTTTGTAATAAGGTTATAAGGGACTTTAATATGTTCGGCTGTGACCCCCCAAATAAATTGAAGCCTGTTATTAGTGTTGTTGTCTGTGTGAACCAGTAATGCTAAATTCTGTTTTAATGCCACACAGGGAAACGGAAGTGGTGATGACCTGGAGAAAGATCGAGATAAAGACGAGAAGCACTGTCCCCTGCCCGTCGTCAGTACTAGCTTTTCTCTTGCGGAGCCCTGTCCAAACAGCCATCAGGAGATCGGAGTCTCTCTGAAACGTAAAAGGCAAACCACCACAGAAACTGAGATAAGTTCTGCAGACGCCCTCACCAACCTCAGAGATGAAGATGAACTGTTTCTGCTTAGCCTTCTGCCCTCGCTGAAGAGGCTTACCATTAAAAAAAGAATGGAGGTGCGGATGAAATTCCAGCAAGTGCTTTATGCTGCAGAGTTTGAGGACTAAAGGGCTCATTACATGGCAATAAAAAAACTGTTATTGTATGAGTACAATTCTTCAAGCATGCAACCTGTAAATATATTTTTTTAGCCATTATAACTTGTTAATATTTATTTTTGGATCACCTCCGCTATTAAACATATCAATATGTAGATCTCTATAATTTACTGTTATCACAGTTGTCCATCAAGAACTTTGTCTCTTGGTTTGAAAACAGAGAAGTGTCTCTTATTTTGAATGTAGGTGAAGGAGCCACCCTTTTGTTACTAGTTATAAATTAAAGTAAACATAGAGTTGTTAGTTCATTAGGTACATATGCCGGAAATGTTATGCAATCAAACACAACGGCACAATAATAACCTTTTTAAAGCTCAACAAATTTTTGAGGCAGTATTTTGTCATGTTATTGTATCAGACTGTATTACATTGAAGGATATGTTTTAATATAAATGTAATTTGAGAACGGAATGCACAAATACCACAATTACACAATATTATTACTGCTTAACATTTAACCTGTCTTTCACTGCTCATTGTCAAGGTTGCCAGTTAAACCCCTGACCTGGGGTACAGTTGTTTTTTTACCAATGTAGCTAGAAATTGGAGAAGTTTGGAAATTTCATCCAAATTAGCTCCAAGAAGAAGAATTCCAAGAATTATTCTGTTCTTTATTGCTGCCTCCTTCATTTCAAAAGATTTTTGTAGATTAGACAGAGCTCACTGAATGTACATAAATATCTCTCCTTTATCTTTCTGAAAGGAGACATTTGTACTGTATATTTTTTGCAAATAAATATTTTCATTTTCCTGAAAACTTTGTTGGTCTATATTTTTCAAAAAGGGAATCTGTTCAAATCAAAGAGTAGCTTCTGCTAAAATGCGATGTACAGAAATCACATAATGTCCAAATTCTCATCACAAATCGTAACTTTCTAGTATTTTGATTGAGAAAAACACACTAGAGAGTACGTATGTAAAGAGAGAGTATGTACTTTTATGGTGATAAACGGGTGATTTGGGCCAGTAAGTATTTGTTTTTCTCAGTGTACAAAAACCTTGTCCTTTGTTTTGCTGCTCATTCTTTGTTCTTTGTGGGTTAATAGGAAAGTATTTGTAGAATCAGCCTTATCTTATGTTTCACTGAGAGTACTTTCTAGCTGCAGTGATACTATTTCATTGTCTTAGCTGCAAAGTCATTCACTTCTCCACACATACACCAATCTCTGGTCCGTCCCAACAAGAACCTCCCTTTCTTCAATCCTTAGTCAGCGATTGGTCGATAACGACAGGCTTGACCCTCCTCTGTTGCAGAAAGCACTGCTCACCAACATTTGTCATTCATGACTTCATGTATTCCATTCATATGAACAGTGTATTATGCTATTGTGTGGGTGGGGTGTATTTATGAGCATAAGTCAGTGCCCCTCTTGCTTTACTCTCTCCCTGCGGCTGTGTTTGTATTTTGTCTGTCAACACGCTGCTCCCCCCCGCCCATCATCTCTCTTCTCTCCTCTCCTCCTCACTGTTTTCATCCCCCTACCAGCCTCCTCCCTCTCCCCGCTTTGCTGTGTTACCCCCAAACCCCTCCCCCTCTCCCAGGCTTCCTGCTCTCTTGTCATTGGGTGCTGTGTGGGGTGATGGTTGTGGTTTCTGTCGGTGATGTCTCCAGAGCGTGTACCGGCTTACTGCTTCAGAACTACAGAAGCTTCCACCGAGTCATTGCCTCAGACTGCAAACTGGACCAGAGCATAGACTTATCCTTTTTTTAGGACCAGACTACTGACAGGCTCCAGAAATAAGGATCAACTCTCTACTTTCTGAGGTGAGATACAATATTTACATGCTCTTAGTGTGAAACATATAGTTGGTATAATTACAGTCCTCGCATATACAGTGATTACTGTAAGGTTCTGATGATACTTTTTTTCTCTTCTACTTTGTAAAATGTACTTCTTACCTCTTCTGCTATTATAAGACGGTATAAGCACTGTTTCCTGTTTACTACTAATCAAAATGATATTAATAAAGGTATCAGAATCTGTGAGCATAGCACCACTCCACTTCCAGCACTGCAGAATGAAAGGCCGGCTACTACGATGAAACCGCACCACAACCCCTATTGGTGGGAAGAGATTTCACTGAAGACTATTGATTGGTTGCTCCGGCTGTCTGTCGTGCAGAAGGGTGTGTTCCTACAGTGATTAACATGGTCATATGGTACAGGCATACCACCCTGGAAGTGGAACTGGTTTAGAAGTGTGTTTGTTTAGGTGTGGTTCAGAGACGTGGGTGGTGGGTTGGAGGAGAGAGATGGAAAAATGATGCAGAGATGAACTGAAAAAGAGCCTGTGTCACGTATAGTTTGGAACTGAAATCATAATGAACTCCTATGTAGAACGCACACATCAGATTCACAATGCAATATGTTTCTCTTTTTCGCTTGCATCAGGATGAAAATATTGAATGAATTATAATAAATTCAAACAGATTAAGCCTAAATGCTAGCTGTCTGTTGTTACTATTGCCATTTTTTTTGCAAAGGCAGTATACAGTATAAACAGCCTCACAAAAGCACATGCAAACAAAACCTGCTGAAAGACAAAAAGATTAAGAGGCTTTACGTTCTGTATGATAGTGACTCTTGTAATGTTGATAGGGAAGCAAACAGGTAGCAGAGTAGAGCAAAAAGTCAAGTCAAACAATAGGTCAGAAAATCAGGGGATGTATAAGACCTACAGATTCAGAGAAGTTGCTTGTGAGGCAGTAATCAGTCAACAGAGAAAGAAATGTCAACAAGGCAGCAGCGGCCTGAATTATGAATTAATCTGCTGAGTGGACTGAGAAGCAGCCATTCAGAGAATTAACACGGGCAGTATACAAACGGATAAGGAGTGTACGGATCTGCAAGAAAGCGGTCATATGATCCGTGGTCAGCCCATAGCTATTAGAGAGAAAGAGCGAGAGAGTATGGCAGGCAGAACAAGAGAAGTGGTCCTTGTAATGCAGTTTACTGTAGCCTCCATGCTACTACAGTTTCTCTCTGTGTTGTAATGGATCTAACATTCTTCAGTTGGTGTGGTTGGAAGCTTTTGCACCCAAACTATGGTGAGGTGGAGGCCCGCTGGATGCTGTCCTCATACGCTACTTGAAGAAAAGGTAAAACTCTTTCTATTTGGTAAAAAGAACTGTTGCTTTTGGTGGTGACTGTACTATTTTCACAGGATTAGTAGAATACCCGAGGGAAGAAGCTTATGGCATATATTATTGATGACAGTGAGAGGTCTCATCTCATCCTGTGGTGTCTGTGTGAGTGGTGTTTGTTTGAATCAGTAAAGGGGGAATGGGAGGCAAAGATGTCTCTGACGGAGATGAATAACAGGGAATACATTTTGAGGCTGTATGACACAACTGCATTTTGATAATAACACTGAAGAGCCATTTAGTTTTATTTAATTTAAATATTTAATTATACTGGAACCAGGCATAAAATGTTGAGCCAGGGGTGTTTTGGTATTTAACAAAATTGGGATGTCCTTGTTTTGTTCGCAGAAAACAAGAGCAATGTTGTTTTTACACTCTTGTCTAATCTCCCTGGTACTAAGATGTAATTAGGTCCGTCTCTGCTGTCTGTTTTTGTCCCAGGCAGAAGCCCAGCACACCCTGAAACTGTGACCAAACCTGACCAAAGTGGAACACATCACATGAGAAAGTCCACTGCAGTTCAGGAGAGAGTGCCATCTGGTTTCAGGAAATCAGACAATCCAAGGAAACAGAAACCAGACCAGGTCCACTTCAGGACTCAGGGATCTGCTTGATTTATCTTCTTTGCAACAAGGCAGTGGGCAGAGGAGAGTCCCACTCAGCATGTACTCCCCTCAGAGTCTCCACCGCTGGGGCATCACTCATAGTGAGAGTATGGAGCGGTTAGCCTACAGCCAAGGTAGGTTGGCAAGTGCTATTTGAATGAATGACACTGTGTATTACATGATGATAACTCCTGCAACCTGGTCTCACTAAATGTTCTTCTAACGACAGATCCATACCAATCAGTGGATTCATATCACTGCACTAAAACAAATTAGGTTTATAGTAGGGCTGTTGAAACTTGAACTTGTTTAAGGGTTAGGAAACCCATCCAACTAACTTCACAGCAGATAATACGTTTCCACGAGTCAGGAATGAGCCATTAGAGTCACCAGAGGCAACATAAATGCACAATCAGCCAAAAGCATATAATATCTCCTGTCTGCAGTTCACTCCTGTCTATTGTAATACCCTAACCTTAACAGATATACAGTTACTTATGTGAGAGAGTGATTGATGTGATGATTAAATTAACCTGTTATAATAACCACTCACATTTAAACAAGTCACTAATCAATCAAGACAGTGATGTGGACTTTAATAATAATAATAAACATTATTTCTATAGCGCCTCTGAAAATCTGAGTTACAAGGTTCTTCACCATACCATACAAAACAATATGTAGATAGCATTAAAAACCCAAATTAACCAGAAAATAAAATAGAAATTTCAACAATCAAACAAAATATAAAAGAAGAATAAAAAACATTTGAGTCGGCATTATAAAATATCGTAGTCTGTGATTTTTAAAGCTTTTTAAACTGAGGCACTGACTCAGCTGACTGAGGGGGAGTTTGTTCCACAGCTTTAGCACAATCCATGTCATCAGTAAAGGTTGTGAATTATTCATGTGTTGGTTAATACTGTTTTAAAGTTCACACAAACAGTCCTTGATATTTTTGATAAAGTATTCTAAAAGAATTTGGATAATGAATTAATAATTTAAGTTAACAGAAATTCACTGGTTTCAGCTTTGATAAATGTAAATATTAATCTTCTATAATAGTAAATTGAATATATTTGAGTTTTAGGTCAGACAAAACAAGCATTTAAAGACATCACCTCGGCCTTGGGGAAATGGTGATGGGAAGTTTTAAGAATTTGATGGTATTTTACAGACTAAAATAAAAGGCAGAGTAATGAAGGAAATAATGAGTAAATTAGTTCATAATTAAAATAATCATTAGTTGAAGCCTTAATTTTCATTTAGCATGCTTGCACTTGAAAGCCTAATCAAGTTTTCCAAAGCGTACCTACTCTCTTCATCTACTTCTCCTCTTCACTGGAGCTTGTGTGGGTGTTTATTGTTTCCACTGTTATGCTCTTAAATTCTAACAAACTCTCTCTTGCCATTAAAGAAATTTCCTCTGTGGGTTCAACATAATATATTCAAAGTAGATTTGTAGCTCACTGTGGAAATACTGAGGTCATGAGTCCAAATTTCCTCAACAGAACCCACCTTAGAAATGATCTTAACCAACATTTTTGTGAATATTAATGTCACATTTTTTATTTAACAGTTTAATTATATTTTATTTATTACGTGTATTAAAAATGTTAAGTAATTAAAGTAAAGAAACATTATTTAGACTATCAAAAGTAAAAGCATTCAGAGAAGAAAATACACTATTACAGGTTACACAATTATATTATAATTATTACTGATGTATTAATGCTTATTTTAACAATGTTATATGCTGTTCTGTAGTCTAATCTATAACAATACATAATATTTTATAAACTCTTCATTTGTTTTATATGTATTTTTCTAAAGTAACTGGTAACTAGTTTTAACTCTCAAAATGATAAAGTGGAGTAAAAGGTCTAATATTTACCCCTAAATTGTTTAAAAGTTGAAGTATAAAGTTGCATAAAATGGAATTTAAAGTAAAGTACAAGTACCTATATACAGTACTTGAGTAATTAGAAATCAGAAATACTTGATTGATTGATTGATTGATGATGAGTCATTGAGATATAATGATATGGCTCTGGGTGATTGTATCGAATGTATATTGGTTTTATTCCACCATAAATATACAATATATTATTATTATTACAGTGGCCTTAGTGGTAACAGTAAATGTTAGAATATTTTTTCTTTTAGTCACATATCTGAAAATAGCTGTCTGGGCCCTCTGCCTTTTCCAAGAGTCTCCACACACACACACACACACACACACACACACACACACACACACACACACACACACACACACACACACACACACACACACACACACACACACGCAGTAACATCCTCTACCTGCAGTTCTCACTTCCACCGACAGGGGGCGGTGCGTCCACACAACAGCAGCCACTGAAATCATTACGTAGTGCTGCCTTTTGTGTGTCTTGTGAGCCCTTTTTGACACCGCCCCTCCGCAGGGTGCAGCGCGGGGACTGTCGGGAGCAGCCAACTGTCGGTTAGGTCTGCTCGGTGTAAACAAATCTCTACAACACCGCGATGTACGGAGCACACGTTCATCCTAACGAGCAGCCGCCGCCGCCGCTAACGTCCACCATGTAGACCGACGCCTACGCTTCAAGAGTCCGGGGACGTTACGACGGTTGGTTGTTGACTGTAGCATGGACTGTTAACGTTACAGGTATTTTTATGCTCCGGTTGTCACAATGGTCGCCGGGTGAATCGGTCGTCAAGCTAACGTTCACTAGCGGTTAGCAAACCGTATGAATCCGGCTGTTCCTGCAACCGACCAGCACTAGTTAGATATTATTATTTTTATTGTTATTTTTATTATTATTATTATTATTATTATTATTATTATTATTTTAGAGGTACGTGAACATGGCATCGCCCGCTGAGCACGACCTGGCTCTGTCTGAAGCGGACAACAGCAAGGAGAAAGCTCAGGTGTTTGGGATTTTGAGGCTGCAGGAGGAGAAATCTGTTGTTGTGGATAAAGCTAGCAGTAGCAGCACCGTGAGAGGAGGAGGAGGAGGAGGAGGAGGTGGTGGAGACGGGCGATGGCAGGCTCCTATCTTCGCTCTGGCCAGGAAAGCATCCGAGACCATTTCAGGGAGCATTCACGTCCTGCCCAAAGTGTCGGAGCACAGGACGTCTCTGCCCGGGGACTGGGCCGTCCAAGGTAGAGAGAGCATTATCAGGGGTTGTGAGGGTTCATGGACGGGGTGGAGGTGGGAGTGTGGACCCTGGTTAATAGTAACAGATCTAGTGATACCAAGTTACTGATTGTTTCAGCCTGTGTTCATCATCCTTTTAACGCAGACCAATTCCCCCTCTGAGATGTTCAGCAGCAATCAATCAATCAATCAATCACTTGCTAATTGGAGCAAAGTTAATAGTTTCAACTGGTGTGTGATCTGGTACATCTCTCTCTTTCACATCTAACATGACCTCACCACCCCCTGTGTGTGTGTGTGTGTGTGTGTGTGTGTGTGTGTGTGTATGTGTGTGTGTGTGTGTGTGTGTGTGTGTGTGTGTGTATGTGTGTGGTCAATTGATTTTTCATAGATCTGTGCTGCCCTCATGCTTTGATGGTAGATCCTGTCTTATGTTAATGTTAGTGGTACTGTAGTTCTTGCTTTATACCACAGACACCACACAAGAGACCGCCTGAAGCATCACATGCTGCACTCATGCAAATGGATTCAAATGGAACAAATGTGATGTCTTTCTTTTTTCCTTGGTGATTATCACCAAGGAAAAAAGGCTGCTTTCAAAGTCAGTAACTTTGTGCTATATGCAAGTAGGGCTGCATCTAATATTTCATTCATTTGATTTTAATCAATCGATTAATCTGTTGATTCTTTTTGTTTAATCTTTTTTGTCTATAAAATGAAAATTGTAAGTTACTTTGTAATTTTGCTTGACAAGTAAAGAATACTGTGAGGATGTTATAATAGTCTCTGAATAATCTGCTGTCAGTCATAATCTTTCCTTCGTTTTGGCAGAGCTCTTGGCTCTGTTTTTTTCTGTCAGTGTGCCCATCAGCCAGTGTCCATCACAGACTTGATGTGAATCATGTACAATCTGAATCATTATAAACAGATGACAGTTCTTTAAGGAATTCAGTGGTTTCCTGATTTTATTTTTCTCTTACTAAGAACACAGGGAATTAATTTAAGAGAACTGCTTTTAAGGACACTTTAAAATCCTCATAGTAGTATTTAAAACTCAAAAAACCCAACCATACAGACACTTAAGTGTGGTAGCTTTGTAAATATCCTCAGTGTTTGATGTAGTATAGAAGAAGTCACACGGTGACACAAGCAGTCAAAGAGTTGCTGTTTATTTTCCAGTATCCTCAGGGCTCACTGCCCAAGGACACACAAGATTCATGCAGCTCTCAAGAAATCCATCTGTCAGTGTGTCTGCCTTCAGGCCAACCTGCTGTTTTGTATTGCTAGGAAACATCTCTGTACATTTTCACCTGACATTGTTCTGCCCCGTCCTGGTGTTTGGCTACACATTAACCCTCTAGGTCCACACGTAGAGCATCTAAAAGCATTCTTCTGTGGGAAGGTACAACCTCAGCTCCTGGAGTTTTTTCTATAATGGAAGTGTTGAATACAATCTCCTTTGTAGCTGCAGTTTTTACACCTGGATTTGCTACTGTAAGACCAAGTTATGTCATGTTATATCATGTTATCTCAACAGCTGCAAACAGGACAAATATCTGGAGTGTCTAAATATTTATTTCTAAGCTGATTAATAATTTGAATGATTATACTTTGTTCACAGGTTTATCTCTATTTTGGTGGATTCTTCTTCCCCTTGTTGTATTTCGGTGCTCTTTACATACTCTCTGTTGCTCTGTGTGACTTCTGACTTGACACAAAAATGCCAATGTGCATTCTGTGTTTAGGGTGGATTCTGCCTTACATTTATGGTACCTCCCTATAGTCAGCATGTTTCTGATAATGACCAGTTGTAAGACATTAACCTGGCTGACTATCCCCCAGAGAGAAACCTTTTAAAAACATGTTGTTTTCTCATTATTGTGTGACCATTCTTTGTCCTAACATTGGTACTTTAAGGATGTTTTAAGTTAAGTGTTTGTGTGTGTGGCTTTTGTCCTGAAGCCCTGCGAGACCCCATGGCCATGGAGCGAGCCAACCTGCTGAACATGGCCAAGCTGAGTATTAAAGGACTGATCGAATCAGCTCTGAGCTTTGGACGAACACTGGACTCTGACTACCCACCTCTCCAGCAGTTCTTTGTTGTCATGGAGCACTGCCTCAAACATGGCCTTAGAGGTAAGTGGGAGAGAGGGCTGTTTTAAATGGTGCCAGGTGTGGGTGCTGTGCTAGTGTGGTTATATCTGCAACATCCTGACTTACTAGAATTAGATGTCTAAGTTGCACACTTGTGTGATGCCTTCCTCATAAAAGATGGCATAAGTAGATTTTCATATGTGAGTGTATAAGTCTCTCTTCCTTCTCCAGTGAAGAAGTCCTTTCTGGGCTTTAACAAGTCTCTGTGGGGTCCTCTGGAGTTGGTGGAGAAACTGTGTCCTGAAGCAGCTGAGATCTCAGCCTCTGTACGAGACCTGCCTGGACTTAAGTAAGGATAGCATTTATGCACACACACACACACACACACACACACACACACACACACACACACACACACACACACACACACACACACACACAGTTAACCTAACATCATGCTCGAAGGAACATGAGCCACAACACAACCACAGACACTTACATGTATCAGTAACATGATAACGTGACCTGAGCCAGGACAGAGAAATACCTGTTTGTGATTTACTTTGACTTCACCTTTCCTTTCAGTGCTGTCTCGCTTCTCCCTTGTCAATGTTTTTATTATTCTTTTGTCCCTTTGTAACTGTTAGAGCCAGTATAGACACATTTTCCAAAGATGTGTCAAGCAGTTAGAGTTAGTTAGAATCAATTTTAAAACTCTTTTTTAAAAGCAAAATCAGTAATGGTGCAGTCGTATATTTGCTGCCAGTGTCGGGCTGATTGTGTAATTAGCATTTTTGTTATGTAATTAACTACAACTGCGACTATGACATATAATAAGACGTATGAGTGTTTATAGTGCTGAATGTGGGTGGTTACATTAATATTCAGGTAGTATCCTCTAGTGGCTATAGTAAACTGACTCCTGCTCTCTCAGTCATGCACACGATTTCCATGTCATTTTTTTTTGTGTTATTGAGTTGTCAGCCACTACTAGCGGAGCTTCCACACAGGGAATCAAGTGAGCAATATTCAGGTCTTGTCTGATGCAGAAAAATGGGGAACAGATGTTTTGTTTTAAATGGAGAACAGAGTTAGTTTCCTTTGGTGGTGCTGAGTCAGACCAACGGACATGTAGCGGAGCAGAGCAGCATTTCTGCAACACAGAGAACAGACCCAAAGGTTAGATAAAGGAAAGTGCAAACAGTTTTTCTCTAGAACAACGTCATGCATTAAATATTACAAATAGGCAACATGAAACATGGTTGTCTAGTTGGATTGAGGAAGAAACAGTTCATTAGAGCCCATGTAACAGTAGACTACAATAAACACTCAGGGACACAAAGAAGAAACCTAACTAACCAAATATAACAATGCACCACTACCACCAAAAGCTCCTAAAAAATATTAATATAATCACCTGTGTGTTTGTGTGTGTGTGTGTGTGTGTGTGTGTGTGTGTGTGTGTGTGTGTGTGTGTGTGTGTGATTTCCAGGACTCCATTAGGCAGGGCCAGAGCTTGGTTGCGTCTGGCTCTCATGCAGAAACGGCTGGCCGACTACCTACGACTCCTCATCACCAGAAAAGACCTTCTCAGGTACACATACATATGTACACATGGTGACAAATAAAGAAGATGTATAGCAATAGGTACATTTGACTTGTTGGGGAAATGTAACTATATAATAATATAACTATGAAAACTAAATCAGAACAATTGTTGATCAAATCAGGCACTTAGAGGTTAAGGCTGGGGATATTCTAGATTTGTCTTGTTGTCAACAAAACCCATTAAGTGAGTCATGTTTCCAGTTTTCTGATATTATCAAAACATGTTGTAAAAATTCCCAAAAATGTTTGTTTTCATTTATGATATGAATAAATAAATATATTGAATTCTGCATTTTATTGAGAATTCTGTGCAAAAACCCAGCCGTTAATATAACTCTAAATTCCCCTCAAAATAATTGGATATCTATATCTATATATATTGGATAGTAAAAGCTCGTACAGAAACAGTGTTTAAACCCATTCAGTGTCTGAGAATGTGTTGTATCTTCCTCCTCAGTGATTTCTATGAGAATTCAGCACTGATGCTGGAGGAGGAGGGAGCGGTGATCGTGGGCCTGCTGGTGGGCCTGAACGTCATCGATGCTAACCTGTGTGTCAAAGGCGAGGACCTGGACTCCCAGGTAACCACTAACCTGAGACAGTATTTAGACCATTTGACTAAAAACATTTACACCAGACAATAAAATATTATTCTTAATGTGTGCATGCCCTCTCTACTTCCTCTACCCACTAGTTTATTGAATGACATGAAACAGTTTCTCTTCAGTGGTTTGGAGAAGCAGACATGCAGACAAGAATTGGCTGTTTTGTTATTTTTGCATCAGGCAGATGGAGAGCAGACACTGGGTTGTCATGTTTCTACTCCATAGGTGGAGACTTTGTCTGGAGTGCAAACACTTACACACATAAACACACTGAATAATGCAAATATCCTGTGCAGACTGTGATCACACCCGACTCAGATACATTTAATGTGATGGAATTGTTTAAATAGTAATTTTCTGATCTCAAAGTGATCCATTACACACATTACCACACACTGATTTCATCCCTGAAGCCAAGTAAAAGTAAAGTAAACATTCCTAATTCTTGCAGATGTTTTAGTGGTGTTTTAGTTGCAGCTACTTTAAGCATGACTCATGTCAGATATGCTTTCCAGAATATGTTTCCTCTTGAGTTATAGTAGCTTAGCTTTTTTTTTTGTTTTTGTTTTTTTTGAGGTTGGGGTTATCGACTTCTCCATGTACTTGAAGAATGACATTGATGATTACAGGAGTGAAGAGAGGTATGATATTTTATTGTCTCTTCTTTATTTAATACACTGGGCCTCTTATGTGATGCAGAGCTCTGTTTTAATTATTTTTCCATGACAACAGGAATAGCCAGATAGCCTCCATCTTGGATCAGAAGAACTATGTAGAAGAACTGAACCGACAACTCAAGTAAGACATCTGTTTTTTTAATTGAAACTGTCTGCAGGGTTTTCCCCAGAACTCCTGGAGTTGGAGTAATGAACTTCAGTTTCAGGGAAATTTCAAAGGATGAAAATCCTGTGTTTAAAATGCTGGGTGTTTACCTAAACAGTAGCTGATTCTAATGTATTTTTACCTTACATTTTGCTTAACATCTGTTGACTGGTGTTTGATGTTTTACATTGCCTTGAATTGAAGGCTGGATGCCTGGTTGCACTTTAAAATAGATCCAGCGTTCAGTCAGTTTAGGTTTAAACCAGTCTGGTTGTTTCAGAAGTGCAACTCTGTCTCATCTGGCCCTAGAGACAGGCTCAGTTACATTTCCTCTTTCAGTTTAGTTTTTTCTCACAAACCTGGTATCTCATTTAAATGAACCTGGATTGATCTGCTGTCTTGCTTTAGTAAATATTTTCTTAAAAGCTAAACAATCCTCTAATGTGTGACATGACTCTTAATTTGATTATCAGCTATTATCGTTGATGAGCTGTATGAGCTGCCATCTGACCATAAACTAAGCTAACCATGTGTTAAAAATCAGATTTAGATCTTTAGTGAGACAGTTCAGTCATCTAATCTGTGAATGCCATTAAATCTCATGAAATAACAGCTATTACAAATACACAGTTCTCCATTGAGCGGTATCTTAAACCTCTGTTTAAATTTAACTCATATGACAGCAGCTGTGAATTGTAACACGACTACTAAAAAGGAAGTTGATTTTTGTGTTTGTGTGTGTTTGTATGTCTAGCTCTTCAGTTCATGGTCTTCAGGGCAGAGTGGACTCACTAGAGAAGTCCAACTCTAAACTCATAGAGGAGGTGAGATTCACACTCAAAATATCTGTATATTACATTAGAGCTAAAGGTGACTGTCAGGTTTCATGGAGAAGCAATTATATGTTACAGGTTAAATAATCACAGAATCTGTTGTGATAATTTAGTTTTTTCATTTTAATTATGTTGCGATGAAGTCAAAGTGTCAGTGTAAGCATTATTGGAAAACTGAATTGTTCTGTGTTTGTGTTTGCAGTTAGCCATAGCCAAGAACAACATCATCAAACTGCAGGAAGAAAACCAGCAGCTGAGGAGTGAAAACAGCCTTATTCTGCTGAAGGCACAACAACAGTTAGAGGTACACAGTCACACACGCACAAACACAAAATCACAAAAATATATTTCTGTCTGAAAACACAAAAGTATCTTTATATTGACCGTGTTGGTAAAGATCTAGCCCTTAATATTCCAACATTTTTTACCAGACTATAAAAAACTGAACTGCATGATATGGCTGACATGTTCTTCCTGTTGATGTTATTCATCTAGCTAACCCAAGGCGATGTGACAGTGGAGAGAGATACATACAAACAGTCACGTCAGGGTTTGGATGAGATGTACAATGAGGCTCGAAGGCAGCTGAAGGAGGAGTGTCAGCTCCGACAGGTCAGACTGTGACTGCTCGTCTGTGTGTGTATAATATACATGGTGACTGTTTAATAATGCACATGTATGTGGTTTTATTTTTAGGATGTGGAGAATGAGCTGGTAGTTCAGGTGTCGATGAAACAGGAAATGGAGCTGGCCATGAAACTTCTTGAAAAAGATATTCATGAAAAACAGGTCAGCATACATTTTCATTGTGTCTTCCTTTTGGACCACTGATTTATCTACTTTATTAAAAGATTTCAAGAGCTGACATGAAAAACATGAAGATTCAATAATATACAAAGAGACATTAAGAGCAGTTAAAATTCAAATCCTAAGAATGATGTTGTTGCTCTTCAGACATTGTGTCGTCACAATGAGAGAGCACATGATAACATATAGCAGAAGCCTCTACTTGCTCACATGTAGCTGTAATACCTTGCCAGCTTCCGTGCCCATCTCTCTGGCAGCCCTGCAAGTATCAGGCCTCTCACCACCATCATGTGAACTCTGCTACATAAACACCACCAGCTGACATTTGTAGCCAGGCTGTGAGATACAGCAGCTGCTATGGCAGCAGCATCATCGCAGCTTTGTTTGCAGGCTGCTGGGATCATTACCAACAACCTCAGGTGGAGAGCAATGTCTGCATCATTATTGCACAGGACCACAGGGCGTGTGACATGGGAATATTTGAATCATGCATTGCAAAATAGACTTTGTACTAAATATATTTCAGCTCACCTCCAGGTAGCTCCTAGTCATGTTCATGTGTATACGGTAGTGGATACATTATAGATACACAACTAAAAAAAGCCCTTGAATGAGAAATAATGAAAGAAGCACATGCTAAATTACAGTAAAATTTCCTGTAGGAAAGTAGTGGCAATCACATGACAGTGAACAGGACAGTTAATAGCTTGTTAGCACTCACATGATAGATGGAGGGCATGCAGTGAAAAGCAGAATGGATGAGATGGAGGAAAGTCCTTTTCTGTTCTGTAGTTTAAACGACATGGCGGTACAAACAGAAAATCACAACATATGTTGGACGTTATTCTTGTATTCAACTGAATTGAAAGCCCTTTCTGACGGGGAACTTAAGTCCTAATATGGCTATCTTCAAAGCCACCAGAGGCCTCTGATAAAACCGCTCATTTTACCTTGCAGAACACAGGACTTGCTGGCCTATCGCTGTCTCGATCGGTTAGTTTGTTTGTGTAACTGTGTGACTTTGGTGATCCAAATTAACATGTTAAAACACCAAAGTCAGTCTAGTGGCTGGAGAGAATATATAGATATAACTGCTTCACTTCCCCGTGGGAAAGGGCTTTGGGACAGCAAGATAAAGTGGTGGAAATATTCTAAATATAGAATACTCTTAAACTTTTTGTAAAATGGGCAACTTCTTGCATTTTTCTCCCTTATGAGCAAACTAACCAATTTTGAGAGTTTGTGATTGTTGAAAATGACTTCCTACCTTCTATCTCCCGGTCGTGTCACAGGAATGCAGTGACATGACGTCACGTGCAAACAAGGTATACAGGTTCAGCCTTTGTTTTTTTTATCAACAGGACACACTGATCGGACTGAGACATCAACTGGATGAAGTCAAAGCCATCAATGTAGAAATGTACCAGAAGATGCAGGTACAAACACACACACACACACACACACACACACAGACACACACACACACACACACACACACACAAATACACATCCTTACCTGATTGCACTCATACAGTACTTACACTGTAATTATTACTACTACTTATAACAGCCAGTAATTCTCATTTGTTAGTCATCTGATGACGAGATGAAGAAAAAGAACAACATGATCAGTCGTCTGGAGGAGAAGACCAATCAGATCACTGCCACCATGAAGCAGTTGGAGCAAAGGTGAGATACACTGCCTTTTGAAGACACAGCACACACTAACCAAAACAGGAAAAACACTGTCCCATGTGTCTCTTCAGTCCTTTCTTCAGTCTAAATTAGGAGCTCTATCTGAAGAGCAGTCTTTCTTCAATTTGCTGAAACAAACGTCATCCCCCTGAAGTAAAGTAAGTTTGACGTCCAAAATGATATAAAGAATCACAAAAAAGGACTTGTTTTCAGCCCAGCACCATGTCATTGTTCATAGATCAGATGATGGATGCTATTCTGTGCTGTTTTTTTAAAAATATAATGATTCAAAGTGCATATGTATTAAGAGTTCTGCATGGTTTAGTTTGAAGCTATGCAGAAGAAAACTGGAGAAAGCATTGTGAGAAATTATTTGAGTCTTCTTCCTCATCACTGTTTCAGAGTTTCCCCTCAGAAATGTCTTAGAAGCTGGTAATCCTTGTCTCTTCCTAACTGGCTAATTTATTTTCTGTGTCCAACGAACACAAAATGTTCCACATTACAAAACTTTATAAACAGAAGGGATATGATAAGTTTTTTTTTTACCTGACATTGTAATGTGTAATAGGATTGATAAGTCTCTGTCATTGCTCCACTGTCCTCCTGATCTATTTAGTTAATAGATGGCAGTCTAAACAGTAGCCACAATCATGGCCTCTGTTACGTGAAATAGCTCCTTCTTTTCTAAAAGTGTTTGCATGTTAGCCAGACTGCCCAAGGTTGGAGTAAAATAGCACATTGTTATTATCTTGTAAAAAAAAGTGACGTTTTTTATTTATTTATTAGCAATTATTGTGACAGACATCACGATTGCGATATTATTTACAATTAGTGGGAAAGGTCATTTAATGCATCACAATTCTCATTTTCACTGAATAAACTATTAGAATTATGATGATGTGACATTTGTTGAGGTCAGTAGTGCAAAACAAAAGAACAAGATTTGTAGGCCCGGGCATCTCTGCAGCACTACAGTACTTTATTATAATGCTGTTTTGTCACATATTTGAACTTTTATCAAAAAATTGCAGCTTCTACAATTGCACATGCCTATATTGTGCTTTTGATATTCAGATGAATTGTGCAGTTTTAGCTGTGAATTGTTTTTTTCGTTATTCAAAAGGCTTCTTGGTACAGTTCCTCTTGATAGATTGTATTATAGGGCACCTGAAGACCCACTTGTAAGTCTCCGCTTACATCATAAAGCTTGAACACATTTCTGTGAAATAAAACATTAACCTACAGGGGAAAAGAAAAGAACAGAAGTAGTATTTCACACAGCAGATGCCATACTGTATAATGAATGCTACTGTTTAGGCCATCTCCTACTAACTAAATGAATGAACCAGAAGACGATATACATCAGGATCTGTTAAACAATTTCCTTTGGGGAAACCCTGCAATGCTTAATTTATCATGTCTAACAAATTACACTGCTGATATCTCCGTGCATGCTAAGTTCTCTTTGTCACCACTGCACCACAATCAGTGTATAATTCTCCATATCTGCATCAGTCATTATGTAACCTGCTGGTTCATTGATGCCCTATGATCCCTCGTCACCCCATTGTTTACCAGCCAACATGGTCCATCCCTCCCCTCCCCTGTCCCATTGGTTTAAATCTGTTCCGTCCTATTTGTGATTGGTTGCGAATGTTTTTTGCTGCTCTTAAGGTTTACATAGGCTGGTAGGCCACAGACCCCGGTTACACTTGTTATTTTCAGTGGGAGGTTTGTGTTGTTGTAGCTGGTTTGAAAAAGTTCTGATCTGATCAACCACTATTTAAAATCAAATTATTTCCCAGCTAATTAGAGACAAATCTTCTCCTCAGAATTTAACATGTTGTCTACTTAAGAGAGATAAAGTAGTGATAAATACTGTAGGTGCTTTCCAGGCTTAAATATCTCGTGTTTATAGTAAAGTTCTTTGCACACTGTTTTTGTCGTCTGCTGTAGTTGTATTCATGTGTACATATTACCTTTCCCTGCTTCGCCTCCTCACCTCTACTCATTACTCATACGCTTACTGTGGAGGGAAACATATCCAGACTGAAGAAATCTGATGACAGTGTGAACCAGGCAACCTGAAATCAGATTTCTGTGTTATTGCCTTTTTTATTCTGTGCTTGTGATGTTAAAAGTCACTTAAAGTGTTCAGTGTAACCGGGGCCACTTAGAATACTGATGTATTGACATCCTTTCTTCCTTCCTTCCTTCCTTCCTTTCTTTCCTCCTTCTTTCCCCCCTTCTGTTTGTCTCTTTTACACCACCCATCCGACCATCCATCCATCCATCCATCCATTTTGCTACCTTGAAACCTCCATGTGTCATTTTTTTACCCCCCGATTTTATCCCTGCTCCTCTGTGCAGTGATAAGGATCTGCTAAGTCAGACCAGAACGCTTGCTATGTCATTTGTTAAGTGTGCTAGCACAGACACAGAGCACCAGTACAAGCTAGTCAAGGACATCTCCTTCTGAGGACCAACATGCACATATACACGCACACGCAGACACACGATTGCTTATGACTGAATGAATAAATGGACTTAACTTAAAGGAACATTCCTGTTTTTTTGCACACAATATTCAGATGGTTTTATGGCCTGAGAGCAGCCACAGAATCAGGTGAAACTGGAATGCGTGGGTTGGTGCTTTAGTCACTGAAACATGCTGATTATCAGCAGAGTGCTGGCATTCATAGAGACCACTGCAACATGTTTCATGATCTTTAGTTAAATCCTCCTCAGACAAACTTTGCTGGGTTTAAATGAAGATATGTTTCTTCTGAATGTCCTGGTTTAGCTGGTCAGAGAACGGTCTGAATATTACATCAGTTGTACTTTAATAGATACTTTAGAAACATTTTAAATTAATCATACACTACTTTATCTATTCACTCACATGCTCAGCTGTGCACACTCACACACACACACACACACACAATAATACATACATATGCTACTACTACTATTCTTCCTGTCTTCAGTAGTCAGTTTATATGCAGTAACGCTGACAGTAAGATAGTTGGGCTCTCAGATGTAATAATAGTTACAGTAGTAGTTGTTATTGTTCACATTGAGTTAGAATGAGTATAGTGGGCTTTCCCACTCGTATCACAACTACGGAGTGGTTTATGTGGCAACACCCAGAGCCGAGTGCCCTGTAGCATTTAGGGACTGTATGAAAATGATTGGGGTAGGGAGGGGGGTAATATTTGATTATTCCAATTACTTTCATCATTAATAACTAAAAGTGCAAAATAATGTAATAATAATAATGTACCCCAGTTTAAACCTTAATATGATAATGGAATAATACGTTTCACATAGCTACCAATTGCACAATAGAAATGGAATTAAATTTAGCACTAAGGCAAATATACAAAATGATGTGTCCTGTCTACCAAATATTCCAGCTGTACTTTACTATATCCTTTACTGTAGTTCTGCTTTCTGGATAAAGATGCAGAATTAAGTTAAAGTTGGGAGCTGCTATGGCACAGCAATAAAAGACTCCCTGGAGAGGTAACGTTCAATAAGTAATTTTCGTACAGTCCCTTGCTTAGTGGCATCCATGTTGGCTCTGCAGAGATTGATGAGTAACTTGTGATTCTGTGCTTTGCTGTCTTTTTGACATTATTGGAGCCGACAGGGTTTAGGCCTAAAGCTCGGGCAGGAACATAAAAACTACAACCATTTTTCTGCAGCTGTCTGCGTTTCATCACAGTCAGTCAGTGGTGGTCACTACAGATGTCACACACAGGAGTTTGCTTGTGCAACCTCTTGCTTTTAATTTGTTGCCAGTTTGCTCTGCATGTGCTGCACCTCCTGACCTGCTTCTGACTGGCTGTGATGGCCCTCGCTGTGTCCGAAATCAGCCCATTGTTCGCTCACCTCTTTCTCTGAAATACACACTCAGTAGTTCGCTCTGTAGTGAATAATACTTTGAGATTTTGGACACTTAGGAACATTTTAAAATGTAACTATGCAGTTTGTGGGATTGTTAGCAGAAGGTAATAGACATGCACATGGACTTTTTGAGGGCAGATTTCAGGGGGTAGGGGGGTCAATTTCACATTCAGAATTTGGGAACTCTAGTGTACTCTACAGTAAAAAATTAATGATTTTGGACACAGCCAGTCTCCTTCTTGCTCTTCATCCTCCTAAAGATTTACGTAAACTGAGTTTTAGCAGATGTAAACAGCTCAGTGAGACCAGCAGCTTTAGCTCAATTCCTGTGCTTCGTCTCTGTAGAACAGAACTGAGCCAGGTGTAAAGAATTGTAGTTACACAGCTGTAAACCTCTGGAGCTTCTGCCAAGGGAGCTTGAATGTGTTGTTGTGTCTCGTCTTGGCATATTTATTGACTTTTGTGATAGATCAGGAGGTAATCATTCTACCTATTCTAACTCCGTGTTCATAGTACTGTAACTCCTCAATTTGTAGAAGAATAATCACTCAGAACAGCTGTTGAAAACTCACAACTACTGTCTTTTACCACCGTGATCAATAAAGTTAGATGTTTTGAAAGTGTTGGGTGTGGTTTGAATTTTTGGTTTTGCTGTTAACATGTAGACACTGGAACATTTATTATATTATTTTAAGGAGTAATAAAGCTCTCGCCAGTTGCTGTAAGTCAAGGTGTTGTGGGATTGTCCAAGTATCTGAAATGGATCTGAAACAAGATTGAAAACTTTATTAAAATCTTCATATCCTGAAAACAAGTTTCCTCCCTGTACAGTAATGTAAATGAAAAAGAATAACATTGGCATATTTTTCAAATCTAAAAGGATGTGACTATGTAAGGTATCATTGAAATAGACACCATGGTCTGAGTGCACTAAGATGCTGCATTCAGTTAGCTATCCTCTTTTTTTTTCTCTCTCTATTCAGTTGCTTTAAGGCAGTTTTCCCTTCATTGTTTCATCATGCGTCTTTCTTTTGAATCATCACCCCTTTGTATTCCTTACTGTTCTGTTTGAATTCAATTCTCACTGCACTCTTTTCATTTTTACCCTTTGTTGTTCTAACAGTGGGAATTACAACACCACCCTTCTTCATTTATCCTCAGCCATCTCTCCTTCACATTCCCACCCAGAAACCTCAGTCCCTAACCTCCCTCCTTACCAGTCGTCCTCCTTCCCCTGTTCTTTTCTCCCTCTCCCTCCACCCCCTCAGTTTTTTCTCTCCATGGTCCTGAGTTTGTCCCTCGTTATAATGGTGCAGATTACAGGAGGCAGAGAGGCACCGCACCTCGGCCGAGGAGGGAACCAGACGCTTCAAGTTGGACTTTGCCAACAAGGCCGACAGCCTGCAGCGGCAGATTGAGCACAGAGAAAAGCAACTGTAAGCCAAACCCCTACAGAGACAGTGGTAGAATCATGCACTGACATATATGAACACTTAATCTAGAGAAGCCGTGGAGCTCAGGCAGACATAACATACTATTTACACCGTAAGCTGTGTAGCATGGTAAGATAGCGTTTCTGATTTGAACTGAAACTGTAAGCTCTAATTCCTGAACCTAGGAACAGTAAATAACAATTCAAACAAATGAAATCATTGCACATCTGCTTAAGTGTGTTTACTTAATCACTCAGGAGACACCAGACTTCCCCCTACACAGTTCTTGTTGGTTGTGACTTGAAAAAACCAAGACAAAAATTCAAAAGTATACAAACCAGTGTGCTCTGATATAATCTGTTACCCAACTCAGTATATCCCTTTTTCTGTGTCTGTTTGTTATCTTTATTCTTGTTATTGGTGTTGTATGAACATGTCTGTAGCCAGCAGCTGGAGACGGACCTGAAGATAGAGAGGGAGTGGAGGCAGACGTTACAAAACGATCTAGAAAGGGAGAAAGATACGGTGGCTCAGCTCAGCACGGAGGCACTGCAGATCAACGGACTGAAAAAGGTAAAAAGATGTAGAGAAAGAAGTGTACTGTGTATATGATATATTGTGTAGTATGTTTTATTACATGTATACAGCTCTGTGTGTGTGTGTGTGTGTGTGTGTGTGTGTGTGTGTGTGTGTGTGTGTGTGTGTGTGTGTGTGTGTGTGTGTGTGTGTGTGTGTGTGTGTGTGTGTGTGCGCCAGCATTTGCAGAATATGATATAATTTGATCTGTTATAATACGTGTCCTGTGTTGTGTGTGTTTTTTTTTTTTTCCAGGAGTTTCATCGTCTCCAGGATGAAAACTTTCAACTGAAGACCATCTGTGAGGACCAAGAACAAGCTCTGGAGGAACTAGGCTCCAAACTAAGCGAGTATGTGTACTTTATGAGCAGTTCAACCCCAAATCAAAAACCTGTAGTGCTATTTCCATCTAGATTGTTTTGGTTTGAGTTGCAGAGTATTGGAGATATCGGCTGTAGAGATGTCTGCCTTCTCTTGTATATAATGGAACTAGACTCTGCTTGTGCGGCTCAAAGCGCCGAACTACACGTCGTCGTGCAGAAGGAAGCGTGCATCTACTCATGGATAACAAGCTCATGCTCATGACAGCGCAGGATGTAAAGAAAGACATCCTCCGCAGCTGAGCTGTACCATTTGCTAGCTTACTGAGCTCGCCAATGCATGAGTAAATGCTTCTTTCTGCGCAGTGATACGGTTGGCCATGTGTAGTTTGGTAGAAAAAAAAGTTCCTAAATGACATGCATGTATGATGACATGAATGTAAAACGTGCATTCTAATAATCTAAGGAGTAGTTTTTCATAATATACATTTCAAGTAAGTTCAATCCCTAGAAGTGTTTTGCATGTTTTATCTCATTCAAAAATCACATCCAGTTTACATTCTTGCAAACTAGGAGAGTTTACAGTTCTCGAGAAAGCCGGACTAGCTTTTGAAAACCTACTTTTTGTCATCAGATCCAAAATGAAGATTGAGGACATCAAAGAAGCCAACAAAGCTCTTCAGGTAATGAAACAGTGAGTTACAGAGATACAAATAGCATCTAAACTCTCTCCATCACTAAGATGGTAAGATAAATATGATATTATTAAAAGAAATAAATATCTGCATAAGCCCTGCATCATGGTTAAGTCTCATCAACAAGGCTGATTTTGGATTAGTGAAGCATGCTGTGTTGTTCTGCGATGTCTATAATGTGAAGTTAGTGAAACGCAGACTTACTGTGTCATGTTGTTTCAGGGGGGTCAGGTTTGGTTGAAGGACAAGGACGCCAGCCACTGCAAGCTGTGTGAGAAGGAGTTCTCCATCTCAAGACGAAAGGTCAGTCCTCAGAAATTGACATATAAAAAAAGACTGTGCCACAGCTAATCTTTATGGCCGTGCTTGCAGTGATTTTCACGAGTTAAATATTGCGTTCTCTCTGGATTCTCAAGGTAACAGGTTATCTCAAGAAAACAAAACGCAGATTTCTCGAGATATTTTATCAAGATCATGGATTAATTATGGAGAACTTGAACATAAGTGTTCATTTAATCATAGCTGATTTCAAGGTCTGATGTGTTGATCAGTAATGGCAACTCCTTGAACTGATATTTTCAGCTTAAATTAGTTGCTAAAACGCCATCTATGCATGCTGGCATGGCACTCTTGATCTCTGATCAACATTGTAAATAATAAGAGGAAACAACCTTTTGTTTATTTATGATAATGGGTTGATTTATCTTGTAAGCACAACTGTTCTGGGCTTCCATAAATGTGCACCCATACACTGAAGACAAGCTAACAATGTGTGTCCTTCTGTCTCTTTCTCTCTCCAGCACCACTGTAGGAACTGTGGGGAGATTTTCTGTAACAGCTGCTCTGACAATGAGCTCCCTCTGCCTGCCTCACCAAAACCAGTCAGAGTCTGTGACACCTGCCACGCCCTCCTCCTCCAACGTTGCTCCTCCAATCCAGCGTGAAGAAACGCCAAACTGCTGTCACGACTGCTTCAAACAATCCCAAATCAGACTCGTAAATCCCCTGTAAGACTCATCTCTTAACATATATCAACAGTGTTTGCTGCTAGAAATGGGCCACATGCATGAACATTTAGCACATTTGATCTGTCTTAATTTACACTAAAAAAAGTTGACCACAGACAAAATGAGGGACATCTGTGTCATTATGACACGTCTGTTTGATGTCACTGCTTTCTTTGCAGATACTCTGCAGTATTAAACATTCAAACGTCTTCTCTGTAATCAGACACAGAGGAGGCAATCAGTCCACTGCAACTTGGACCAAAATGTCTTACGAACGAAAGAGTGAGAATCCTTGATCTGCTTTGATACCATAAACAATCATGACTGTGGGCAGTCAAATGATCTATTCTAAATATACATCAGTTATACAGGTGAAGCCGTGTATTTACAGTGATACATTGCCTACACAGTGTAGGTATCAGTGACCTTGGTGGAAGAATTCATGCCTAGCGGAACTGTCTTCTGTTTGGCTCGATCCAGGTGTTGCACTGGCCAGGCTTAGAGCAACAAACAGACTCCTAAATGCACAACAGGTATGAATATATGCTGCTGTGTTTCCTGCACACACTGACGCTGATCATTAGGTCAGGTTTGGGTAAATTCCCCTGTAGAGTTAGGTTATGAAAGCAGGAACAACTTGACAATGTACTGAAACTGCACTGTGATGAGCACTGCTGCAGCTAAATGCAGATGTTTTTGTTTTTTTGTGAAGCAAACCTTATGTAGTACTGAATCATTATAATGTATGTATCAAGCCTCAAACTGTATACAGTAAGTGTATAGCCAAACAGATGAGATTATATAATTTATATATACAGTATGGTGGCCTTGTTACTGTTGTTGTTTTCTGACTCCAGAGCACCCTCGTTTGAGGTGGAGTGAAAGGAACACAAAGTCTAAGGCAGCATTTACACAGGCACAAAAGATCAAATCAGCTGGACAGGTTAAACCCAACTTCTGACTGGATATATTTCTGTTCAGTTGGCTGTGACGAGATCAGAATGTGTCAAAGTAAAACTGGTCTTATTTTTTTCTGTCGCTGTTTGAATTGTAGTCGTTTCACACGAGCAAGAACATCCTCCTCAGAACGTCTGATGTGCAATGAGACATTTTCTGCAAACTAATTCCAGGAACATTCACTGCTCCAAGCTAATTTTGCTGTGCTGGCACTATGACTAAACTAGTTCCCCAAGAGGCTGTGGCTTTCAAAGGAACTGAAAAATACATTTTTAAAAACAATGTTGGTGCCATTTGTGCCTGTGTAATTGCAATGAATATTACCTACTTGTGCTTCTCATGTTGCCAAAATGAGCCCTGTATTTCTACAGAGAAAAGTTCTGTAGAGAATCTAAAACAAAATATTTCAAAGTAGCAACACTAGCCTATACTAGCCAAGCAAGCAGCCTAGATTAAAGGCACATTTCACTGATTGTTGACACTTATTCAGTGGAGGCTGCTGAAAGGACCAATAAGAGCGACAACATCTTTGGTGGCCGTCTGTCTAACTTGCTCTGATGAACCACTGACGGCTAGCTGACAACATGACCACTCCACTTACGAGTTAGTGGTTCAGAACAGACTTAAGTGTTACACACTTCTGACAACATAGCCACAAAATATCTTTAAACACTTGCCAATCCTATATTGCCTGTTATTAATTTGAAATCATTTATATTTATTAATTTTTACTTTCAGAAGTCCAGGGAACTTGTTTGAGCTTTCCCTTTGAAGTAAGTTGTAATCTGTGCAGATGTAGACGGTTACAGAAGAACCACATTTTACTGCTGCTCCTTTCCTGAGAGGGAACATTTGAAACTCTAAACCATTTTTGTTTTGTTTTTTTTGTTTTTTTTTTAAAGGAAAAAACAAGATTGAGGCGTGTTGTTTGTGTTGTCAAACTAGTGCTGATGACTGTAAAGTACAGTCTTCAGTGACGGGTTACGATACGAGTTCCTCTGCACATTCTGGTTTTGTACTTGTATACATTGTTTACAACCTGTGATTTTTCAAAAAAACTGGAAGTATTCATTCCCATTAAAAAAATAAAACAGGCCTGGGTTCAGTTCAAGAAGTGTTTTCCCCGTTTCAAATATTTAAAAACTCACATATCAATTATTTAGTACTCTAGGCAAATGTTTCAGAATTGCACCCTGGCCTGAACCATTTTTGTACAGTGTTGCTCTTATAAATCTCCCTTCTTTCAATGGGACTTGTATAGTGTTGATACCACAGTATGTTGTATATACATAATGTTGATAGTCATTGGGGCTGTTGAGCTTACTAAATCCTGCCAGTTTAATATTAACTCTATTGCCAACAATATGTTGCCTTGACCGTGTAGCAGTTTCTGATTAAATACATAGACAGAAACTTTCATGTTGTTTACTGCTTACTGTTGTCTTTTTCCTGTGTCACACTGTAACCAGCAAACTCTGATTTGGTTTTCTGGTTCTCTTACACACCTCATGAGCAAAGGATTAAATAAAAATAGTTTATTTGTATTCACAACCGTAACACAGGTAGTTCTTCAAAAGTGATGTCAGGGAGACGGAAAGAGAATTAAATATAAAATTTATTAGGCAAAATGTACAACAGCTGCATAAGCTATCTTACAGCTCAAATATAGACTTTATTTTACTTCCACTCTTTGAGAGTGGAATATTCAACTTTTTTAAATTCTGCAATGAACTGTGAAAACATTCATAAAAAACACACTGGCTCACATTTATCAAACTTCTCGAAGCAGGAGAGCTAATGTGAAATCCAGTTTGAATCAGTGTTCTAAAGGATGGTCAAACCAGAATAAACGATTTAAATAACGTTTTTTTTAAACTGAATTTCTTAACCAAGAGAGATACTCGTTATGACGTTGTTTCGCCTCCTTCAGTCCAAACAATGCAAAAAAAATGACTCTTTCCTCGTATTTCAAATCCCACAGCTGTTAATCTGTCTCCATGCTGGATCTGCACTGACTTACATCTCCTGCCAACAGTGAGATGTGAAACAAGACAAATTAAAGTGCATCCCAAAACAAAATCACTGAAGACTATAACACAATCAGTTACTGCCCTTTCAATGCAATTTAAAACTCTGGAAAAACAAATACATGTTTAGATTTCTCTTAATCAGATCACCAGAGAAAATTTACTTTTCATGTGAACCATGAAAACTATATTACAATATCAAATAGTTTCAAACTTACAAGATAAACAAGAAATCTCCAAAAAGGACCCATCAACCATGTGCAGCACCTACAACAGCTCCAGAACTTTAAGGTTAACAATTTGTTTTGTTGTTCTTATGCTTAAGGAATGGTGTAATAAGTTCTTGTTAAAGTATTGAAAGTGAAGCTTTAGTCCAACCCCACAGCTTGCTCACTTAAAAAAAAAAAAAAAGACTTCAGATGAGCTCTCCTGCTTAGAAACAGTAATCGAGTAAATGTGGCCTACAGAGACGCAAAACAAACGTCAGGATGGATTGGAAGAGTGGGATGACCCCATCAGTAAGCACCTCGTAGCCCGCTGCTCCGTGAGCCTCCGCCCCCTCCTGAGTTACCATAGTAACCACCGCTGCCGCCACGACCTGAGGAGGATTTTGAAAAGACTGGTCAGTGTAAAAAGGATTCATTTCTCACTTATAATGAATTCAACTAGAAGATAATTAACTAACATACAACATTCAGAAAACCAATAAGTAAAGTTTTTGTACAAATAAATACATCAGCCATTTGTGATCAGCAAAACAAAGGAATTATCAAACTTTATTTTATCACAAAAGTGAATGAAAACTCACTCATTTCAGCTGCTCCACTGGCTGTTGAGTTTAGAAACAGCTCAATATAGCGATGCTCTGTGGAGAAAACATCACAATCATCACATTCATATCAAAAACCTGTTGCTCTGCTGTTTAATGTAAATTAAATCCATCTGGTTACTTTCCCAACTAGTTCAAGCTGTAAGTTGTTTTTTTAGTTCACAGCATTCTGATTTGCTATAAAAATGGTATTTCCCTCTTTAGAAGGTTTCATTTGTTTTATGGTTAATACCAGGATTATGTTGCCTTAATGGTCTTTAGGAATTAACATTAAAAGCTGCCCCAACCTCGCAGCTGATCTGTTCAGATTTTGAATTTGTGCTTTTATTCTTCTTCTTTTTTAGATATAACTTAGTCGAGAAGTAGATTTGTGTCATGAACACATCCTAACGTAGTGTGAAAAAGTGGTGCCACAAGATCCAACAAAAGGGACAGACGAGCTAAAGAGGAAAAGGAGGACATACGCATGTGGTTCTTGTCTTTGGACATGGCTGCCACAGCGTCTTCATGGGAGCGAAACTCCACATCTGCTTCTCCAGTGGACTTGCCGTTAGGAGCCACGTCAATGTGGACCCTCAGTGGATTCAAAGGAGAGAAGAACTACATAAAGAAGGAAAAAAAAAAAGATGTATACAAAGATATATATAGAAATGAACAGGGAGACAAAAGGCCTCTCTCATTTGTCTCTCCTCCGTCCTCCTGTCTATGACCCAGAAATCAATCTCAGTGCGCCATCTCGAAGGACATCTCAGTTACTCAACTGCATCTAAAGGAGAAACGAGGGAGGAGAGAGGAGGCTTGCTGGAGGAGCAATGAGCGAGGATACCCAGGTGTATCCTTTGCAAAAGTCTTTTCAATGTTAAACTTTAATTTTGTTAAATGCCAGTTGCCTCGACTCCTCTGTGTCATTAAAAATGATGATGTTTTGTTCAGTGTTGTCTAAATCAGCACCAGCCCATATGAATGGTACTGACTGAAACTCCACACATAAAGAATTGAAGAGCCTCCTGCGCACAGTCCAATATCCCAATAATCCCACTTTCAGTTTCTATGATTATAATGTCAGCCCACAAACAACAAAAACATTTTCTAACTAACATCAAGCGGGAGAAAATATTTAAGAATTTAGAAAAAAAAGGCCTTTTTGGAGGAAACTTAATACAGTGATCTTAAAGGCTTTAACACTTGCAGATAACCTGCACAGAGCCTCATTGTTTGAAAGACAAATACTAAAAGTAACGTGTGTGTGTGTGTGTGTGTGTGTGTGTGTGTCTCCTTACTTTAGCGATGTCTCCCTCTGTTGCACGGAAAGGTAAACCCCTCATATGGACAAAATGGCCACTGTGGAAGCCTGAACAACCATCAGCTTGACCACTGTAACCGTGGCCTCCAATCCCTGAGCCAAAACACACAAACACAGCCACAGATTACCACAATGGGACCTTTGGTAATTTTGAATTAAGACTGATACATACCAACTATTAATTTACTTGATGATAATGAAACAATAAAGATGTACTGCAGATAAGTTATTAATGTTTCTTGTTAAATGTGTGAATTCTTCATATAGCCTCAAATTAGAGGTCTTGGCTTCATTTTAAGGGCTTCAAGCTAAGACGGTCCAAAACTACTTCTTTACGAAACTCACTCCTAAGTCTATTTTATTAATTCTTAATTATTTATTTATGCATATCCACAATGTAAAAGGTAAAAATGTTTAGGTGTAGAAATGTCGAGATTTGCACCAAAAGATCATTCATTTGTAAGAGAAATAAAATGTAAACTAAACAAAAACAATTAGAAAAGACTTTAGACTTTCAGCAGGGATGTTTAACTGTCAGTATAAAACAATGCTGTCAAACATTAACCCAGCAGATAGTCTAAATCCCAGAGGCTAAATAAATTTTGGACTTTACCTCTTCCTCCCCTCTCTCCTCTCACTCGCTCATCAAACATGCCGTTGCCAAAGCAGTAGTTGTTGAAACCATTGTAGTTGTCAAAGCCACCGTAGCCTGGACACAACACAGAGCAAGAAAGGAAAACTCAAACTGTAACACAGGAAACACGACACAATTGAAGCAGGGCTCAAAAACAGGACTGAAACACTGGCCAACTGGATAGTAAAACTTTGTTTTCTGCTGGTTCAGAAAAAGAAAATAATAAGACTATAAATGTGGAAGAGTTGATATAAAATATAATAAAATTAAAGATGTCTAATGTCTTTATAAATTTGACTATGTTCATGATTTGACTGCTTTTATGTTGTTTTGTAAAAATGAACCAATATGAAAGTTGAACAGAAAAGCAGAAATTAACCAGCTACAGTATGTAATCATACTTATTAATACAGTATATCCATTCCTTCATAAGGGAATATGAATTTGAGGTAGGCTTGTTCATCTCAAACATATGACAAAGTTAATATTTATATCTTATCTTAATATCTTAGTCAACCACTCAACTCTCAACATTTCTGGCAAATAATTCAGAGGTGATTTTGTGCGCTGTGCTGATGAGAACATATTGAACAGCACCAATGAGTATATCAGATCATATGATCAGGATGTGATTATCATTGTTTTGTTCAACTGTCTGTGGCGCTGATTGTTTACACTTATGCAGCCACCAAATATTATTGCATACAGAAATAAGAAACTCTGCTTACCTCCTCCATATCCCCCTCCACTCCTCATGGTGTCCATCAGAGCCCCACTGCGGCCAGGCCCGGGCCCGGGCCCATAAAACCCTGCTCTGGGGCCCCCCATCATGGGTCTATCGTAGGGCCCTGGTCTCTGGCCTCCCATTCCCCGCCGGGGCAGCTCATAGTAGGCTCTGATCTCATTACGACTGCTCTTAAAAATCTCTATATACCTGCAATATGAGAAGCCCATGGGGTGGAGGGGGGCAGAGGACAGGGTTAAGGTGTAGAAATGGCTTAGCTTGGGTTACATGCATAGACATTATTCACAGAGAGAGAAGATAAACACACCAAAAACAAATATCCTAAATAGTGGTCTATTCCATTCCTAATTAGTAGTTTTAACCTGGAGCGTCTGAATGACTGAACCTCAACAAAGTCTCATCATTAGCTGGGCTTAGGGCTGTAGTAGAGGATTTCTACGCCAACCTCACCTCTTGTTACTTAACGTAAAGAAAATCATTTTAGGTGTTGCACTGATCATTTTAATGTTTGATGCTTTAATGGTAGAGGCTGCCTTGACTGTCCTCTGCTGTAGTTCTACACTTAATCCCCTCTTCCACAGTAAATTATCTATGAGCTACATGTACAGAAAGATATAAAAGGAAGTGCCAAATGTTGCTCTAACGAAATTAAATAGGAGCTCCCAGGTCTTATTTGACCAACAACAAAACTGTCTATGGCATAAAATACTCACACCACCTTCAATTTATAGATTAGATACATGATCTTTCATCCCATTATTCAACATGTCACCATAGTTACAATACATAAACCCATTAAACCCCTCCCGTTAGCATTTTAATAAAGTATTACATGACCCACCCAATTAATTCAAACTTTGTCATTGTTTTACCACAATTGTTTTAGCACACCAACCCATTCTTCACATTGAACCATAGCAGAACCCATCCCATTAACACCACAATTACTCTAACATGACCACCCATTAAATACTACAATGGAAGACCAACCCAGTCCAGCCCGTCCCTTTCCCGTCTGTCCCACCTGTGCCCTATTCTTTCCTTGTGTTTCCCCAGAGCCTTTTCTGCTATCTCCTTTGAGGCAAACTGCACGAAGGCTTCCCCTGTGCTCCTCCCCTGGTAGTCCACTGGCAGAGTAATCCCATTTGGCACGATTCTCAACCCTTCAACCCAAGCACACATAAATACATAGGTCGGTAGGTAGACTGATAGATATGTAGAATAGATAGAACAACACCCACTGCAACACTGGAGCTTTCAGGATTAATATATGTCATGACAGCGAACAAATATCAGCTGTAGTATCTGATAAGACTGCATTAAAAAGGGGGCATCGCAGAAGACTTAATTTACACTTGTAAGGTGCCCAGCGGGGGAATTAAACAAATACTGGTCTAGAGTCAGCAGCTATAAAATCAAAGTAGATGCAGATAAAACTTTTTCTCTGATACACAACCAAATTTAGGCCAGTGCCAAAGTTATTATTTATTAGTGTTGAGTGACACTGGCTGTTAATAATTCTTAAGTATTGATTATCCTAGATAAAAGGCTGCTAGTTAACAGAATTATAGTACTGACCCCAGATCAGTGTCATGGGACTGTCTCTCCTCAGCCAAACCAAACCAGCCCAGCCCATTCTATATTTTAACCCCCTTCAGGAGGCATGATATCAAGATCATGTAGCATAAGCAGGTTAAATAATGTGTTAACATAACACTAACATGGTAAGAGGCATACTAACAATTCATAACAAGGACACATTAGCCAACACAGTATGACTATACTACAAGAACAAACATACATTAGGCCTTTGGGCCATGACACACAGACATGTTAGCTGACTATAAGTCAAATTAATACCACTTTGTAATGAGAGAGATCCAAAATGTGAAAAGATAGTGTTGCACGTTGGCAAATGTTAGTGTATGTTTATGCTGTTGGGTTGATCAGCAAAGTGGAAAGCACCGTTCAAAGTGCAGTTGGCAGTACTTTGGATTTGTTCATATTTCCTAACATAATGGTACTGTTTATGAAATAGTGTAAATGTAAAGTTTACTGTTGTTCCACTTTTATTTTCTATCAGAATAATGTTAAAGACGTTATAATAAGTTCTACCTGGGTAATTAGACAATTTAAGGAACTGATAGTGGACTTATTTCATTGGAACTGTTTGTTGGCCTTATTTACTGAAGCCTATGGACAGATTTTATGTGATAAAGGGCTATACAACATAAATACTGACCAAGAAATGAGTGAAATGTATTCAGAGCCTACCTGAAATTTCTTTTAGTGGTTTTGCCTCATTTGATTGTTACCTAGCAGCAGTTCTGTCCTTAAACCCTCAAACTGGGGTGTTAACAGTGGAAAAAACTACAATACTTGGTTAACAGCGTATCTATAAAAACTGTCCCTAAGTTTAACATAAATGGTGTAATATCAGTACAATTCAATAGAGTAATTAGACAAAAGTTTGTACCTGAGAAGAACTGAACAATCTCCTCCTTACTACAGCCAAAGGGAAGGCCTCTAAGTCTCAGCATGCAGCCACTGCAGCTGTCGTAGTCAGCAGGACCGCTACGTTTCAGCACCCAGTCCATCTCACTACGGTTTGACTTGAACACTGATTCAGACACAAAGACAGATCGACACACGTCAAGATCTGAAAGGACAATAAAACTTAGAAAGATACAAATAATTATTAGTTTGATTTGAAGCTCATCCCACACAAGCTGTGTAATGTCTATTTATACAGAGTAAACAATATATATTTGAGCCAAGACAAAAATTGACATGTATTTCAAATACACAGGGAACAACATCTCAACAACAGAGTATGTTGTACTTTGACTGTATCCGTAATCTCATAGAATACAGCAATTATTCAAATGGAAAGTTGGCACGTATAAACTCTCGTCCATCAGTCTGGTATGATTGTTTATATTTCTTACCCTCTATGTATCGGTGTCCCATGTATTTACGGTCCTTGGAGAGGGCATTCTTGAAATCCTCTGCTGTTTTCAGCTCAATAAATGCCTCTCCACTGGGACGGCCTTCTTTAGAGTAGGTGAAACAGACTCCGTTTATTTTACCAACGATGTCACAGTCTGTAAAAAAGTAAGACTGACTGAGATTTCCTGGCATAAAAAAATTCCCAATAGAGGGTACAACTGGATCCTGTCTAATTTGAGCTGCTTGGAGCTCGACAAAGTACAATCAAACTATATACCATTCATTCTCTAATTCACCTGAGCTCCTAACAGCCCCCTAGTGGCTACAGTCATGTGAAATTTGAAACAATAATGGTGGGGTAAGCGATTCTAGGTAATGCGATTCTAATTCAATACACTTTTTTCAAATTCAGTAAAAAATCCACTACAGGTCCGCTAGCGCCCTGCGTGCGCTGAAGAAAAATCAGGTGTTTGTACACAGCCCGGCAAATTGGGAACGAAGTGGATCAGAGCGAGCCAGGATTTGTGTGTCAGGTAGTGTTAAATTACTTGCCCAAAGACAGTCAGCTTACTTTCTAGTTTGCCAAGATATGCTGTTGTTGTGATGTTCACTACAGTAACAGGAGAGTTGTGAGTATTGTGTGCTGGCTCTGGGAAACTGTCTTGTCGTCTCTGCATGTTAGCTGCAGAGACAGCAGCAACTTTAGCGACAATACTCAAACCCAAAACATAGCTGACATTAGTTACATTACTTGCCATGTCATTGTTCGCACTGCATCGTGGTATCTGCCATGGAACTGGATTTTTCCAGAGTCGCTTACCCAACTTTTAAGATTGAGTAACAGCTCAGAAAACGTTGAGAAACCCAAGTCATTTCTGTGTGTAACACTTACACTCAGACAACCAATAAAAAAAGTTTCTGGCAGACTTCTTGTAAAGCAAAATCCCAAAGTGACTAAAATACTAAAACTAATTTAGATTGTAAAATACTTTTTGACTTCCACAATTAATTATATTTATCCTAGTGTGATCCTGATGCTTTATGCTCATATTTCTAAACACAGTGTGAATGTGAAGACACATCACAATGTCAACATTAAGCAAAAGAGCTGAGTTTCTTGTTTTAGAAGTAATTTCAGTCTTACACTTACTAACTGTGTTGATGCCTCAAGCCTTAAAAATATGAGTGTGTATTCTCACCAGAGAAGAAACTGGCCACTTCCTCCTGCGTGCAGGACCAGGGCAATCCTCTGATCCGAACCACATAACCCTCTTCATTCAAAGACATCCTCGCTGCCTCACAGAGCACAACACAGCAGCAACACATTAAATTACTGTGTCAATAATACTTTTATAAAATCAAATAGCTTCCAGTACCCTGGGCACAAAGTCTAAACTAAGGACAAAACTATTTTGTCCATTACCTGTGCAGATACCTTTCATAAATATAAGCAACCTGCTTTTAACACGTCTAAATAGTCTTACATTAGGTAACTTATTAACTATTTCTTATTGTGCATTGACTATTCATTATAAATATTTGTATATTCTTTATATTTGTGCAATAATAACTTAGTGTTACTTGTATTTGTACATGTATCATTATAAACAGAGCAGCAGCATTCAGCTATGAAATATGCACACACAGATTTGTGTAATAATACGCTGCAAAACATAATGTCCGCAGAAAGCTCATATTAATGTTAGAAATATCTGTTTTTCAGCCAATAGGAAAATAAACAATCACCAGAAACGAAATCCCTGTAGTCGGAATAATAACCAGTATGCAACGTCAACCCCCTCAGTATGAAATATCTAATAATTGAGGAGTATAATACAAGGTACTGCAGCTGTCTCAACAGTTAAATAGGCTAATGTTTGTGACTTCCTCCTTCCAGCTGAGTAAAATGTTCGTAAACCAAAAGGCTTGCTAGCTAACGTAACAACAGTTGCTCTCAACTCACTCAGACCTTTACAAATCTGTCCTCACAACACGTTATTATGCTTTAGTTAAGTTACTTCTCTGAACTTCACCGCAGGACAATAATAATAATAATAATAATAATAATAATAATAATAATAATAATAATATGTGTCGGTCTGGACAGTGGCTTAGCTAATGATGCTAGCTAACGTTTCTCTACTGTCAGGCAGCCGCGCTGACGTTATGAAGCTAACACTAGCAGCTAACAGGCTAACAGGCTAACTGTAGGACACTGACAGCGGTCAAACGTACAAGGCAAACTAGTTCGATTCCCAGCGGTGGAGCACTGTCACTGGGTATCAAAATATGCACTCAGGTGAAAATGTGTCAGACGTCGGAGACAAATGTATGAAAATGATGAAGTTGTCTTACAGTCGCCTCTTGTCCCCGGTCTCCTGCTCCGGTCCCGAGCCTCAGGTGTCACCAGCGAACTCCTTCAGGTATGTTGTCGCGAGACTTGGACTCATTAAAAACATGACGTTGGGCCCTTTATCTCAATAATAATAATAATAATAATAATAATAATAATAATAATAATAATAATAATAATTACATAGATGATAACAAATAATAAAACAAGGAGGGGTTATAAGAGGAGTGTAAATGCTATTTCTGTCCATTTCTATCAGAAGTATTTTAATGAACTCTAATTTATTGTATGTTGCATTGAAGATGCAATATAATAATAATGCCCAGGAGGCTTCCTGAGTATGTAGAAATGTATTCCTGTTGTGTTAATTAATTAATTAATTAATTAATTGATACTTCTGTTGACTGTTGCTTTCAGGCAGACAGAGCAGTTTGAATGCTACACACAGGCTATAGTGTACTGTGAATCAACTAAGACCAAAAACATGCTGATTATTTTAATGACCTATGTATAAAAGCACAAACCAGACATTGTGTTTGGAATTAAAATGGATCCCTCTGGTATTGGATTATTAGTCACACAAAAGCAGGAGTCCAGGCTATATCCAACCTCACTAATCAAAAACACACATGAAGGGACTTTGAACTGTCAGGTAACAACAGTTAATTCATTTACAGTTTTTATTGAGGGAGCAGGGCTTATAGTGGTGGGCCTATATGACAATAACAAACTTGTTTCGACAATAGACATAGAAACACAATAGTCCTGCCTTTGAAAGCAGGTTAAACAGAAGTCAGAAGTTCACGCAGAGGGGCGCCTGCTGAAACCAAACAGATCGGGTGTAAAGTCCACTGACAGCAGTGGAACGACTGTCACTACAATCCCCACTGGACACTAAGAGTTTCAAGCCATTGTCACATTTAGCCTGATCATAATGGAGATTCCAGTATTTACAGTAGATGCCTTCACGAATTTACCATTCAAGGGAAACCCTGCGGCAATTTGTCCACTTATGCATGTGAGTAAGAATATGTGGGTTAAAGTAAAGTACTGTCATATTGTACACGTAACAATCTGAAGTAGGGTGTTTGTTGTTCAAAGATTACAGCTGCTCCTTAATAAAACTATATCTATTAATCTATGTGCTTATACCACAGTGTATCCTGATTACATGTCACAACAAAAGATTTACATTTGTGTTTTTAACAGGAACTGAGTGATGATTTGTATCAGAAGATAGCAGCAGAGATGAACCTTTCAGAAACAGCATTCATCACCAGGATCAACCCCTCTGACAATTTTACTACAGGTAAAACTAACTAACTATAAAGACACAAAAATAAAGACATAAATACCTGCTAGTGGCCAATGGAAGTTGTGACATTAAGTATACCATAACTTATTTAAGTGTTGGATGGAATAGGTGATTTTGCAGCAACAGTAATGAAGCTAAAAATGTAAAATGTGTCCTCAGAATGGCTCCAACAATCCATAAAGTCACGATATCCGATGGACTTATTAAAGTAAGATTTCAAACGTTTATTTGATGGTAATTTGCCAACATTTGGTAGTACAATGCACAATTTCAATGCACAGTTTATGTCACAGTTCATCCTCTGATGATTGTCAATGTACACATTATATTTCACAACAGATCAACAATTAGATATGTTGTGTACCAATCTCAATGTCCAATGTGCAGTTCATTTGATGGTAATGTACTTTCAACAGGCTTGACGTAGTATAAAATATTCTAAATGGGCACAATTTTACATACTGTGTATAACTTGTACAGTATATAAAACACAGCAGACAAAGATGGAATAAAAACAAAAACTATTTTACCTTCAGAGGAAAGTGAAGGTTGTGTCTGCAGGTCTGGAGACACACAAAAACAAACAGAACTGATTAATACCACTGACTTAAGCAGTCATTTTGATAAAGTCGTAATACACATATAAATCATTACAGCACAAGGATCAAGGGTAGAATGAGATAAAAACACCCAGTTGTGTCAATTTTTTCTCTGTGTGTTCTTGTGTGTGCACAAACCAAAGAAACACATCCTCAGCAGTCTGACAGATAACAATGTTCAACACACAGCTAAGACTTGCATTGTTGGGAATGGGAAGAACAATGCAATGAGCGGTCACAGTTAACAATGCAAACACACGTGCAGTCACTCAGTTTTTTACAAATGGTACAACTGCACAGAGAGGAATACTCGTGTCATTTGTACACAGCTTAAGAACGGAAACATTTCAACCCCTTAAACTTAAATAGGTCTCAGGCTAAATATAACTCAGTCGCCTTGGGTATAAATTTTGCTTGCAGCTTAATAATTGATTATTGTACACATGAACACATCTGCATTTTAGATTCATATGAGAAATTGTGGGTATGTATAAACTTCTCTTTATAGGGCAAAGTTAGCTAAATAGTTTTTACTGCTTTAGATAGTTGTGGTTTCAAATGGCAGTTATATTTAGACTATGTGTTAAAGTTGTATGTGTGTTAAAGCACCTGTCTGACAATGTCATGTGATTTACAGGATCAAGGTTCCACCTTCGATGGTTTACACCAACCAATGAAGTGAATCTGTGTGGTCATGCCACTCTGGCCTCTGCAGCAGTGCTGTTCCAGTATAATAGTAAGATACAAAACAAACACACACAGACATGAACACAATATCGAGGTTAGTTTCCAGTTAAAATCCAGTTTATGCATTGGCCTTAATTGGAAGACAGAAAATATACAGATAGTTACTTTTGTAATGGCTCATTACATAGGCTCTTCCATATAAAACACAGTGAAGCTAAATACAAAAAAGGACAAGATATTGTTAATAATACCATGTCCAATACACCCACAGTAATCATAGTTCCTGCTAGCTTGTGAGAATAATATTCTGTGTGTTTATCTGTTAGAGAATGTGAATCCCATACTGGTGTTTGAGACCAGGAGTGGAGATCTGGCTGTCACCCAGAAGGGGGAAGGGTACATCATGGACTTCCCTCTCAACGCACCCACCCCAGAGGTACAGTATGTGGTCAGATGCACACATCAGGACAATTTTACAGGCAATCCTGGCTGACAATTACACTGTGTAACTGAGCACTAAAAAACAATATGGGGCGCCCGGTTAGCTCAGTCGGTAGAGCTGGTGACCCATGTACGGACTTTCTGCATGTCATCCCCTCTCTCTCTACCCACCTTTCCTGGCTGTCTTTGGCTGTCACTATCCAATAAAGGCAATAAAAGGCCAAAAAAATAACTTCAAAAACAAAAACAATATGGAGACAAACATGCAATAAATCACACACACAGTCCTTTCTTTACCCGTTATAATCTAGACTTCATTTTCCATTGCCCACAACAGTATCATGTCGATAAAAACTAAAACCCAGGAACTCTACATTAGTATAACATACAGCTGGAGCTGGAGATGGAGATTATCACTGCAAGGTGCAAGATTTTCCATTAGAAAGTTTCAGAAACATTGTAAAGTATTTCAAAAGACAACAAAATGCTATTATTGTAACAGCTTTTTTTCTAAAACCACTTTTCTCAGGATCCCAATGAGTTCAGAGACATCATCAAGGTCAGTAAGAGCATACACCTACTCTCTCTCACAATCTACATGTACATCAACCCCTCTGTATTTATAGTATATGCCAATGTGATTACATACTTGTGCTTTTGTATTTGCTACTTAACTGTGTCTCTGCTTCTGCACGTGTGATACAGGTTGCAGTTGGAAACCACGCAGTCCAGGAAGTCTATCTAAGCTCTAATACTAAGAAACTGCTGATTCGGCTGGCTGACAGCTGTGACAGGTAACAATCAAAACACACTTTAAAACCCATAAAAGCCCACAGACAGACAGATATTCAAACCACTGTCTGTCTCTAGGTCAAACTCGGTTTGCTAAATCAATCACTCGTGCCTTGCCTGGTTTGTTTGTGACTCTTCTTACGTGCTGCATGTGTGGGTTTTCTCCAGGTCAGTGCTAACCAGTCTGAAAATTGACCCTGTTGCTCTTCAGAGCAGTGACAAGAGTGGAAAAGTAGGAGGAGTAATCGTCACCATGAAAGGTAACCAGAACTAAAAATGAAATCCTATTTAGCAAGACCAGAGGGATACCTTTGGCAGCTTTAAGATTTGTTGGGTAGGACAACATAAAGTTAAAAATACCAAAGTCAAGAGTCTTTTAAGAAATAAGTGACAATTGTTTGTTCCCTGAAACCCCATGCTAAACCATTTATTAGCTATTAGTTTGTCTATTAGCCAACAAATATGAGATAATAGCAGCAACACCGTTGAGACAAAGCTACAAGCCAAGGTGAATCAAAATGTCCTTCTATCTGCCAATAGGATCCCCGGATTGCCAGCCGGGATACGACTTCTACTCCAGATTCTTTGCTCCGTGGAACGGCATTCCTGAGGATCCCGTCACTGGTAGACTGCTATTAGTACTATTACCACGATGACTGCTACTACAAAGTACTTTCTTATAATTGATTAATCCTACATATCTTGCGAAAGCTTTCTGTAAAAATCTTTCTTGTCCTTACAGGTTCTGCCCACACTGTGCTAGGAAGCTACTGGTCCAAGAAACTAGGAAAAAAGAAAATGCTGGGTAATTCATTTAACTAATTGCACATCGTAAACTGTCTTATGACTTATTGATCATAAAGAAACATAAAAGTCTGACCACATTGTAAAAATTTGATTTGATCAGCAACTTGTCAAACTCTAAACCAGTGCAAAAGTATTTTACTATCCACAAAACATTTTTTTATTTACTTGATGGCAGGTGTTGTTTTCCACCACAGATAGTCCATTACTACTAAACTGAACCATACTGACTCATAACTCTGTGTGTGTGTTTGTGTAGCTTACCAGTGCTCCAGACGAGGTGGAGAGCTGGAACTAGAAGTGAGAGACGACGGAAGAATCAATATAGCTGGACAGACTGTCACTGTACTGCAGGGAACAATGAAACTGTAGCAACAGACACATGCAAGCAAAGAGGGTTGGGAATGATGGGTCATTATGTACCTGCACACAGAAGCAGACGCAGGTTTCGTACCATTTCGTAAAAAAATTTGATGGTTTAAATAAAAAGCAGAACAAACTACTGTCCAGACTGGTCCATCTGATACTGAAACTTCACTAAGCATGCCAAAATACTACAGGATGGAAAGAACATCTCACAATCTGTTAGTATTTGTATTATTTATTTACATGACACAAAAGCAAAATTACAATATTTAAAAACAGTAAACTAAATACAGAAACAAAAAAAAACCATGTAAAATCAGAGGTTGTGTCAGTAGTGAAACAGTTTAAAGTTACAATCAGTTACCCTGGTGGCCTGGATGTTATCTGACAAAGTAAAGGAATCATCCCAGTGCATTAGTTTACAATCGGTAGACTGGTGTACGTAGAAAATATTGTTCTTTCTAAGCTGTGGTTTCCTACAAATTCAGAGTTTTAACCGGTTATCAGTTTTTCCTCCTTAAGACTGCGATTCAGTTGACTGAATTTCTGAGCTTATCTGGCTGTTGTAGATAAGTGACATGAAACTATAAATAACTCTATATTCACATTACTAATGATTTTTGGTTGTGTGTAAATGCTGAATGAAAGAACCAAACGTCAATCAAACTACTGTCACAGTGTATCAGTGAGGTATTTGATAAAAAAATATGAGTTTATGAATGGTGACCAGTCCTATTTGAGGTTTGGTGCCATAATCCACCAGTGTCTACAAACTATTTTAGTAGTTCAGTGTCTCAGTACCTTGTTTCACAGCAGACATTAACTATTGATAGATTTAAAACTAGTGTGTGTTGCATTTAAAATGGTTCAACATTAACAATTGCAGCTGTGGCCTAAGGGTCTCTAGCTTACAAAACTTGTTGAGGTTCAGTCTGGAGATTAACTTTATAAGGTCTTGCCACTCCTCTTCACTTAAATATGAAGTGTTAGAGCCCAAACTGGCCTGCATGCATGCGTGCATGTGTTTAAATATTAAAATGTTATGCTAGAAAGGCACCTGTTTTTGAGTGCTTTGTATAATAAGACATTTTAAATTATTCTATTATAAAAGGTACAATGTTCAACCAGTCTCGTACAGATCAGAGGCAGCGTCCCCTTGAGTGCCTTCAAGTGTCAGTTCTAATGTGTTGATTAGTGTAATGTGCATCTCTAGTCCCCGATCACGGCCTCCTGCCATATCATTCAGTGCTTTTGCAGACTGGCAGTCAATCTCTGCCATGTTGAGGTGCTCCACAGTCAGCGGCTGTTCCACGGTGAATCAGACATGAAACACCACCATGGCTTCATAGTCTTCTATCACAGCGGAATGCTTGGTAAGGCCTTGTGGGCAGCTGGCGGGAGCTGGATAATGTGAAGTAAGGGTTCAGGAAAAAAACATCGTAGACGTAGAATACATTAAAAAAAAAAACTCAAACAAATGTTACTATAAGTATTGTTATTCAAAAAGTAAATACAAGCACTCTCGCTTCAACTAATATCCTCAAACACCATTTGTTGGGAAGATAGACTGTACCTGTGAAACTTAATTCTGCTGTACAGACCTGAAGAAACTTGTTTAGCAACACCAGATTCTGCAATAAATGTCTATTAATACTAACAGTACTCTGTTAACAGGATTTTATATTGCAAATGTAGAAAAGTTTAGTGGTAGCACCAAGTTTGAGCATGTGTTTCAAGGATATCATGTTCTCCTGCTGGAGATGGTTGAGTAGTTTCTCCACAGGCGCATAGCGTCGTAGCGTTGTGGCAGAGCCCACCATTAGCAGCTTGTGTTTAGCCCTGGTTATGGCTACATTCAGGCGACGCCAGTCCTTCAACAGCTCTCCTAACTTTGAATGGATAAGCAGAAGAGAAAGTCAGGTTCCCACTCACCTGTTCATTTCCTAATTCATCTATGCAGAGATTGAAGCGCAGAAAAAAGAGGAGAAAGAGGAGTTAAAAATTATGGGGAAGAGAAACACTTACATTTCCTTCCTCTGCAGTGCTCTTGACAAAAGAAAAAACAATCAGACTTTTGTCACGTCCTTGGTATCTGTCCACTGTGTTCACCTCCACACCGGTGAACGCAGAGGACTGCAGCAGAGCAGAGATACTCTTTAACTGCAGTCTGTAGGGGGCGATAACACCTATATCACTAGGCTTACAACCCGCCTGAAGAAAGAAAAATAAGCAGAGGTTAGTACAATAATAAGCTACTCTTCCCTTTTATTCACTGTAGTAAAAACTTAACCAGGAGATTAAACTCATAAATACTTGTGCCAACTGATGTACCTTTATCAGCAGTGAAAGCAGCTTGTGTATGAGAGCAGCCTCAGTGTGATTGCTTACACCTCCCTGCTCCACTGACTCCAGTGCTGGTACCTAGAGAAAGCAGCAGAGAGAAAAAAAAAGATGTAGACATTGTCTTTCTCACAACAGCCCAATGTATGTCAGGCATAAAGCCCCACTCTTATTTTACATAAATCACTTTCTTCAACATGTGAAGTAGCTGACTCAATTCCTTCACTTTTACGGCTAGTAAAACCATTTTAAAGCCCATCCATTTTAGTGTAACTCAAAACTGACAAGCAGGATGTTAGACTAATGTAACAGAACTCATTTGTATGCTATATTTGATTTACTATTGTACAGTGTCGCTTAACTACAGACATTAAAAGCTTTAGACAGTTTAAGCTACCCAACAGTTTCATTCACTATATAAGATTTCAAGTCAAAGATCAACATCCTTTCTGTTGACTCATTTCTACCGCAACATAACACAGTTCAAAAACTACTGCTTGAGGTGCTCTCTATATATTATACCAACCATTGAGCAATCGAGGAAGCAAACAGGGTTGCTAGGCAACAATGTGGCCTGTATCCAAGCCAGGTCGTGCTGGGGATCAGTCTTCGAGTAGGAGCTCAGCTCCGACTGGACAGAAACCAGGAAGGGCAGGGTGAGCAGGGCCGTGGCCGCCCTCTCTGATCCACACTCCAGCCGGCCCTCGTACATCAGAGAGTTACTGAGAGACATTATTTGCCTGAAAACACAGAGCACACACTATTTATTATAGAGTGGGAAGCCTTTCGAACTCTTGCCATGCTGTTCTGTAGTTGTCGTGTAAATAGAACTGTTTCCTTAATCTTAAAAAAAAAAAAAAAAAGTAACCTCCACTAACATGCGAATGTATCTTAGCAGTTAATCAAATGGTCTAAAAGGTGAGGTCATAATAAACAAGGCAAGATTACTGAGGCATACAGTGTGTGCAGGTTTACCTATTCATCCGGTACTGTACATTGAGTTGGACCACCGCTTCGCTGTGAAGCTCCAGTCGCTTAAATAGACTTTCGTCCATCCCAAGTGACCTGGAGAAAAAAAAGAGAGAAAGATATTTGATATTTTTATGGACATTATTTTAAGTTTGCATTAATTACCCAAATGAACTTGTCCATAGCCATAGATTAAAGTAAAAACTGACTCATGTTTTACCCACATAACGTCAGGTTACTACAATATCTGTACTCTTTATAATAACATACATCACCCATCTACACACACACTTTACCTAGCTTCCTGATTTTGTACTATTGGTGGCAGTTGCTGGTGATCCCCCACCAGTACAAATCTCTTGGCATAGAACAGGGGTCCCATACAGATTGGCTGGCTGATCTGTGAAGCTTCATCCACGATGCAGAAATCAAACCGCCGACGTGTGAAAATGGGATGTTTGATGCCCATACAGGTGGTTGCCACTACCAGCTAGGAAGAGAGAGAGAGGATCGGTATTGAATGGTAAGGCGTTTACTCTTTTTATCTACATGTGATCTAAAAATAAAAGCAATGCTGATTTCAGTGTATATCAATTAAAGTTAGAAGTTGTTGTGATTCTAATATTCCACAACTTAACTCCTTACCTCCTTGTTGTAAAGCTGCTCCAAGTCTGACAAAGTGTGAACTCCCTTCTTCCTTATACTTTCCTCTGTGTAGGGCAGGATGTCTGGATGAACCTAGAGGCAGAAAAAGTCAGAGGGGCAAAATTATTCCATCCACCCCAAAAGTTACCATTTACTTGATATATTCCTGTACAACTTTAATAATGTCCAATTTCTTTTTTTCAAACAGCACAACACAATTTATATTTACTGTTCTAAAGCAAAATTGGGAAGCGAGGACTTATTTACTGCACTGTATTCCACACACTAACATCATATATAGCCCACCTTCTGTCCCTGTCCAAGACGCAGAAATCCAACCCGGAAACGCTTTAGCTTCAGCAGGATGTTGTCAACAGCAGAGTGGGTGTAGCTGGTCAGCAACACACTGAACCCACATGCGTGAAGGATGCGAACCTGAAAGAAAAAGGGAGGAAGAGACGAAGAGGAGAGAGAGAGAGAATGGTGGAGGGGTGAGAGAGGGTTAGAGTTCTGGTCTTACTAGGGAGAAGATGATATTTATTTATGGTTCAGGTAAAATAAAGTTTATAGATCATGGTTGGGAGTTTACCAGGGTGCAGATGGTTGTGGTTTTGCCTGTGCCTGGCATGCCAACAATTAGTGTGTAGTCTTTTGATAACAACACCTTCTTCATGGCCTGCTTCTGGGGTTTGTTGAGACCTACAAACACACGCGAATGCATGAATTCCACAAATGGGCATTCTGTCAGACAAGTGGTGAGAGGTCTTCATAGACAATAATGCACTAGGAAAGTGATTGATTTGAGTATGAAATGAGTTGTTCTTGCTCATTTGCCGCATTGTCTCCCATAGCAATGGAAGGTAGAAGAAACTTAAATACAGAAAAGGATAAAAGAAATTAAATGAGACAGGAAGAGTAGAAGAACAGAGTGGCTTTGTCACCTTTAAGGATGTTGGCCACAGTGTCCTTGGCCTCTCTTGGCAGAACAGAACTGAGGTTGGAAATAAACTCTGGAGGACGAAGGTCAACAACCAGCTCCCTCAGACGATCACTGCACACACAGATAATGTTATTAAATTAACACCTTTTAACAGCCCACATTCTTCCGGAAAGTCTGAGGTGTTATTTTTCACACAACAAAGACCAAACATAAAATGTGTGAAGGTACTGTTCACTTCCTGTTAATAAGCTGGTTTCACTATCATAACTTAATATTGCATTTTACTGTATTTACCTGTCCTGACCGTTTTCCATCAGTCTGGACAGATTGGTGAGGTGAGTGCTGAGGCCCACCACACCTTCATCTCCATCCAATCGAAACAACACACCACTGAACTTAGACAGGTCTCTGTAAACAACAAAACAAGAGTAAGTCAGGTTTGCCACAGTCGTGAAGTTGTTGTTTGGTTGAAACATTTCGGATGGCAGGTGTATGTGGGTTCGTTCTCACCTGTCCAGGGTGCAACTGACACATGTCCTGCTGACCTCACACAGGTATCCCGTTGCCAAACCAACCAGACGACCTTCCTGGTCGCTAACGACAATGCGATCCCCGCTGGCCAGACCACTGTTGGCCAAACCCTTCTGCAGCACCGCACTGCTTCGCTGGAAACGATGGAGGAAAACCCCTTCGGACTGTATGGTCACTGGGCCGCTGAGCTGCACATTCCCCACACAGCTCCCATTCTTCTCACTAGAAACACAGATCAGAGTTTATTGTGCTCAAGGATTTAAACGGTGGGGAGTGTTTCATAATGGCTCACAGCAGAAGCTGGAACATTCAGTGAAGGGCAAATGAGTGAGTCCTACCTCTCCTCTGGCGTCCGAAGCCACACACGCTTTCGGCCATTCTTGGCCTCCATGGTGGCAGCCTCAAGGCAGCAGAGCAGCAGCCAATGGGAAAAATAGCTCAGATGTGGTGGTGTCAGGTGACCCGTCTCCAGCTGCAGGAAGTCACGCACAACGTCCTCTGAGACATCTGCAGAGTTTCCATCAACCGCCCTGAGGAATAAGGTGAGAAAAGGACGGGAGGAAGTAGACAGAACGAAGAATCATAACTTAATGAGTCCATTTCAATTTTATTTAGACTCACCAACTGCTATACCGGCTGATACATTTAAAGAAAATCTAATGCTTGAGATTTCCATGGCTGCAAAATTAGTTTAAAATGTTTACCTCTCATATAAAGCACAGTTTATTTTCTGAGGACAATACTGGCAGGTTTGTCTGTTTGTCAGGATGTCAGGAAGTCTGGACAAACGGCTCCGCTTCTTCTCTTTGTCCACACAGTTGTGAATGTAATGAACCAAGGTGTTCCTCAGCTTCAGCAGCTCTGAAATAAAAATAGAGTTTAGCAATAAAAGTGAAAGAGTTTAAAAAGACAGGGTTCTTCTTCTTTGGTTTCACTACTCCATATGACTACAGGGAGCCAGCACTGCACAATATTTTAAGATTCTACAATTATTAATGACAACAAATAATATTTGAATATGATTGTACTCGACTCCTATTGGGCAGGTTGGCTGAGCACATGTTGGTGTACTGTACCTCTGCGGTCCATGTGGGTGGGCACTACAGGGTGTAGGTTGCCAGTCTTGAGGTAAAGCAAGAAGCCAGCTTCAGGATTGTATCTCTCCAAGCTCATCAGAGTGTAAAGAATGACCTACACAAAGAAAACCACAGTTGTGTGATTAAATGTGCCCGTATTAATGTATTGTAAACCTGCCTTTTCACCTGACCCCCCCAGTCTACGTGTGTGTTGAGCACACTGTGGTCCACCAACCTGACTGCGATGCTCGATTGAGTTTGACTCCTTTCCAGTTTTGAGCTCTAGGGGGACAGTTTTCTCCTCCAGGGTTCTGTGACTTCGTCTTTGGATTCGAACACGTGCCGTCACATCAATTTTCCCTTTCAGGCCAAATCTCGGTGACCACACATTCTCTTCTATATCTGCCAGCTCTGTAACCGTGACAACAGTTGCAGAGTCCTGACACCTGCTTGGAGCTCGGCTGTTGCTAGGGCTGAGGTCGAGACGGAGACAGACACACAATAATTGTGATTTAAAATATTTGCAAAAATATAATTTTGACATCCATTACACTGATTAATACCAGATATAGACACAAATCAACAGAGCTGATTTCTTGGTTAACAAATCTGTAGCGCTGTGTGTGTGTGTGTGTGTGTGTGTGTGTGTGTGTGTGTGTGTGTGTGTGTGTGTGTGTGTGTGTGTGTGTGTGTGTGTGTGTGTGTGTGTGTGTGTACACATACATTTTGAGGCTGATGGTTTTTGGTGCTGGGGAGCTGAGATATTCCTTTGCCCAATGCTCCAGTGAGGGCAGATAATCATGCAGTTCCCGCTTCATCTCTTCCTGGCTTACACCCAAAGTGTACCTAGAGACACATGGAAAAAACACAAATATAACTGAACAAGACAAACAATATGCACACAAACATCAAGTGAAAAACGTGATACACCGGAACATATTGTTAAATCTACAGGAAACATTTACAAATAAGTGTTCAGCACTTTCCTGCTGATGAAATTTCCTGATTAAAGTGCTCTGTTCTGAACAACTGTGAAGTCATTACAGACAGGAAATGGTCTGCAGCACCTATAATCTAACCACTTACATGTCTCCCAGGTACTGAGGACTGTGCAGGGCCTGGTCAGCCAGTTTAGACAATGTCTCCAAAGAAAAATCTTTAGCTGTAGCTGCTCTCTGGAAGACTTCATGGACAATGGTGCCGTTGAGCATTTGCTTGGAGCCACCATCAAAACTCTACATCACGACAAACAGAAAGAACAGGAGAAGTTCAAGAGTTATATCACTGTGTTATTGAGGTATGTGTATTCAAAATAATATGAAAACTATGCATCAAAATCAAACTATGATCCTAAATGATATAAGCACCTTTTGTACATTTTAGATATCAAGCTGGAATTTTATCTTTCACCTCTTAAATTACAATCAAGGCTTTCTAACCACTACTACAATCACCTAAACAACATGAATTTAACATGCCTGTTGATATAGTAGCAAGAATTATACAGTATGTATCGGTACTAAACATTATGTTTTTTTTAGTCTCATTGTGCATGTGGGTAACAACATGAAATAACTGTTCACGTTCACACTGTGCAGTGTACTGTCCACTTCAAGATCTATAGAATATATGTATATTAAATGAGAAATTTAAGATAAAAACACACAATAAAAAGATAGTGATAATAATTGTATTAGTAAACCCTTTACCTTGAACATATCTCCCAATACAGCACGCCGCATGCAGCGGATGGAGCTCGAGATGCTGGTACCTGAGATGAGGCTGTCGGGTAGTAAAACCAGGAAGCCCTGCTCCCTGTCCACTAACCAGGCTCCACTATCAGAGTGGCCCTCCATATGCACCACATCGCCACAACAAACAGGAGTCATCTCCCTGGAAACACCCAAGGAATGATTGTTTTATATTCAAATTCACATCTAAAGCAAAGATAAATAAAAACAGGCACCAGCTCATGAATAAAAATCTCAATAACCCCACTAGAGGTCAAAACTATTCAAAGAGAATAGAAATAGACAATAGATAATCAATTTTTATGATTAAAAGAATGAAAAGCTCAGTATTTGCACTGATAATGTACACAGTGTACACAGTACACAAATCTGGGCTGCATCTGGGCATTGTAGCGAAGAATGTCATGTACATTATGATGTAAATGAAGAATTGAACAACAGGGTTAACAGGACAGAAAACACCACCACACAGCATTACCATCCATCTTTCAGCAGACATGTCTCAGTTGGGTGTAGAGATTTGGAGCATGAGATAGTCAGTGTTTTGTGGCCAGGCCTCTCCTCGACTTCTAATACCCAGTAGCGGTTGTTTAGGCCTCCAGAAAGGATCACGTGGTCTGGCACCTTACTGTAGGGACAGAAAACATTAACATCAACTTTCCAGTCACACACTCACACTAGCACCAGTGTAAGGTGCGTTTGTGTGTTTCTTACCGGGGTTTTTTGGGTTTCTCCTCTTTAATAAGACCTTCATTATGATCCATCTGCTCTGCAAACCAGCTCTCGTCCAGCTCGTCTTCCACAGGAAACGGCAACGTCATTCCTTTAGTTTTTCCACGTGGGAAAAAGTGACCAAAAAACAAAACAAAACAACAAGTGAGCAGGAAATAAACACAAACACATTTAAAGAAAGGGGTGTGAATTAGAGCCACGTGTATCCTGTATTGATGTAATGTGAATATCATATACAGTCATCTGGAATTTTATAGTTTTCTTAAATAGCTTAAATCATGTCATTAACCATGGGTCCATCACACAGACACTTTCAAAATAAAAGATGCATTTAAGCTGGTTGCTTTTTTTTGTTGCTGTTAAAAACTGTGAACTTGATCATGTCAACGACATGCAGTTTTTGTCAAAATAATTACAATTATATACAAAACATGTGATAGATGGTAATCAAAATGTATCACCTCCAGCTTGTCCCTGGTCTGATGATGTCACATTGTCTCCGTCTCCACCTGATGAGGTCACTGCAGTTCTTGTAGCTCCTTTCTTGTCAACCTCTCCCTCCTTTTCACTTCTCTGTGCCACAGTTGTGATACTTTGTGCACTAGGTTTCTGCACGTGAGCAGTAAGAGTGGGAGTATCCTTACCCAGATGAGCGTGTGAGTTTCCACTGGCTTTCGCCCCAGTTGCCTTCTGTTCTGTTACCGAAGTAAAAACAGAATCTTCCTTGTTTCCATCTCTCGCTTCCTGATGTTTTCTCTGTTCCCCAAAAGATTGGCAAGAAGCAGACTTCAATGACATCATTTTGTTTGTGCTGCCATTAAAGATCACTTTAGAAGCTCTGCTCTGACCTTCTGACTGGTGACTGGAGAAGTGAGGTGTCTTCACAGGCCCAATCACAGGCCTTGTTATTTTCAGGTTGCTACCTGTGGGGCTGAGCACAGCTCTTTGTGCTGGTGGATTGGCAGTTCTTGGTCTCTTGGCAATGTGGAGCTCTTGAGGAGGGCTGAAGAGTCTTTTTGTGGAGCCAAAACCTCCCTCTTCCCTCTTGGTTTTTCCTTCATTGTCACTCATCACTCTCCGTACACTCTGCCCTTTGGATCGGGGACTGCGACACATGGGGGACAGTTGGCAGAGCTTCTCCAAGCTCGCCACCTCTCTGCTGGGCTGGGGGCTCAGTTGACCTGAATCTTTGGACGAAGAAGAGGAAGCAAGCCTAATCTGACTCTTGGGTGTCTCGGGAACAGAAAGGAGAAGATCTGGCGAGGAAGGCAGGAGGTTTTCAAGGTCCCCAAGGATACTCCTCTTTAAGGGGGAATGGGTTCTGAATCTAGAGGTTTCACCATCTTTGATCTGAGGTTCAGTCTTGGCGAGTGCGTTGCCAGTGACAAACAATTTTGTGGAAGGTGACAAGTCCTAAAAGCAACACAGTCAATTAGTATTTTAATACAGACATTTTTATTAGTAAATTGTTAATGTAAATCAGAGGTAAATGGGATTGTGCATTACAGCAGAATAGAAACAGATAAGAAGTAGATGATGAATAAAACAGTAACAATATTAATAGTAAAAGCAATTAGATGTGGTACATACTATATTTATGAAATATCTAATGTTTAGCAATTGTCTTATCCTAGTCTTAAAGGTTGTATTACAGCAATTTATACTTAAGGTTTATCATTAACCAAACATATCTGATTGTTTTTACTGGGTGAAATGAACAGTATATGTGCTTGACTATTATACGCACTAAATAATGAATTCTCTCTCAAAAACTGTGTCAAGACCTAGAAAATAATAAGGTGGAAAGAAGACAAAAAGTAAAGAAGAAACAACTAACTTAAAGAAAAAAAATCTAATTTACCTTCTGGTGGTTTTGAGAGGAAAAGAAGGAGGAGATATTCTTGTGGCCTTCTGGTGCCTGACAGAAACAACAAAGCAAACATTTAGCGTTAAAGTTAAAACAGAGCTTGTTTGAAAAGACATTTGACATTTCAGACTGTAGAAAGGATCTTGAGCCAAACATTTGTCAGTAATAACCTCCTGATAACTGCAAACCAATCATGTTCATCTAGATAACACAGACATATATGTATCTGATACACCATTAAAAAACCTAGTTCATTTGTGTTTTCTGTTTCTGATATCCTACTTTGTTGACCAGAAAAAATAAAGATAAAGGCCGCAGTGGAGTGATCAATAGAAACCAATAACAGATACAGAGCTGCTGACATAATAAACATTGCTGGTTCCTTTCTTTTAAACCCTCACATACTGTTTTTAATCACATAAAACCACCAGACACTGTTCGCTAAACCTTCTCCACTCACCTTGGTTTTCTTCAGCTTGGTCCTGTTCATGGTGGCTGATTAAAGTCCGGACAGGTGTATGTATTTATGGGAGTTTGCTCAGCGGTAAATGAGCCGTTTATAAGCGGTATCTGTTAGCTAACGTTACAACGGTCCGCAGAGAGACATCTCCACAACCGGGAGATTACCGACTACTACAACAGCGTTAACTCACGTTACAGAGGACCACAACCGGGAGATTACCGACTACTACAACAGCGTTATTTAACGTTACGTTTCCGTGAAAACTAGAGGACTATTTTAATGTTTGGAGTCATCTTCTTGACGGTCTTTCCGCTGTTTCCTCCAGATGTTTAAAAGTCTGTGGCGCCAAAGTTTCAGCTTCGCGCAACGGAAATGACGTCAGGTGTACTTCCGCTAAAGCCACGATTTGACGAGTCAAAACTGTAACTGAGTACATCAGGATACATTTCCATAAATATAATAGTATTTCTAAATAGGTTGGGACAGTAAAACAACATTCGTTTAATTTTGAAATGAATTAATTTTTGTTGTTTTAGGGACAGTTTAGTTGTGTACATTTAAATTGTTTGTCAATTCGGAAAAGCAATAATAAAACATTATTCTATAATATATATACAAATATATACAAAGCCACTAAACCTTTTCGTATTAAGACAGAAAATGTCATGTCGTTTTCCTGCACGCAGTCATCAGTGTATGTGGCAACTATATCTAAACTGCATGGATATTAAATGTTACAGTAGATGATGATAATGATGATGATGATTTAAAAAAAAGAAGCTATTGTTTTAATGCTGATCAAACAGTCTCAGGTGCCCTCCAGAAACTGTATCCTCCTGGTGAACTGAACCACTATCAGGGTGTCTAATCTACTATATGGGTGGCTTTGTGTATCTCTCAGGGGTTCAGTAGACCCTAAATGTGTCATGAATTGTATTCTGCACCATAATAGAGCTTCTGGGATTGAAACTTTTCTTCAAGCCATTCTTCATCATTCTTTGTAGTTAGTAGATTTCCCTCACCGATGAGTCCTCTCAGACATCCACAATATGCTGCTCAGTCTAGCCAGTGTTTGAAAATCTGATATATCTACGAGCTCATTTGCCTTTGTGAATTAGGGTCAACACGATTACATACTCCTCTCAAATGCAAATGTTTTCCATAATGCCTGTAAAATATTGAACCATCAGGTTGGCAAGTGACAGTATTTAAAACCAACAAGCATTATTTTTTTTCTTCTGGTTTAACGCAATAGCAGCTCTTTACTATTACATTAATTAAAATTTACAGAAAATTAACATTATATACATAAAAGAGAACTTGCCGAGGCCATCCCATCAACATTCAGAGACATGAATACTATTGTTATAGCAGAAAATCAATACAACTACACCATGATAAGCATTAGAAAGTTGTTGCATCTTCATAAAAGTATGTGTTGTGCTGCTTAGGTGTAATATGCAGTGTTTCAACAACCTTACCTCAGGAAGGTTGTTGTGACAATGAAAAAAAGAGAAAATGTATCTCAGGTGCTGTAGGTAAGTCTTCTCCTGATTAGGTTCCAGTTCTGGTTGGTTTCCAGCTCACTGTTTGCTTTCAGTGTGGATATAAAAGTTAATGAGTCATATGAATATCAGTTGAACAGCAGCCAGACTTTTCTGCATTGACTTTGGAAAGACGTTATGAAGCTGACTCCTCATAAAAACATAAAAGCATAAAAACGTAATGGATTTACAAAGTGGATTTTTTTTTATTTCAAAGCTGCAGCAATTTGAAGATTCTTCTTAATTTATTTGCTTATAATCAACTTCACACACACAAAGTAACTTAAAATAAATGCTATTCAGCTATCCAGAAGTGGAAAAAGTCAACATGTTTTGAGAAAAAGGTTTAAATAAAGAATAGATGATGGATGATGATAGTCTTAAATGTCATTCTTAAAGGAGCAGTCGGTAGGATTTGGTGGCATCTAGTGGCAGAGGTTGCAAAAGAGCACACATTCACAGTAGACGTAAAAATAGAAGTACTGATTAAACTTCTTTTTACTTTGAGTACAGGCTCTGAAATGTACTCAAAAGTAAAACGTACTCTCTTGGATTCTCTGAAGGACATTTACATTTTTTCTCAGTCTTGAGGTGGACAATATACAGACAACATTTCAGTGGCAGAGTGGTTGTTTAACCTTTTAAAAGTAAAATATGCTTTAGAAATCAACACAAGATTAAATGAAAACATAAAATGATGAGAAAAAAATACATCAATGCTTTTTTATGATCTGTCTCCATTCATCTCTATGATCCCATCATTATAAAAAAACCAGAGGATGTCTTGATTTAAAAGAAAAACTTTGTCTAAATCATTACAACAAAGGTCATAAACAGGTCAGGTTTTATGATGGTACTGTGTATTTTGAGTCACCCCCACGCACACCTTCCTGCTGCAGGAAATACTTAATAGGGCCACAGATCAAAGTCTGAAAATAGTCCCCAACAAATACACTATTTACTCTTGTTTGAGTAACAATTGCTAAAAACTGCTATGGGAAGCTATTTTAGGGAAATTACTGAGCCTTTAAAAAACAAAACTACATATTTATGACTGGATCATAAAGATTTACAAAGTCAGAATAAATTGGCACAGGTCTATTGTGGAAAGTATTGAGGAACTAACAAATTTTTTGTTTTGCTTTTTTCATGGGGAAGGAAGGAAAATGTGTCATCTACTAATAGGCCACTGCAAAGGGCATCACTGACAAACTATACTGTACGTACTGTACAAAACTATACAGCAACAACAACAACTAACTTGTAGAGAAAATGTTTGTACAAGGTTTGGTGTATTTGTGAAGGTGGAAAGAAAGTCCTCGTCCTCGAAATTATCAAAGAAATGCCATGGAGCAAACGTAGTCATTTCTCAAGTCTACAGATTCTCTCCTGTGTGAGTCTTCATATGAATGATTAAATGGGAGCGCCGAATGAATCTTTTCCCACAGGCAGTGCAACAATATGGCCTCTCCCCCGAATGAGTCTTCATGTGGCGTGTTAGATTAGACTGAGCGCTGAATTTCATACTACATACAGTGCAAATGTAGGGCTTCTCACCAGTGTGAATGATTGTGTGCTTGATAAGATCGGCTTTCTCTCTAAAGCTTTTACCACAGTCAGTACAGCTGTGAGGCTTCTCTCCCGTGTGGATCCGTATGTGCGCGTTCATGTTTCCAACTTGCGTGAACCCTCTGCCGCAGAAACTACACGTGTACGGTTTCTGTCCAGAGTGAGAGTTCATGTGAGTCTGCAGATAGGAGCGCTGGATGAAGCTCTTTCCACAAACACTGCAGCTGTAAGGTTTCTCTCCCGTGTGTGTCTTCATGTGGCGAGTCAAAATCGATTTAATCCTGAAATTCTTGTTGCAAACGCTGCACGTGTACGGCCTGTCTGCTGTCTCATCGGCCTGCTGTGGCTTCTTCCTGTTTACACCTCCACCGTCTCTCCATTCATCATCACTGACTTCACTCATCTGACAGTCACTGGTTGGCTCTGATGCACCGCAGGCTTCTGTATCAGCCTCTGATTTCAACTGTTTAGAGGAGCTGCTGGGAAAATGGTCTCCTTTATCTTCATCTTCTTGGTTTTCATGTGGGGACTGTGGTCCATCTTCATCGCTTCTTTGCACATAAATTATATTGAACATAGAGTCTTTGGTATCAGCTTTCTCCTGCTTTTCACCTGTGTGAGAAGTCCACAGTTCCTCCTCCTGTTCTTCTTTAATCTGCAGAGGCTGTTGGTCATCCTCACACTGCTCAGTCTTCTTCTCACAGTCCTCCTGCTCAGAGGCAGCTTCCTCTTCCTGGACAGAGAGCGGCAGGGGGTCTGCACAGTATCACACATGAGAAAAGAAATGTAGGCTTTAGTTTGAACAAATACAAATATATTTAAGAGAGCTAGACATGATCTGCAGAACATGAAAGGATTTTGAATGGCTGTGTTGTCTGCTGTTGATAAGAAGGGATATCTTTCTTTGCACAAGAGAACAGGTGCAATGACACTAGGGCTGGGCAAAGTGATCTAAGGCGTTCATGATCTACTTTTCAGGCAAATCGTAGAGATTGCTGTCTTTAATGTCCTCTTATTCTGTTTCTGAACTTCACACAACCTCACTGACTCTGCACTATGTGCACAAACTGAGATGTAGACACTCAGTAGATGGCTATGCTGATTGGACAAAGTACTTCACATGTTTTTTTCTTTGGTGGCTTACAATGTAACTGAGTTGTGAGTACCTGAGAAGGGGTATTTTATGATTGTTACCTTTTGGCTTCTGTCTACAACTTTTGAAACCAGTGTTTTAAAGGAGCAAATGGAGAAAATCACAGGCTATTTCATGTCTGGCTAAAGTCTACAGGGCAATTTAGATCATGGATTGTGATTGCAATTAGATAGATTGTGATGTAATTTTTTGGGCCACCCCTAAATAACACAACTCTTTTAATGGCTGCTTTGTGATGATGTCCTTGCAAACAAAAGTGCATAAACACAAATATAAACAATGTAAATCAACTTACAAATGCTACAAATGTTACAAATGTTTTGAGCAAATAAGTCAGCTTCATTACAGCACTCATTTTGTTACAGTTGTTAGTATAGCAGTGCAATCCATGCTTCCATGTTTCTCAGGGGTTTAACCTATTGACAGTATAAATAACCCCACTGTGCCCATAATAATAATAATGTTTATAAAATCTGAAAACCTACAGAACAAGGGAATTACTCGTTTATTAATGTTACCTACTGTATACCTGACATTTCATACTGAGATATCTCTCTTTGATAAACTGCCTAATAAACGGTTTCTTCTTTTATCCCATTGATCCTTTTCTCTTCTCCAACCTGTCTGACAGGAGAGAAGTGAGGCAGAAGAAGGATGTAAGAGGTAAAAACACACCCTGTTGCCTTTAACATTTGCAGTTTATTCAGCAGTTTCTAAAACAGAAAACCACTGTGTCAGTGACAGCCATTTTGCATCCCCCCTCCCCCTACCCTCCTTTCAGGGATGCAAAATGGCGCTACTTGCCGTCTCCTGTGTAATGAAACTGAGTATTTAGGTGGTCCAGAAGTCTCCAGAACAAAGTCACAAACACTATTCGGATTAAAAAAGGGGGCAGGACCCTCAGTCTCAGTGCTGCCTTCAGGGTAAAGTCAACCCGAGTCCCGTTACCTTTCCACCCGGCCAGCCTCCGTTGTTGGTCGACGTCCTTTGAACGAAGCTGCTCATACTCTTTAATAGTTTGTTCAAAGAGGTTAAATATGTCCTCGGCAGCGGCTGTCAGGCGCTCACTGACCAAAGCTTTTAGTCTGTCTGTATTGAACATTTCCGCGGGTGACAGAGGACCTCCAGTCCGGGCTCACTGAAGACTGGCTGCTCACTGGGTTGCCAGATATGATGAGAGAAACAAGTAATCTCAGCCGTCAAATGATCCCTTAAACATACCGTGGTGGTTTGTGTCAGGCAGCCAGACAGACCCTCACTCAACCGACCTCTTCTCTCTGTACACTAATACGGCTTTTTAATAATCATGTTATATTAAAAATTAAAACCATTAGGCCTCTGCTCTAGTGGCCCAAACACAATCTATTTGTTTCTAGGTGCCACGTGAGTTTTTAAAGGCACACAGACGATACAGAACATAAAAACCCACTGGAAGATGGACTTAATTGTGTATTTTGGTACCAATGCTGACAATTATGCAGTAGGAAAGCAGCAGTCAGTGAAGTGGAGATTGATTATTTTATCGGTGATGACTTTGTGGAGAAAGATAGAAGCCTAGATAATGCAAAGAAAACTTTAGGTGAATTATAATAATAAACGGACATGGCAACACAGGCTGCCATAGAAACTGAGGCATACGATGGACCCAGTGCTTCTGCACGATGGAGCTCTGCTGCCTCCCTTTGGCCATGAACGAAAACACTGAAATAAGACCAGAGGAATGAATGCAATCGGATGTGACATCTGTAGGTGGTTTTGCCAGATTATATCAGGTTACTCAGATATGCATTTGACTGCTGTTTAGGCCTAATTTGGAAATTTTAAAAGACTGAAATAGGGAAAATTCAGGGCTGTTTTATCTATAGTTAAATGCCTATAGTGGGACCTTAAATAAATCAGACTTGCTGTTTGCAGATGCAGTTGCTGACCAGGAGATGGCAGCAGGTATCCAGATAAAGCCATGAGTGAAACTCACAAAATATATTAATGACTACACTTTAATTTGACACTTCAAAATGAGAGCGCTGTAATATAATGAATGATATCTGCTTCAGTCAGAGCTGTAGCCAGAGAGATTTATCAGGATAGATGGTTCAATACAAGGTAGGAATAACTGACACTTACAGTAAGTGGGATATTTTATACCAGTCCCCAAATGGGTGGATGGATGCCTGTTAAACTGCAATAACAAAGTACATTTATTTTTTATAATTGTTTTTAATATCATATTTAATGTTATTCTCTTTGTGTATACTTTAATTCTACTATTTTTAAAGGTTTTTCCTTTGTACCCCTGCCAGCCTTTGGAAAAACACCAGAAGTTCCATTCATGGTATTGTTAGTTTAGACGTAAGGATTAGGCCCACTGTGTCAGTATGGTCAGACAATAACATACCAATGAGGGGCCCACACCCACACCCACACACACACACACACACACACACACACACACACACACACAGCAGAACAGAAATCCATCATGTAAACTTTACATGCCACCATGACAGATGCTCATTCTGCACAGACCCCACACCTCTATCTAAAGTCCAGCTGAAATTAATGTGTTTTTCCCCACAGAAATTAATTTTTTTCATCTGGTCTGGGTCCTCAGCTGTGAGTCAAATGGAAAATGGGAAAAAAAGAGGAGTAAAATGGAGCTTTTATAAGCTCACAGATGGTATTCTTGTGAATATTTCTGGTATGTGTCCACATGTGACCCCGTGTCCTTGTGTGTTTACATTTAGCTTTGAACTGGTATAGCAGAAACACACACACAAAAAGGAGTCATATCCTCTTTTAGCTTATATCTGTAACTTTTTGGGAAATAGATATTAATAGTATGAAATGAATAATGTTGTCTGTATGGTGATGGCATACGTCTACATTGTTGTTTTCTGTTTCAAACAGTACATTTAAACTTTTGAAAATAAGTCTACTGGAACAATTACTCTTAATTAAATGAAATCTACTTGATTGCTCTGCTTCTATAATACTACAACTGACAAAACATTGTGATGTAAGTTGGAAACTGTAGTCAGCTGTCAGTCGAACACAGTGCAGTAATGAAAGGTTTGTGCTTCTTTACCAGTTCATTTATTCATGCACATACATAACTGTTAACATGAGAAAAAAAATCTTCCATTGTCATTTGTAGCATTTCAAGTGTTTAATCTTCCTGACTCTGCACTTGAGGGAATCATGAGTGATAATAGGACTGGTCTATTAGATTCCTTTCAGTTCAGTTCAATTTTCAATTCATATCAAAGGTCCCTCAATTATTCTGCCTCCGAGAGCATCTGATACGCTCCACAAATGCGATTCAACTGTGGCAAATTTCCTTCTGGATGCTATGTTAGATGTTTTCCAAAGAGCTGTAATGCAGTTATCACATTGCCACAAAAATGGGCATTGTGCTGTTATTGTACCACAGAGAATCACTTATCCAAAATCTAAAAGTACAATACAACTGCGGTGCTCAGTAAGCAATATATTGATAGTTTGTTTGCTGCATTCCTTTAATTTTGATCAGGTTCCACTTGGGTGTCAGTGTGCTGCAATTCCGCATGACAAAGCTGACCGAAAAAGTGAAAATGTAGTTAACTGAGTGTCTCTTGTGTTCGGAGTAGGCTCTTGATGGACGCTATTGTCCCATAATGCCATGCACAAAGACAATGTAGGAGCATCTCACAGCTGGGAAACATTAAACCTAATTTCATGAGCTAATGAGACTGTTTATTTTGCATAAAGAAGCAAGAAGCACAAATGATGATGATTTGATTGACATTGCATGTAGTATCACTGTAGAAGAGTAGTGTAAAAGGGACACAAGTTTTGTACATTTAGCAGCAACCTGCTCCCTTCAGTGGCTTTTAAATAAAACTAAAAGCAAAAATTTGGTACTGGTGTCATGTCCTGTTTTAGCTAATATCAGTAACTGTTTGGGAATAGATATTAATTGTGTGAAAGGAATAATGTTGTCCATGGTAATACTTTGTTTAAATTAAATAATACAACTCCTGGTTTTATTATTAATATCTTGGCTACTGTGAAACAGTAAACAATGGAGATCAGATTCATAGCGCTGTATGATATAATACTCGACTAGCTTGAGTGCCAGTAGCGGGGGGTCATATGTTTTCTAGGATTAGGGTAGGGGTTTAGGAGGATAGGGAACTTAGGACCCTGGGAACAGCTCTCATGAGATGACTCAGTTGGCATAATTGAGAATGACTTAGCACTAACAATGGAACAAGATAATGGTGCGAACATGGATGTCATAGAAACACTAATGATCAGATTGTTGTCTGTCTTTCTCAGATGAGCTAAGTATTGCCAATTAGTGATTTGAAAGAAATGCTCATTGTCTATTCCATTTCCATGGCTCTAATCACAGCACACACTGTAGACAATCATATCTTTTCACTTTTTTGGCATTTCGATGTAATTAATGACTGTAATACAAAGAGAACAAAATGTGACAATAAAGAACATAATCTTTATTCGACACAATCCTGCATCTGTATGACTGAGGCAAACCTCGCACACTGGAAAATGAAAAGATTTCCCAAAGAGATAAATTATTCTTTCATTCGAACTTTCAGAAATCTCAGTACAAATGTAGAGTTGGATTTTTAGATGATGCCTGTTGTGCATTTGACATCTGTTTGTATGAATTTGCAGCAGATATGTCAGGTCACTGCTGCTGGAAACTCTGTCATGTTTCAGCAGCAGTTATCTTGTCAAACTGTGGGAGCAGCAGCTCAGAGGGATTACAGGGTGAGTCAATGCCACAAGCTGGCTGTGAGCCTCGATGATGCATTTATCAAGGAGCTACAGCCATGTGGGGGGTGAGGATCACTGTCCGTAAACTCTGGTGTTGACTGTACATTGTAGTCACTCTGTTGACTCATTCATTCATTCATTCATTCATTCTCTCATTCACTCATTTCCCTTCTTTGTATTATTTCAGTTTTTCTTTGTTACAGGCCTGATCACCACCACCTTTTTTTAATCCAAAGGTCATAGCCAAATTTAGAGAAAGAAAAGAGAAGAGAGAAGGTAATTGGCCTTTGGTAGATTCATTAGCAGCAGGCATTCAACCAAGCACCTCAATACCTCACTAAATTGACCTTTCGATCTCTTTCTACATATTAATGATCAAGTTTTTTAGCTTTTTAAACACCTGTGAATCAAGTTTAATTGACACATCTCCACAGAGCACAACTTTAACTTTTTGAGTGTGACTATAACAAGTCTAATAACAGTAAGATGTAGATGATAACAAGTCCAAACCCCCTGAATAAACTTAGTGTAAAAGTTCATTCTTAACCTTGGAAATAGTAGTTTGACAAAAACAAAAACAAAAAACTGTAACAACAACAAGAACAAAACAGAACAAAACTACCAAGTGGAGCTTGAATTAAGATTTTGTTTGTGATTAAACCCAGAATGATGAAATTAAATTAGAGAAATAATTTCCAAACTAACAGTGTAGAGGTTTATGAGAGAAACATAGTAGTATGTTAATTAGTTTTTCCTTTAGTAAGATGAATTTAGAGCCATCCCTTTGATACAGGCAAGTAGAATATTTTTCTAGAGGGTCTTGCTGCCCTTCACAGCTCTGTTGTCTTGATTGACTCTGGTTTTCTGTGAATTAAGTAATGACTATGCAACATAAACTTCTGGCAGCATGTCTGCCTTTTAATCGTGAAAGTATGTCTTTGTAGCTTTAATCTAGAAATTGAGAGAGGTGGAGATTGAAAGAAGAGACTGAGTAAAAAAGAGTCAGAGGAGTGTAAGGCCGTGCTTTCAGTTGATTACATCTTATTTATTTTCTCATCTCTGTTATAAATCATAATTTCCCTATAAGATTATTCATGTGCACTTTGGGCTTTGACAACATGGACAGCAGAATGACACAGAAGTGACCAAGAAGTTGTTGTGTTGCCTTAATATTTCCAAGTTCATACTAGTAGGCTCTTAATGGATGTCCCACCAGAAGAATGTGGTTGTTAGATTAATTCTTGTTCACTTATTTTTAATACAAAATGAACATTACCATTGCTAACTTGATGCCAACTGACAATATTAACGTTAACAGAGCCAGATGAGCCAGCCAGCCTGCATTACAAACTGTAAATGTCATCCATAAATGTTGATATGGTAAAAGACTGACAAAATGTCAGACCAATTTCATGGTTTCAAATACAACCTTTCCACACTTAATATATCTGTATTTTTTTTTAGCTGTCAGACAATGTCACTCTCTATAAAACACGCACAGATACAACTCATTTAGTGTTTTCTTGTTGAATCAAATAACTCAAATGCGGGACTTTCCAGTAGTTTAAACATGGTGGTGTACTGTTTGTTATAGGGGGAAAAAGGCGACTAGTGTGCCATATATGATGCTAGGATGTGACAGGCAACCATTCAACAGAAGTTGGAATAAAGACAACACTGAACTGGTCTTAAATCTGGGTGGGGAAAGTGAAAGGCAGCGCCCTTCCTCATTATCATCACTGAGGTGCCCTTGAGCAAAGCCCTTAACCACAACTGCCTGAGGGGAGCTGCTCAGTGGGCAGCAGATCAGACTGTGGTTGTGGTGGACACCTTCCAGGTGTGAATGTGTAACTGATTTGATCGGGTGTTTCCTGAAAAAGAAAGCATTCCTCTCAGTGAGACTCCCCTGAATAAATGAAGGTGACAAAAAAGTCTCTCTCCCCCCTTTCCTGTCACTCTTCAGCCGTCACTATTGATTAAAGACAATAAAAATCCCATACTTCTTTCTTCCTAAAAACTGTTCTGCATTTTCTTGGCATTGATGCATCATGCACTCAGGAGACTATGCATTTTTGTCCAATAAAATGTATTCATAGATTCTGTGTTGATCCAGTAAACCTCAATCACACGGAACCAACAGATCCCCCTTTGAATTTCAAATCCAGTCTCTCCTGGTTTCAGTGACACAGGAAACACATAAATATAATAATAATAAAGGCATTTTATGTGAGTGGTCATGTTGCATAATGTTCCTATGCAATTGTTGTGTGCATGTGTGTGTTTGTGTGTGTGTGTGTGTGTGTGTGTGTGTGTGTGTGTGTGTGTGTGTGTGTGTGTGTGTGTGTGAAAGCAATGCTGTAAAATATTGTAACCTGAGGGAACCTTACCAATCACAACTCTCCTCTGTGGATAGAGGGAAACAACATTACATAAAGGTCATCTAGGAAGGGGTAATATGGTTGGAGAAAAAATGTCAGACTAATTTTATGGTAAATCTGTACGTTGACACATTACCCAAGCTACCTCTCTTTCTTTCCTCACTTATCTATTCGTCAATTTTTATTATTTGACCCCTTATATTCCCCCTTTCTCATTTCCTTTGTTCTTTTTTCATTGACATTCTTGTGTTCTCCCAGTGTTCAGTGTTTTGCTTTCTCATGCCATTTGTTCTCCTCCTCTTCTCCGTGAGTCTATAAAGATCACTATATATATTTTACAGTGGTCTGCATGATGCTTATGCTAAAAAACATTCAACGAAATCAATAAACTGAACAAATTACATAATTTTACTGTTCAAAAGAAAATAAATCTATTTCTTTTTTACATAATGTTACTTCCTGCAGCCAAAGCTCAAATAATATACATTTTACAGCCTGCATGGTGCAATACAGCACTGTAATACTGTAATAAAAACAAACAGAACAACTCAAGACAAAGGTGACACCCCAGTAATCCCATATGACCTGCCACAGCTGTCTTCGAGCTTAAAGACTCATAACCAACTGGAAGTGCACAATATCAGATCACAGATATCATACGCTAACCTTTTGTCAAATAAAATCGTATCATAAAATCATAATTTTCACATACAACTAAAAGTCATTATTGTGTTTTATTACAAAAACACATTTCTTCTGCCTTTAAAATAAAATTATCTTTTTTACTTACTGGAGTTGGTAACCCCCATTTCTCTATACTGAGCTCACTTTTTCAAAGCTATATTTACACAAGTTCTCACTGAGATCACACCATATGTCCTCTCTGACAATATTGGGGAAGAAGCTCTTTGCATGCCTGATCCATCCCTGACAGTCTACTGCTGATAACTTCCGACATCCAGCATTCATTCTGTCCAAGAGGGACATCTGATCATGTGTCTGGTTGTCATAAATCCACAGTTTAGCCCATATTGACTTCTGTTGTGCCAACTGTGTGAAGTTGTTAAAAGCCTTTTTCCCAGAAGACATTTTGACTTCACTTGGTCATAAGGAAAGCACAGATGTTACTAATAACATTACAATGGCCCCCAGTAAAAGCCATGACAGTGTGACAGTGGGCCAGCATGCATATTACCAGGACCTTGAAAGCAGCTAAATAGATTTCAGCCATCATTCATTTTTTAAATTAATGTGTGCTTTTCCCATTGTTACGTGTGATACATGTGAAGATGTCTTCTGTTAAAAAAGGCCTATAGAAGAAGGTGGATGTAAAATGTCCAATATATAAAATCTGAGTTCATGAGGAACTGGCAGATGACCTTCATATCACCTCATGATAAGAACAATTTTAATTAACCTTACACTTAAACACAGGTGAAAACACCTAATATATTCAGATTTAAGTTTAATCAGCCATAAATCCGGTGAAGGAATGAAAACAGGCTCAGTGCAGAGCTGCGTCGGGGGACCCTCCTGCACAGTGACACTCATTCAGCTGTGTGTGTGGGTGCAAGCTCGGACGTGGGACATGGGTAGGAATTAATTATAATTAATGAGTTGATTAAAATGTCATCACATAGATTATAATGCGCACACACACACACACACACACACACACACACACAGAGAATACAAAGCATGGGGACAAACAGTGCACACATAACACACCCACACAGGAATGTTTAGAGACGACAGCAAACACCTCCTGCCTACAGTCAGATATCATGTTCAGACAGGTCACTGCTGGTTCATACAGTTCCACCTTTACACTTTAAAGGTTTCCTTTACATTATGAAATTATTACCCCCAGTTGAATTAATTTAAGGCACTCTGCACTGTGTCTGTATATGACTGACCTACAATTTACAATGTCACCTCTGGAGCTGCTCAAATTGTGATATGAGTCCAAATAACTTTTTATTTCAGTGCAGAACATTTTTTAAACAAAATGACTAAAGAGAGGCTGCTATAAGTTTCACTAAATTGGTCTACCATTTGCTGTCACTGTGACTTTCATTTGTTGTGAGAAGCACTGGAAGACTTCAAATCTTAATTAAGGGTCTAAGATAAATCATCTTACTTTCAGATTGAAAAGTATAATAATTTAAAGAAATATAAAGTATGAAAAGTTGGAGCTGCAGTGTTCACAACAACAGCTAAATGTAACATGTACTATACATGTATATTCTGTATATGTATACAGAGTGAGGACTCACTGGTCACCTAAAGTGTGCTGTTTCCAGCTTTGGGAGGAAGATGGTGGATATTGGTATAAGATTTCTTACCATACAAACATAGTGGCAACTTCACTTATTTGAAGTAGCGAAAACTGTATGTTTTAACCAATTATTCATTACTTTGAGCTATTTTGAGCTCTTAGTCATGGTGCATGTTCAGGTTCAGTCATCTTATAGCAGGTCGTTTTTTTTAAAAGACATAAATGTTAACTGGAACTAATCCAATATTTGCATATTTAAGCCAACTACAAACAAGTTGGTTAATTTAACTTAAGAGTTTCCAAAATTTTCTTAAACCTATGTAACATACGACTTTTACATGAAGCAAGGTATTCCATTGCTGCGACCCACCTAAGATGGCATTTATGTTATTTTAATGAATGAATGACTCATCTGTCACTGTATGGTGTTTATGTTGGCTGCTCTGGTAAAGTCAACGTACCTGGTTCAACCTTTGTTGCATGTCTCGTCCCCCATGTTATCTTTTACTCTTCACTTTTAACTTTCTATTGCAGACAAAATGCTAAAAGAACAGATACACAGGTACTTATTCTCTATTTTTGAGGACATTAGTAATTTAACCTTTATCCAGTTACTTTGAAGCCAACTGTGATGGCCGCCCTAGCAGCCACACATTGAGGCACAAAGCGCATGGTGGTAACTCTTTCTTTGTTTGATTATATTTAGGCTTAGAACATTAGACACGATTGACAATAAATAACTGGACACAGATTTTGGATTCATAATACATAGTTTTATTATCCGGTTTTGACAGTAGTTATCTTTTTGGGTGCACACAATTAGTTAACTTTTGTGTTCAATTTTCTGTAGTATTAGATTCACTCAGGTTATTTTTCATTGCATTAATTCATTTTTCTTTGAGTTACCAGTTCCTGGGTGCTGCTGCTGACGATGTTGCATGGCTGACAAAGGAAGTGCCGGCAGATTCAGAGACACTTAAAAGGGGTTGGGCCGATAATTGGGCTACACCATGTTGGCTGGAATCATGGGGAGAGGAAGTGATTTCTCTTTGTTTGAGTTTAGTTATTTCTGATTATTATGCTTTTTGATGTTTAGTATTTCAGTATTTTCCTTAGTTAATAATTGGCTGCATTATCTGGATATTATTGGAGGGTATTATGGTTTGTTTAAATGTTATGTTTTAGTCTATTCCCCCTGTGTGTCAGAGTGGCCTGATCAGCCACTATTTAAGTTCCCCCAATGTCTCAGTTTAGTTGGGTTGGTTTGGTGTGTTCGTTCAGTTAATGTAGCCTGAGTTAAGTTCTGTTTAGTTGACCTCTTTTATGGGCCCAGAACATTTTGTATATTTTGTAAATTGATTATTTTCACTTTTTTTGTGAATAAAAAGGACTTTTTGTGAAAATTTACCTTGGACTCCTCATGCCTGCCAGCTCGGTCCCTGACATATGGTGGCAGTGGTGGGATTAGCTGGTTGAGGAAGGTTTTTTTTTCGCTCTCTTTTCCCCCTGCATTTGATTGGTTTTTGCTTTTTTTACAATGCAGCGTGGAGGAATGATTACAAGAGGAAATCGTGAGGGGCCCCGGGAACCACAGACTGGACAGGAGGGGCGAGGACACGGCACTGGTACTGAAGACACAGGAGGAGTCGCAGGCACTGAGGGTGGAGACAGCAGAGAACCAACGCTGGTGGACATAGCTAGCATTCTCCGTGCCCACATGGGCCAGCAAGAGGCCCGGGATAACCGGCTGAGGGAGGAGTCTGATCGCCAGGAGCAGCGGTTTAAGGCACTCCAACATCAGTTCCAATTGCTACAGCTCGAGGTACAAGCTCGCACTTCTCCAACCCTGGAGCACATGTCAGCTGACCTTGATTCAGATGAACCTGGTCCCCAAGCCCAAATAGCCCTGACACCTGAGGGTGCTCCAGCCAATTCCTCATCAGGTCAGTTTCGGTTCCCCCAAGAGCCTAGATTAGAAAAGCTGACAGAGCACGATGATATTGAACACTTTCTTGTAACTTTTGAAAGGATTGCAGCAGCATGTAGGTGGCCTAGACCTGACTGGGTTTTTCGCCTTATTCCACTGCTCACTGGTAAAGCTAGAGGTGCTTATGTAAATATGGACCTTGATGATGCTCATGAATATGACAGTGTTAAAGATGCTATTTTAAAAAAATATGACATTAACCCTGAGGCCTACAGGCAGAGATTTCGTTCCACAGATGTTGAACCTGGTGAGTCTCCCAAAGAGCTGTATGTAAGGTTGAAGGAGCTGTATGGGAAGTGGATACAGCCAAAAGGTAGAACGGTTAAAGCTGTGGGGGAAATGATTATATTGGAACAGTATCTACGAATGTTATCTCCTGAGCTGCAGGTATGGATAAAAGAACACGACCATTCAACGGCTGCAGAGGCTGCTTCGCTGGCGGATGTGTTTGTGGCTGCCCGGAGAAAAGGTCAACCATGGAGTTACTCTGCCTGGAAAGCTACAAAGGACACCCGCAGGCCTACATCATCACAACAATATCAGAGGGCAGCACCTGGTGTGGGTAAGGCTCCCATGAGGGAGAACCAGGCAATGAATTCACAAACTGATCACTGTCAAAATTAATGGTAAAGCTCTGAAGGCCCTAATGGACTCTGGTAGTGATCAGACACTAGTACACAGGCAGTTTGTCCCTGCTAATGTGATCCGCACCCTTGAAACTATCCCCATCTGCTGTGTGCATGGGGATAAGAAGCCCTACCCCACAGCTGACATTTACATTGAAGTGCAAGAGCAACCATACCTTCTTAACATTGGAGGGGCTGACAATCTTCCCTTCCCAGTGGTGCTGGGTAGCGACCTACCAGTTTTGTTTGACCTATTAAGCCAACCTATTAGGTGCAATGTGGCTGTAACCAGAGCCCAGGCCAAGTTGGTAGATGAGCCCTCTGTAACCCTCAGTGCCCTGCCTTTTTATGATGCTGACTTAGACACCCAGCCGGGGAAGTCCCGGAAGTCACGCAGTCGAAGGAGGCAGGAAAGATTCCAGCACACTGTCATTCCACCACCAGATGCAGTAGCTCCAGATTTGCCACTAGGGGTTAAAATACCTTCAGACATTGTTCAGATGCAACAAAGGGACCACAGTTTAGCGGCTCTATTAAGGAGTGCTAAAGAGAGAGAGGTGGAGAGTGAGTTAGAGTACAGTTCTGGAGAGGAGTATTTTCTGCAGAAGGGTATTCTCTGCCATCAACATGGACCAGTGAAGCAGCTAGTGGTTCCCAAAGCAGCCCGAGACACAGTGCTTGTCTTGGGCCACTCTGTTCCCTGGGCTGGCCACCTAGGGAAGCACAAGACCCTGGCTCGGATTAAACGATACTTTCACTGGCCTGGTTTGCGGGCAGATGTTAGCCAGTTCTGTAGGACTTGCCCTCAGTGCCAGAAGACTTCAAGTAGAGGACCATGTAGAGCTCCTCTCCAGCCACTCCCCATTGTTGGTACCCCCTTTGAGCGTCTTGGTATGGACATTGTTGGTCCCGTAGAAAGAAGCAAAAGTGGAAACCGCTACATGTTGGTCATCACAGACTATGCGACTAAATATCCTGAGGTGTTTCCCCTGAAGTCGGTCAAGGCAAAGACGGTGGCATTCTCCTTGGTGCAGTTCTTCTCCAGAGTCTGTTTCCCGCAAGAGATTTTAACTGACCAAGGCACTAACTTTATGTCCACGCTCCTGAAACAGGTTTACCAACTGCTTGGCATCAAGAGTCTGCGAACAACCCCCTACCATCCACAGACAGATGGACTGACGGAGCGGTTCAACCAGACCCTCAAGCAAATGCTCCGTAAGTTCATAAATGACACTGGGTCTGATTGGGACCAATGGCTCCCCCTACCTCCTTTTGCATACCGGGAAGTCCCCCAGGCCTCTACTGGGTTTTCCCCGTTTGAACTGTTGTACGGTCATGAGGTAAGGGGACCTCTGACCTTGCTGAAAGAGGCCTAAAAGGGGGACCAGGGGAGGGAGGGGGGTGTTAACATCATCTCCCATGTTGTACAGATGAGAGAGAGGCTACAGAAGATGGCGGAACTTGCCCAGCAGCATATGGCGGAGGCCCAGCAGTACCAGAAAGCTTGGTATGATAAATCAGCACGACAGAGGACCTTTGTCGTTGGTCAGAAGGTCCTAGTCATGCTACCCACCAGTGACAGTAAGCTTCTGGCAAAATGGCAAGGACCATTTGAGGTGGAGAAGCAGCTGGGGCCTACCACCTACCAAGTTGCCATGCCAGGGCGACCACGTTCCAGCAGGGTGCTGCATGTTAACCTGCTGAAGGAGTGGGCTGAAAGACGGGAGAGGAAGGCGGAGGTTTTACTGATCAGAGCTGTAGAGGAGGAAGAGGCCGTAGATGATCAATACCTGCCCTCACCAGGCCCCACTGAGCTTGAATTAGGCCATCTGTCGGCAGATCAACAAAATAAGGTGAAAGCTTTATGTAACACTCAAACATTCAATGAGTACCCAGGGCGCACAAATATTGTTGAACATGAGATTGTGTTAAAAGAGGGGGCTTCGGTAAAACGTATGAGTTACAGGATTCCAGAGCGCCTCGTGGTATCGCTGAAAGAGGAAGTGGACCTGATGCTGTCTCTGGGGATCATTGAGCGTTCAAAAAGTGAGTGGTGCAATCCAGTGGTTTTGGTCCCAAAGAAGGATTGTACAATAAGGTTTTGTATTGATTTCAGATACCTGAACTCTGTGTCAAAGTTTGATTGTTATCCAACACCACGTATCGATGATATGATTGAGCACCTGGGCAAAGCAAAATACCTGACCACCGTGGATCTGTGCAAGGGCTATTGGCAAGTGCCTCTGGCCAAGCAGTCCAGGGAGCTGACTGCCTTTCGGACTCCGTGGGGGCTTTACCAGTTTACAGTCCTACCATTTGGACTGCACGGAGCCCCTGCAACCTTCCAGAGGCTAATGGATCAGGTATTGAGTGGGTGTGATGACTATGCCTGTGCATATCTCGATGACATTGTGATTTACAGTGCTACTTGGAAGGAGCATCTCAGGCATCTGAGTGACGTCCTGAAGCGCCTCCAATCAGCAGGCCTGACCATTAACCCAGCAAAGTGTGTCTTTGTCAAGTCTGAAACCGAATATTTGGGGTTCATCATTGGGAATGGAGTGATCAAACCACAGGTCCACAAGGTACACGCCATCGAGTCCTGTCCCCTGCCCCAAACCAGGAAGCAACTGAGATCCTTCCTGGGGATGGCGGGCTTTTATCACCGGTTCATCCCCAACTTTTCAGCCAGAGCTGCCCCACTCACAGATAGGACCGGATCAAGGTGCCCCAACCAAGTCCAGTGGACGGAGGAGGCAGTGTCAGCATTCCGGGACCTTCAGCAGTCTCTGGGTAAGAACCCAGTCCTTTACAGTCCTGACTTTGAGAAACCCTTTCTCTTGCAAACAGATGCCTCAGAGAGGGGTATCGGTGCTGTCCTTCTGCAAGGACCAACAGAGGACCAACATCCAGTGGCTTTCATCAGCCGCAAGCTGCTCCCCAGGGAAGTCCGCTACTCTACCGTGGAGAAAGAAGCCCTGGCGATCAAGTGGGCTCTCGACTCTTATAAATACTACCTTCTGGGGAGGGAGTTCACTCTACAGACTGATCACAAGGCCCTCCAGTGGTTGCAACGGATGAAGGACACTAATGGCAGAGTCACCCGTTGGTATCTGGCCATGCAACCCTTCCGCTTCATAGTACAGCACATCCCTGGCAAACTCAATGTGACGGCAGATTATCTCTCTCGCTGTCACAACGAGAGTTCCGAAGGGGGGGAGTATGTGATGGCCGCCCTAGCAGCCACACATTGAGGCACAAAGCGCATGGTGGTAACTCTTTCTTTGTTTGATTATATTTAGGCTTAGAACATTAGACACGATTGACAATAAATAACTGGACACAGATTTTGGATTCATAATACATAGTTTTATTATCCGGTTTTCACAGTAGTTATCTTTTTGGGTGCACACAATTAGTTAACTTTTGTTGTCAATTTTCTGTAGTATTAGATTCACTCAGGTTATTTTTCATTGCATTAATTCATTTTTCTTTGAGTTACCAGTTCCTGGGTGCTGCTGCTGACGATGTTGCATGGCTGACAAAGGAAGTGCCGGCAGATTCAGAGACACTTAAAAGGGGTTGGGCCGATAATTGGGCTACACCATGTTGGCTGGAATCATGGGGAGAGGAAGTGATTTCTCTTTGTTTGAGTTTAGTTATTTCTGATTATTATGCTTTTTGATGTTTAGTATTTCAGTATTTTCCTTAGTTAATAATTGGCTGCATTATCTGGATATTATTGGAGGATATTATGGTTTGTTTAAATGTTATGTTTTAGTCTATTCCCCCTGTGTGTCAGAGTGGCCTGATCAGCCACTATTTAAGTTCCCCCAATGTCTCAGTTTAGTTGGGTTGGTTTGGTGTGTTCGTTCAGTTAATGTAGCCTGAGTTAAGTTCTGTTTAGTTGACCTCTTTTATGGGCCCAGAACATTTTGTATATTTTGTAAATTGATTATTTTCACTTTTTTTGTGAATAAAAAGGACTTTTTGTGAAAATTTACCTTGGACTCCTCATGCCTGCCAGCTCGGTCCCTGACACCAACTAAACATGTTTGCGGTTTTTGGGAACACATTGTATTCAAGAGCATGTAGTTCCACCTATTCACATTAATTCAGTACAAAAATAGCCAGATGTACTTGTGGCCAAGGAGCGGCTCCATAAGAGGAGGTGGAAGGCGACATTTTTCAAGGGCAGCTGGACAGATGTTATTAAAGGAGGGGCTGGTGTTACTCAGTTCATTCATCAAAGTCTTCAACCTGAACCTGGTATTCAAGGTCACAAGCCTGCCGTTCTTCTTCACTACTATTATCTCCAACATTAAAGCGCTGCCTTTTCAGTATTTATGAACTGCTGTTGTGTACCATGATCTTTATGATCTTTGCCATGCAGCTGACCCAGTAATCACTCTACTGTTCCACAGTCACCACAACGCAAAGCTGAAAATGGGATCCAATTTCTGAAACTGCTGTGTAATAACAACAAAGTGATAAAATTTTAATGGAATTCTGCACTGTGCAATCCATGCAACCTGGCTCACCACCGCCCACTCCTCCAAGTACAAGCAAAAATAAATCTACCTATAATATTAGCCAAAAGAATCATACATGAAACAACATGACACCAATCACAATGACAAACAGCCAAACGAAGGTTATATTGCAAACTGCGCAAACAAATGTGTAACTTTAGTGCATGTTCCTGTTTTTGGGTCGCCATAAAAACAATGTGTTCAACAGTTTCTGCAAAGACACTCACTCAACTGGAAAGTTCCAAATCTATTGAATGAAATTGGTTGTCACAGCAGCTCAGTGTAACGCAGATTGTTTTTGCTTTGACCTCACAGACAACAATTTTGCCTTGGCAGTCATGGTAACACAACGTTTCCCCCTTAAGTGTATTACTCCAGTGAGGTTAGAGAGATTTTCAGATTAACTAAGTAAAAGCAGAAGTCACAGAGGCATTTGAACCCCGCCCCACCCACTCTAACACAGAAGGATGCATTCAGTAAAATGTCCCAAAAGAACAAAGCACTAACATTTCACAAAACCAAAAACACAACACTGGAGCAGATAGATAGATAATAGATGAACAGTATTGTCGGCACTAAAATGTTTTATTAATGTCCCACATTTAACTGTCCTTTTATATTCATGTTTGTAGTATTTTGTAGGCAAGAGGATGAAGCTATATGACTTTGGCGAGCCTCAATTCTTCCTCTAGTGCAACCGTGAGATTTGAGTGAAATGTCTCCACAACTATAACACAGACAGTATTTCCAAGGTGCAGACATTGATATCCCCTTTATGGAGCCACCATTGTTTATTGATAAAGAAGTTAACCTTGAAGAGAACGACAGCTTCATGCTCTGAGTGCATGAACAAAGATACTTTAATTATCATTTATTATCACAATCATTTCATTTTAATTTACAGAAGGGGAAATTAATTGTCTCTTGAAATCTGGGTTCTATATCATCAATCTCTGTCTTCTAGATTTAGTCCATTATTTAGTTTCCTAAGCTGACCTTTTTATTTTCAAGCTCATTGGCTCATGATCTTTAACAACTTATACTCTGTCACCTGAGGCCCAGTTGAATTTCAAAAGACACATTCTCATCTGGAGACTCACCAGAAAACTGCCTAAATCCAGAAATATAAAAAAAGCTTATTTTCAGCTTCCCTTACTGCATGACCATTTCAGTAACTGTGTGTAGATACACAGCATTAAAGACTGTTGAGTAGACAAGTGCCCTAATAAGTAAAAGCAGGAAAAATATATTATTATATCTTATATATTTGTTGTTATCTGGATGGGTCTCTTTGATTAAATCTTTGTTGTGCTGCAGTTGCTCAGACTCAATCTATTCCTGTTGTTAGTTTATTGGGTGTTGTCATCAGCTAAATGCCAGTGTCAGATCAGACTGATTACCAGACTAATAAATGAGTCTCACACAATATTGCCTGTCATTATTTGGTCATTTGTGTTGATACATTCAAAACAGCATATCTTCTCTGTCTGCTCTGAAGAATTAATATCTAATTTCCAATCGATGTGTTTCTGGTGAGGTATGTATACATGCATGTGTGGGAAACGACTGAAATTATTCTGTTTTATGACATCTGTTCAACTGCTAAGAGCCAGTTAGAGTTCAACTGTGTAGGTCTGTGAAAAGCCATGTGGTTCTAAAGATACATCTGTGTTCCTGCTGCTGTCCACTAACACATTAGGTTCGTTTGTTACTTTGTGTGGGGCTAAATGTCAGCATTAGACCGGACCAATAAATTACCAGCAACCTCCCATACATTATTGGACGCAGTGTCAGTGTCAGTGTGTGTGTGTGTGTGTGTGTGTGTGTGTGTGTGTGTGCGTGTGTGTGTGTGCGTGTGTGTGAGAGAGAGAGAGAGAGAGGTGTCTACAAAGTGGGAAAGAAGAGAATATAAAATTATATTTATTTGCTATAATAGATCATCCATGATTTCTGACTTCCTACAAAGGTGCAGTGTTTAAACATGGATCCACAAGTCTTGAGCAGGTTGTCTCTTTTGTCCTTGGATATATCTTGAACTAAGAAAAAATGAATGAATGTCAGATGAATGAATTATAAAAATGTCTATTGTTCTTTTATGTCCCCATTAGCTCTTTGATTACAGAGAACTGATAAAGGACTGGTGTCAGTGGAACCGCCTCCAAATCAACACAGGGAAAACCAAGGAGCTGGTGGTGGATTGCCCAACACCGGTGAACACTCTGCATATGGACATAGAGAGAGTGGACTCTTATAGGTACCTGGGTGTTCACCTGAACAATAAACTGGACTGGACTCATAACACTCAGGCACTTTATAAGAAAGGCCAGAGCAGACTCTATCTGCTCCGGAAACTCAGGTCCTTTGGAGTGCAGGGAGAGCTCCTGAGGACCTTTGATACTGTTGTGGCATCAGCCATTTTCTTTGGAGTGGTCTGCTGGAGCAGCAGCATCTCAGCAGCCGACAAGAAGAGACTCGACAAACTGATTAAGAAGGCCAGCTCTGTCCTGGGTTGCCCCCTCGACTCAGTGCAGATGGTGGGAGAGAGGAGGATAATAGCAAAGCTATCATCACTGATGGACAATGTCTCCCACCCCATGCAGGACACCATCACTACGCTGAGCAGCTCCTTCAGCGACAGACTCCTTCACCCCAAGTGTGTGAAGGAGAGATATCTTAGGTCCTTCCTTCCTGCTGCTGTCAGACTGTTCAACAACCAGCACTGCTCCCAGTAAAGCCCCCCCATCTCGGCATCAATAATAATAATAATGTGGAATAATTACTGTGCAATCTATTGCCCATGTGCAAATGCTGCTGCTACTATTTTGTGTTATTTGTGTTATCTGTTGTTGTGGATTCTTACTGTTTTTCTCTTGTACATAGTGTTTTTATTATTTTCCCTACTCTTACTGTTTATTTATACTGTTTTTTCTCTATCCACTTTGCTGCTGTTACATTGGAATTTCCCCATTGTGGGACAAATAAAGGAATATCTATCTATCTATCTATCTATCTATTGAACTTATTGGGTACAAACTAAAAGCAAACAACCCATTAACTGTGTTATGTATTTATGATGAATGGAATTTAAATGCACTGGCTCAGATTTAAAACGGGGTTGATTTTGTTGGTGGGCAGGCAGCCAACTGCAGATGTGTCTCGTTGTTTGGTCCAGTCATGTTTTCAGGGAGTAATAATGCACATTTATGTTTGGTGATGTAACAGTAACAGCTGTGATTCACAGACTCATATATAAAAACATGAGGTAAAAATAAAGATATGTAACATTATTTTGGGTGTTGCCTCGGGTTTCTTTTACTTCATATTGATGAATATGACTGCATTTACATAGGTGTATTTTTGACTATTGGCAAAAATTATGAATGCACAGTTTCTTTAAATCAAATGATGCTGATTATTTTTTACAGATAATCTTCTTAAAACAAACCTCAAACAATGAATGCTCTTACAGTCATAATTATGTTGCCTCAAGTCATAACTGAAATGTGATATTACTGAGGTACGTGTTTTTGACCCATTTCATCATGTGTATTGATAACTACTGAGCGGAATGCCCAATTCCAATGTGTCCACTGGCGCTTGCATTAAATTGAGTTTATTGGCATTGTCAACCACAGCATGTTTTTAATATAACAATTTAACTGTTTGCTAGGATCATTGACTTCATACAAGCAGCCCATTAGTAGAGGTTGAATAGGTGGGAAGAGACAGCGTACTGTGTCTGTGTGTGTGTTTGCCAGCTTGGTGGGTCCAACTGTCCTCAGAAGAGTAGAAAATATAGCTTGTGTGACAGTTCTGGTTTCTGTACGCTTGGTGTAAGTTTGACAGTGAAGATAAATAACACTACAGAAGATGTGCCAGTGAGCCATTGGTAAGAACAGCCTGCAATCCCCCTCTCCAGTCACGCGCACACACACGCACACATGCACGCACGCACGCACGCTTTTTTTTTTTGTTTTTGCTTCCAGCCCTTTTAGATGAGAACATTTTTCAGTGTGATAAAAGTGCTTCAGATACTAAAGTCTGGACTAATAACACAATGCAATCTCTGGTTGTAACTGGGACAATTTTAACTAAAAAAAATACTTTTGACTCAGGGAGGTGCACAAGAACAAAGCCAACAGACCACAGATGAGAATATAATTTGTAGAAAGCCGGTGGAGTGAAATCTTGTAAACTGGCCCTTACGAGCTAACACACTAAAGGTGGATTTATGCCTTTGTGTCAGTGTGTTATGGCGGCCCTGCTGCACGTGAGACCTGATTTATATTTCACTGTAGGGTTTAACCTGTTGGTTGTAGCTAAACCACACATAATTGTTTCAGTCACAACATTTGTTGAGTATTACTACTATTATTCTGTAATCCTCCCATTCAGGATTACAGATGTTTTAATAAAAGTTCTTGATGTTATCTTCACTATTTACAATCTTTACTGGCACGGAAAAACCTGTAGAATAAAATGTTTGGTTATTTAGTTTCATTGAAAGGCTATAATCTGCTAAAAGACTAGAGATGATAAATCACAACAAACAGAATAAATGGATACCAGGAAAAATCTAAATTAAAGCATGGCACGCAGTCATCCCTCACTCTCGTCTCGCTGTACATCTGTCTGCTCATGTGGTTCAGTGTGAACAGCTGAAGAGGAGAAGTGAAAGTCAAAGGAAAGACATACTGAGAGTGAGACAGGCAGAGATGACCGACAGTCACACAGATCGAGTCAAAGTTTCTCACAGCAGAGGCCGAAAGGGAAACAAACACTGTCAGCAAGGTCAGTTGCCATCTATACTGTAGTAAATCTCCAATTTGTAGTTATGATCACACAATAACACACACTAAAACAGAGCAGAGTAGGCTGACAGTTACACAGTTCACACATTAGGGTTAGGGTTAGAGGCAGGTTTATTCCTGATTATTTAGTGTTGACTGTTGTTGAATCCTGAATGGAACCAGTTCAAGAACCAGAGCTAACTTGGTGGAAAACGGGTATTCCTGATCCACACTTCTCTTCCCAATAGTTTCCGTTTTGAGCCACAATTGCAGCGTTTTTGAACCATTCATTTTACCTCTGCTTACTATCTTGTCTTCACATTTTAGCTTGTAACTAATCATTGATGTATGCATGAGCTACATTCATGAATGTGACTACTTAGCAGACTGAGACTAAAACAAAAAATATTACAACTAATTTGACATGACATTTTATTTTAAAATACTTTATTTCATTTCATTATTAGTATTGTTTTTTTTTTATATTTCATTGATTCTACCACTAGTGGTACACATGCTATAGTTTAAGAACCAGTGTCCTTGTCAAATGCTGTAAGGAAAGATATGGTGCATCTTGCTCTACATGATCACACTATTTACTGGTAAATCTCGTGACTTCTGTGACAACACTGCCTGCACATGACACAGTGTACGTATGTATTTTTTTTCTTTTCTGATCTCTTTGAAATTTTTGCAAAGCAGCAACTCTCCAAATGAAACAACTCTCAGAGTGTAGCTTATAATTGGATCACATTTTAATTTGAAAACATGGTATTTCATATCCACAACAAAAATTGGTGTGCCAACCTTGCAGAGAATGAGGGCTGGTGGGAAGAAACCGAGACAGTTATTTTAAGCTGTGTGTTGGTGGAGCGGAGCAACATGACCACTCCTTCCAGACCATTCACAACAGCGTCTTCCTTCCTTGTTGGTGATGTAGGAAAATAATTTCCCCGTCTGTGGTTGTAGGGGTAAAATATTAATAGGTTCTAAGCAGCAGGAAGTCCTCAAAGCAGCAGGAGAAGCAGGAGTAGGAGGAAGAAAAAGAATACAACAGATAAACACCAAACCACTCTTCACCAGGCTTTATGCTTCTTTCTGCACAAGAGCTTCTAATGTGTGAAGGAGGTATAGAAGTTGTTTTGCATGATAACGTTTCTAAAGGAATCCAATCAAAGCATAATCCTGCCTGAACTCAAGTGGAAATTCATAATTTGTTTTGCACTAATAAAACCCTGAATGGTCAAACTCTCACTTGTGTAATGGGTTGCTTGTTGGACATGCTGATTAAACATCTATTCATTTATGTTTTCAATGTGAAGCAACAATGAGATTTTGTTCTGATTCAAACTCACGTTTACTAATTGAAGAAGTGTCTAGAATATGTTGTTAATTACATTTTTTTTAGCCATACACAGATTTTTTTCCTGTTTCCCAACCCTTTACTTCATTGTTTTGCTAATAAAAAGAATTGATTTTTAAACATTCAATCAATGTCCTTTCTCTTGTCTTTAATCTAATGATTTAAATAACAAAACATTGGTCATTAAATACTACTTATACATTGCAAATTTGCACAGTAGGACTGCATTGGTTACATTTAACATCTGCAAACCATAAAGGTAAATCTTAGATTCTGCGCTCCATGACATTTCTAAGGTATTACTAGCTTTTCTGAATTGTTACATACATTTGACCAACTTTAGTAATATTAATATTGCTGCTTTAGTACACTGTATGCACCACGTTCTTGGACATTTGAAGTTTCACATACAAGTAAAAGTGACCCTGATTAATACCGGAACTTGAATGTCACTACTTTTGATTCAACTAATATGCTTTGTGATATGCTTTCTCTGACAGGGTCTTAACTATTTTTTCATCTACAGTGTGTTGTATTCATACTTTTACATTAAAAATGTAGACACTGCCAGTGACTCAGGGTGAAGCCTGCCCTAGAAAATACACAGTGTGATGCTGTGTCAGCCATAATTTATTTAGCAGCCCTCCAACCCCCAAATATCCCTTTACAGGAAGATCTATTCAGCCTCAACCAGGCAAAACAATTTGACATCATACCTCTTTCAGTAAGTGTGGTTTTGTGCAACTCAATGAAGTGATGATACTATATTTTAAAGATGCAGTTCCCAGTGAGGCCATCCACACATTGAATGTATGCATTCAATCTATACACCGATAAGCCATAATGTAATGCAGCCCCATATCAACAAACTGTGATCCACTGTTTGTTCTGACACCTTTCTATCAGAACCAGCATTAACACTTTCAGAAGTTTGAGCTACAGTAGCTTGTCTGTTGGATCAGACCACAGGGGCCAGCCTTCCCCATGTGCATCAATGAGCCTTGGCTCCCCATGACCCTGTCTCCAGTTCACCACTTTTCCTTCCTTGGACAATTTTTGATAGGTACTGACCTCTGCAGACCGGGAACACCCCACAAGAGCTGCAGTTTTGGAGATGCTCTGACCCAGTCGTTTGGCCATCACAATTTGGCCCTTGTCAAAGTCACTCAAATCCTCACGCTGCCCATTTTTCTGCTTCTAACACATCAACTTGAGGACAAAATGTTCACTTGCCCCCTTATATAGCCCACCCACTGACAGGTGCCATGGTAACCAGAGAATCAGTGTTATTCACTTCATCTGTCAGTGGTCATAATGTTATGGCTGATCGGTGTATACCACAGGCATACATGAATAGCAACTATGACACTAAAAACATAACTTTGGATATACATCTATGTATCATCTCATCTCATCATCTCATACCTTTAAAGAGACAACATTGGCACTTTAACTGGGATGTGTAGGTACTGTGATAGTAGACCTGATAATGCACCTGAGTTAAATCTGTCAGTTATACCTTCTATCAGAGTGGGATCAATACATTTTTTGTTTAAAACAGAACTGAAATAGTTATATAATAAACTGGACTGACCAGCAAGGCTGTTAAATGTGTGATGACTCGTTATATACAGATAACGTTTACCTTCAATCCACCAGCCAAATGCTTCATAAGTTACATTCCGAAAGACTGAGCTGAAACATGAAACAACACTTTCATAATCAAAGCTTAACAGGCATATCTGGGTGAGGGACAGCCCAACATATTAAAATGCTAAAATCAAACATAATCTTTTTCTGCAACCAGCTGAATGTGAGAAGAAATAATTTAACAGGGATTATTATTAATTTGAACATAATATGTGACCATGCTAATGAGAATAAAGTCCTGGCAATCTCTGTTTGTTCCTCCAGCGCAAACAAGGTTAACATATAAACCTTCGTGAGACCTGTTTGGCCTTGTAGCCTATTAAATAGAGGCACTGCAAACATGTTTTAGCAGTACAGGATAGGACAGTATATATACATACATATTATTAAGAATGTAGTGTGATAAAGATACAAAGGGAGATTTTAATAAAAAAGTTCTACTTCTACAAAGATTAGGTATTTGGTCTCAGTTTCCAACTTCACATCGAACCAAACAAAGTTCAGTAGCACATTAAATTCACATTATTCACTTAGGTCATGACAAGTGCATGTTTGTAAAACAACACTGGAGTATAATGTGGGAATTTTAAGGCGATTTTATCAACAGTACATCTTCTCTTGCCTTTTTAACATGTCTATATGCAACTCTGTCTCCTAGAAATTACACTTGTTCAGGGGCAAAATGTGTTGTAAGAAAAGTTGCAGGGAGGTGGATAGAGGGTGTACAAAGCACAAGACTCCTGAGTCCTGTGTGTGGTTAGGTTCTGGCAGTTTAGGGAAACAGCTGTGGTTTTGGTTAAATGTTCATAAAGCAAACATGCAATACCTTGTGCTCAAAGTCATGTCATGTTCTGTATGAACTTAGCAGATTAGGTCCTCAAAAACATTTTGTCATATTGATTAAAAACCTTACGTGTCTCAGAGACTGATTTGTAAATGAGTAATTAGTAATTTCGAGGAGACAGGGTTGCTGTACTAAAAAACCCTGAGATATCCTTATCATGGCAGTGGCACTGCATTAGCATTCATCTTTTAAATCAATGTAAAAACATAATTTTGGTCTGTAACATGACACTGGGGGGCGAACAGGAAATGCATTTGATTAAAAAAAAAAAACAGTAGACCTTAGTTCAACTGAGCAAGACTTTGATGAAGAAAATGTATGTAATAAATCTGAGCATTATAGACTTTTCTTGTGCTAGACACCTCATGAAAGTTCAGTGAACACTTGTGGTCTTAACAGAATGTGCAGGGTGCATAAATACTTATCCTCTACGGGCTATTTCAAAATATTTATTATTTAGTCTCAAACCTCTGAGTATTTCCAGCTCTATACAGAAATAAGGCAAACTGCATCCTTTTTGTTGTTGTTGAAGTGTTTGAATGATAGGACCTGTTTCATCAGTAGTTGTTGGAGGAGTCAGTTAATGTTTTAATTGGAACACAAACAATGAATACATATAAAAGTAAGAAAAAAGTCAGTGCTTTAGATTGTGTGACGTGACCAATTTTATGTCATGGTGGTTGTACTGATTTCTGTTTTCATCCCTGAGACCGTCTGAGGCACGATACAGCTAAATACATAATGTATATATAAATGAGCTCTTATTCCCACTCATGCATTAGCACACTGTATGTTAACACTTAAATATCAAACTCTTAATAATGCTGAACAATTCCTTCTTCCCAAAAACAAAAAAGAAATGTCTCCATAGTGAAGTGAGCGTATAGTAACGCAGGCTCCCACAGCGGCTGTCAAAAGTATCTGGATCGACTGGAGTGATTTAACCAACTGTGAGTGGAGTCCATTTGCTGCTTTTTGGCTTTTGTTTCATCAGTCGATCTCCGGCATACACTTACACCATTTGGACACGCGGCCCTGCCTCTTGGCTTCTCTTTTCAGTGTGTTTGAGTGCAGTAGTCCGTCCATGTAGTAACCATACTCACTGATGGCGTCTTCAACACGAGTGATGTACAGCCAGCTGACTATCACACCAAAGAGCTGGGGAGAAAGAGAGAGAGAGAGAGAGAGACAGGGAAGCTAAATATGGAAGAAAAGAAAAGGAGATCAAAATGGGTGCTTCTCATTTGTTTTTAAATGTCTCCTTGTTTCCTTCACTTCTTCCCCGGAGTTCTTGTGCTTTCTCGTCTCGCAGGTTCTTATCGATCCTGGTGGAGCCTCCTGCTAGATTGCCATTGCCAATACTGTTGTGGCTGTGCACCTCTCTCTCTCTCTCTCTCTCTCTCTCTCTCACTCTCTCACTCTCTCTCTCTCTCACTCTCTCTCTCTCACTCCCTCCCTCCCTCCCCCCCAACTGGTTGAGACAGATGACCACCCACCTAGAGCCGAAGGATCTGTCCTAGGTTTCTGCCTTTTAACAGGCAGTTTTTCCTTGCCCTTGTCGCCAAGTGCTTGCTCATGGTGGTACTGTTGAGTCTCTGTAAATAATGTTATAAAGAGTTCGGTCTAGACCTGCTCTATTTGAAAAGTGTCCTGAGATAACTTCTGTTATGAATTGGCGCTATACAAATAAAATTGAATTGAATTGAATTGAATTCACTTGAGTCTTATCCTTGTGTTGTAGTCCCTCCCACATTAGATGTGAGGAAGAGATGCAAGAAGAGAGGAATTGAGGAGGTCTTTTCCTCTGAACCTAATCTGTTTGTATTTGCACAGATAATGTGATGTACTGTCCAAATAATAATAAGGATGCTCTGTCACTACAGCCAGTGCAGCAGTGCAGGGAGGGAAAAGTGAATGTGAAATATATTTGCATGTTTTAGAAACAAATAAAATCTGACCTTGGTGGTGATCATAGATTGTATAACTAAAAATGGATGACATCACCCATAGGTTTCTGAAGGGCCATTGTGAAACTGTGTGATCAGCTCTGGCTGTTGCCATCTTGACAGTCCTGACTCCACCAGCTCCCGGCAGATCCAAAAATGGGCAAAGACGTGGAGCGTGGGCGAAGCTGAGGCAGGCTGAATGAATCAGACATCTGTGACAGCACCCACCTGTCACTCAAAGCAGCTATGCCCTTAATTATTCACAACTATAATTTAAACAGGTGAGCAAAAAATTCACCCCAGTTGTCACAAATGGGAACATTTTTGTACCAGGCAGTAAACATGTTTATTTCTGATGAAAGTTGGCTATTTTAATATGAGAGACTCACTTCTATGGCCATTAGGAGGAACTGCAGTTTTTCTTATTTCTGTGTTGGCTTCATTTGCCAGCCACAGAGGTTGTTACTTGGACAAACGGCATCCAAATCTGTTATTTGTCCAAACATTAACCAACTTCTAATAAATGTATCCCCCTCAAGGCAGCCTCCTCACTCCTCGAGGTTGCTCCTCAGAACATAAATAAATGGAATTGAGACATCCTTCACAATGGTGGACCAGATTGATTTCCGGGGAGACATGAAGTAAGGCAAATGAGAAACACCCCATGTATGGACTAGATGACTGATGACAGCTTCTGCGTTCCCTTCCCTTCCTAACTCACATTCAGTCAAGTCAAACATGCTTATTAAAGTCCAGCACAAGCTACATTCATAGCTGTCAGTGTGTGTATTTGTGTGTCTGAATTTTATCCTATGAGTGAAAACGAGTAAGTAAGAAATGACAGAATAATGAAAAATAGCTTACATCACTGTCAGGCCCACATTATCTAATGGATCTGGTAAAATATGCTGGATATGAAGGGAAAGTGGCAGATGTATAGTGTACATACATAATGTGTGCATATGTGTCACAGTGCCTTCTAGTGTAGATAATTTTTTTTAATGCTAGAAAAAATGTCACACGATTTCAAAAATCCTGTACCAAATAATTGACGAATGAAAAATGCAGCCCATTTGACCTCTATGTACAGGAAACCTACATGAAATGGGCCAGCATGCAAAGCATTTTGTGAAAATTGCACTGCTTATTTAGTCACTGCTGAGGAGTTGGCAGATGTACCTGATGTTTAGCAATTTACTTTTTTTTTTTTTTTTTTTTTTACAAGTCATCTAAGATGCTTGCCTAAATGCTTTATTTCAATATGCTTCTGATATTTACAGACGTGCTGAAACTAAAGCTACACTTGTTAAATATACAGGCAAATATTGTAAAAAGTAAAAAAAAAAATCTGTGAAAGTTATTGGTACAAACTTCATCTGTACCCTTTAAGTTTTGTAAAAAGTTCAGGTAAAACACTACAAATCAGATTTACATAACAAATGTGCAATCAGATCAACACATTTGTAAGACATCCCAGTCTTTTATAAACGTTACAGTTAACAGAGGTGTGGGGACCAGTGTTGGGCAATTACTTTAAAAAAGTAATTAGTTACAGTTACTAGTTACTTCTTCAAAAAGTAATTAAATTAGTTACTCAGTTACGAATGATAAAAGTAACTAGTTACTTCAGAAAGTAACTACTGCATTACTTTCAAGTAAATTTTTAAATGCTCAAATGTGACCCCACCTCCACCCCTCTTTAACGGAACTTAAAATACATGTGCATGTTCAATTATTTATGATAAATCTGAATATTATAATGAAATGGACACTTAATACAATACATTATTAACAGAAACAATGTACACAAATCTAAACTATTTTAATGTTGCTGTGGGACAAAGTGAGACTAGCCTCCAATCAAATGCCATGTATGTAGATATTATGTTTATATAGTGGATCGATACAAATAACACAATAGATGTTTTGGAACTTTTGATATTTATTGCCCCTCAACAGGCCACAACTGGGCAAAATTTAATTATGCTTGTACTATACCAAAAATAGATAACAAATATATACACTCTTTGTAGTGCAAATAAAACAAAAAAAAAAACTTTTTGCCAATCTACAATTGTTAGATATACTGCACTTCAAGTATTTTCTTCCTCGTAAAAGTAGAACAGTGTAACAACATGAGGTGCTTTCAATCTAACTGAAAACTGACACCAACGTGGATAGGCACTTTTGCCCAGGGCTTAATGGGCATTTCACGATTACATTCGTTCCTTTAATTTTAAAAGGGAAAAGTAATGGCTCTACTTCCATTTAGAGAAGGCTACTTTTGGATTATTTGGGCTCGCCATACCTGTCTCTCATTGACTGACTCGCTTGTGTTGTTCGTTGTGTGTCCCACTATGCGTGCTTTCAAACACCTGCCCAACTCTATCTCTGATTGGCTTACCATGAAATTTTACTCGGCCTCAGCCAATCGTCAGCATGTATGCGCTTGTATATACGTGTGTGTGTGTGTGTGTGTGTGTACCTGAGGCAGCAGGATCCCTAATAGCAGTCCTGCCATAATCTTATAGTTGTCCATCAGCCAGATAAAGAAAGCATCAGTGCAGCCTCTGATATGGATGGTGTTGATCAAGTTCAAACGCTATGAGTGACAAATTGCTGGTTAGGTTCAGTTTCCATGTTTATAATAATAATAATAATAATAATAATAATAATAATAATAATGTGGATATAATCAATGAATAGTTTCTGAAGATATTTTACTACTTTACTGAACTATCTAACGTCTTTGACACACTGCCCACTTGAGCAGTGCGTGGTTGCTACCTCATTGGACTGCTGTGACTCGAAATAAAAAGCAAGATTTTAATGCTCACACATGCAGTGTCATACAAAATTATTATGCTCTAGCTGTTAAATAGGCAGAACTGCAATAAATATTTTAAACATTAAAGGAAAGGAGTTTTTGAGGACTTACCTCTTCTTTCAACACCTCGTAGCCACACATCGTGTTGGCCACTTCATTGGGCTGGAGGGGAAGCAGAGAGAAAAAAAGATCAAGTTCAGAGGTATGAATACTAAGTGGGAGCCGGTGTACAGCTTTCAGCATCAAGAGCAGTCAACAGCAGGCAGAAGAAGACAAGTTTTTGGTTAAACCTCTTAAGAGGGGGAAACTGTACATTAACCAGAGACAGACTTAAAGGGAAGCACACACAATCACACACATTATAACTGTGTCACACATGCACACTCACAGATGTCAGTCCTGAAAGACAAAATTGCTGAAGACATCATTGTGTCTGACACTAAGCTAGACACTGACCACAATACTGTCGACTGTTGAAAGCTCAACTGTAAGACTTTGCATGAAGACTATGTGAGTGTGAAAAACATACTGAGTGTGTATGTGAGTATGTGCCTTATGACTCTGAGCTTGTGGTTTTCCATATTCAAATATTGAAATATATTCATATATTCAAATAAGATACGATAAACTGACAATCTCTTGTGGCCTTCTGACATAGGAAGAAGAGAGTGTTAGGAGTGATCACTCTTTTTAAGTCACTAAACAAGTTTTATTGGCTCTATTTTTTTTACATTTGTTTTAGATTTTCCAATACAATCCAATACTATGGTGTTATGATTATTAGTAGGGATATGATATGTCATAATGTAATGTAACTGAAGGAAACACAACAGTAAAACGTCAAAAAATAGGTTGTTGACTATGCTCTGTTCATTTAAGTGAAACATTTGAAAACTTCTGTCTGAGAAGAAACATTAGGCTCGATCGAGTGGAGATAATTACTGCTTCGTGTTTGATTAAAGTAGGAAAATGAACCACTGTCACCTGGCTTTAACCAGTTGTTGGAGCTGATACTATATACTGTTGAGTCACTGATAATGTACAATGCACACATGTGAACATATGGACATTGTATATTATCTGAATATGAATGAAATTATATGAGATCTTAAGCCCAATTTACATTAATATAACATTACATTGTCATATGTTATATAGTGTATTCCCATAGATTTGCTATAATGGTAGATGTTTTTTGGCACCCACTACTTAATACTTCCAAGGAAGCAGTATTATAAATAAATGTATAAATTGGTGCATTTCTTGTTTGTTAGCCAAGACTAGTCTCTTTCAACAGTTGTCAATCAGATGACACAAGACATGCTTTCTGCTTCAGGGAGCTCCTGTTGCATACCTTGTGTCGTCTCTGTTTCCCCAATCCTTCTTATTAATCACTTAATGTATGTCAATTTAATTTATTCATTCATAAAAGAGATATATGAAACATGATATCTCTAATATGAGAATTTCAGTCTCAATACAATTATATGGAGAGATGATAAATTATAGAGGCCGTGGCTTCAGCTTAAGCTGAGCATTTTTTTCCAAACAATTCTTGACAAATACATGATATTGAAAACAGGAAAAAACAACACAACAAACTGAGTACAACAACAAAACAATCGAATATTAGTTCATTATTCTATTATAACTTTATACTGAAAGGACTACAGTAAACTCATTATATTGGCTGCCTTTAGGCTGCTTAACAACGGTTCCTCTACAGTTTATTAAGATAAGATGTTCCTTTATTGATCCACGTAGGGGAAATTCAAATTGGGACAGCAGCATAGGAGGGGAATGTTGTGCAAAGAATATGAAAAATATGAACCACCAGTTCAAATATTAACTGGAAACAATGGTATGACATTTCATGTTATCAATTAATAGGAAAAAAAGATGTTGCCACCTAATTAACCTTTTTATCACAGGTGACTCGTAGTAATGCAAAATTGAATATTAATAAAATATCAGTTAATTGCTAATAGCAACACTGTGCTAATTGAATTTAATATTGAGAACACAGGATGAAGGAGCAGTGGTTTCTGAGGCAGAGTTGGCCGGTTCATCAAACTGTTGTCTAACTAAAAGGTGTTTGTTCTGTCCTTCCTTGTAAACTCTGTGGAGTATAGGTGTGTGAAATAAAGGGAGCACATGTGCTGTTTTGTGTGAGAGAAAATTACCTGTGAGTGTGTCTGGCATGGCAAAGGCATAATCACCATCATAAGGGATGATGAGATGCGTTTTAAACTGTAACTCTACACTATTACAGCTATTACTATAATGACATACAAACTGTGCTCAGAGCTTCACAGACCCACTATAAATAGGAGACAGGAATGATAAAATGTGTGCTTTATAGATGCACTTCAGGTAATCTTTAGGTATCAAACACTTATCTTGAGTTAACAGAGCATGAGATGCATTTCTTAATACCTGGGTGGTATTGGCAGATATAATTAGCACAGATCAAAACAGCACCTGTTCTGTCAGCAGTAACCAAAGAACTGCATAGATTCAGCATTGCACTTCTATAACACTGTCAGACTTGTAATGGACAGTTAACAAAGGATCAAAAACGATGCAGCAGAACCAGAGATATCGTCTTTTTGTTCCATGCATTCTTTCTTCATCGTCAAAACCTGATGCCCACAATGCAACTCGACCACCAACAGTTTGGTCGGAGGTTTGGGTGTCTTATTCTTGTAGCTGCTAATGTAGCCTCAAACCTCAAGAAGAGATTAGGAGTGGGGTTCAGAGGTCAGGTAAACTCACTTCTTTCTAACTCCACACCCACAGATTTTTTTTCATGTTCAAACTTGTAGTCTTCAGACCCAACCGATGCTGATCACTTGAGTCAGTTTAAATGATTTCTTGCAGCTCCCTCCGGAGCTACAAAAGGCTTTATGCAAATATTTCCACATTATGCAGTAGTACTCCCCAAGACCTGTAAATAGACTTTAATATGTTAAATTAGCGTACTTCCCCTTTAATGTAACGTGAAACACAAAACAGAACATAGAGTCAGGACTCCCTGTGTGTCTGTAAAGCCTCTGAGCCCATGATGGCACTGATGTCCATGTGTTGTTTTCTAGGTCAGTGCTCTTTGTTTTAAATTTGGTGGATGTGTCTTGGACCTTTACCAACATACTGTATGTTGTATACAGGAAAAAACGTTTACAAGCAGACATAATGCTCACAATACAGATTTTCTGAGAGGAATTTCAATAAATCTTCATAAAATATGCCAAAAACTAGCATACAGTGAAATTAAATCATGGCATTTACAGTGACAGTATGTTACTGACAGTAGAAATAAAACTGCTTAGGTTATAATACTTGAATCCAAGCTGTAATGGAGCAGGTAATAGTCATATTTGTTGCTATGTCATGCAGTAGTAGCAATTTAGAAGCAGCAGTGCCAAGCAGGGTAGAAATGGTGCTAATATTACCTGATACAACAAGAAACCCATAATCTACAGCCAGTACATGCAACTGTATAACAGTTAGAGCAGTTTATAGTGGTGATAATTAATACTAATAGCAATGGTGATAGTCATACCTACCTTGGTAGTGATGCAGCAGGTATAAGGGACACCACAGGCCAGTGGACCAGGTGCAGAGCAGTTGTGGTACATATTGACCGACCAGTCCTTAAACTCTTGACCTCCACAACACTTAAACTGCCAGAGACAAAAAGGATAGCAGAGTAGAGATGAGTGCAGAAATTGGAAGGAGAAGAAAAGACGAGATTAAGAGTGATGGAAGAGGATATGTAATGTGAATAAGAGACATAGACAAGAGAGACAGGGATGAGGAAGAGGGGAGGGACAAAAAAAGTAAACAACTTGATAAACAACATTTCTCTATTGAGCTGGCTTAATGCCAGTTACATTTTGGGATGAAATGAGCCATAATTAACTACAATTTGCATGTAATTATGAGTCTGTATTATGTTATTATATGTCTCTCCTTGCCAAAATCACTATACAGGTGGTGGTAGGGCTGGGTGATATGGTTAAAACCAATTTTACATTACAATATAATACAATGTTATACTGCAACATAAATATCCAATTTAAATTATAGTTTAAATTGGATATGTTATAGTCACATGTCAAACAAGATTACAAATTAGTTAATTATTAAAACAACATGATCATACTATTACAATACAAATTCCACTAAAAGACCAGTGGACATAATATCATCTAATTCAAACAAGCCTGCAATGAACCTTTCTTAGTGTAATGTTCAGTTTTTGAGTGTGTAATTTGCGGCGATACATTTGCATTATGTACTTATTTTCACATATCTACATGGAAGAAATAACAACACAAAACATTTAAAGAATCAGTTTTTGGACGTTTACATGCATACAGATCAAGATCTTTTCAATTCAGTGGAACCTAAAGCTCTACTTGTCCTCTAACTCCAATTAGAAATATAAACATTGACATCTTAATTCACATTTTTCAAGTGAAAAGTTACAAATGCAGCCAGAACTCAAAAGAGGCACCCTCACAGACTGAAGTGTTTCCTCCTGAATCAATAACACTAACAACAATTTGGTACTTGCCAGTCTCCTATTGTTGGTTCACAGGCACGAAATGGTGCGACACCAACCAATTATCTTATATTGTCCTCTATTTCAGCCATAACTGACAAGAAAAGAAATGTCATTACTTCACAGAGAAAATAAATGAACTTAGATAAGCTATCTAAAGGAAGGTAATTATTATTGGTTTTGGCTCAGAGCTTTTAAGTCACATTGACAAAACGCTGCTTCAGACAACTTCATTATTTGATTTAATTAAGTGTTCCTGTGTCATATGGTTTGTAGGCTGTTTAGGCAGCCAATCTGCTGGGAAACCATGAGGATGTCAAAGCTTATTCAATATCCATCATGAACTAAAACAAATAGGACTGAAGACAAACAATGTAAATAACAACAGAGCATTTTTTCCATGATATCCCTGGACCTTGCATTTTGACTTTGACTTATTTTTGAAGGTGTAATTTAATGCCAAAAATAAACATTATGTGAAAAGTCTATTAATAGGACATATAAGAAAATTGTCTAAGACCAGTTTCAGTTTTTTACTAAAATAATTTTGCAAATTGATGGCACTCAAAATAAATTACACCAGGCCTCCATTCATTAACTTCTATTTGATTCATACTTTCATTGGGGTGGATAGCGGCTGCTCAGCTGCCTTAGAGAATAAACACTCTGAAAAACCCAAGAGCCATACTATTAACTCTGTTTTGTAGTCATTTACTGGGACAAATGTTTTATTGGCTCTTAGAAAGTAAGTCAGAAAAGACAGTACAGGAAAGAAAGAGAACAAATTGGACGAAGGGTCAGACACCGAGAGAGACAGTAAGAGAGGATGTGACAAAAGACAAAGGGAGAAGATAAATACATGAATAAATATGAGGCTGCTCTTTGCAAGGCAGTGTGATCAGTATGCTGACATGATGCCAGTGTGCTCCCCTTTGTTGCTGGCGTAACTCTACAGAGTGCAGTTTTTCCAGCACTGGGTCAGGACCCTAACTAGGGTCACAGGAAGGCATAGCAATTAGGATGTGATTAGTACCCACAACTGTTACGTTTAAGTGCAAAAACATTCCAGCTCCACAATGAGTTACCGGTTTAGTAGGTGCAACTCTACAGTCTAATGCAATCCAAAAGTCCTGCCGTAAATCATATACTTGGGAAGATGGATGTCTAGTTCAGTTCAGGGGATTTTGCATCCTTAAGAGACCAATTTGAATGATCTATCTCTCAGAACATTTGTCAACACTGGGTTACACAACGTTTTATTCAATGACGTTATGGTATAAGACAAAATTAAATTTGACAAATTTTCATGCTTTTTCCTTTACTCAGATTTTTGTCTCAATCAAATACTCTTTCTGTTGGATCCCAATCCAAAGTCTGGCTCTGCCGGTGTCATGAGGAACCTTTTCTTTGCCATTTCTTTGACTATTTCTTCTGTTTTTTTTTGTTTTGTTTTTTTTTCATCGCTGGATGACAACCATTCTTCAGAGGTCAGTTAGAGAAAGCCCTTTGAGTCGGCCATGTCTCTTGGAATGAAATATTTGCAGAAGCAGTGACTATTACTGTAGCCAACTGCCGCACTGAGTGATGACTGGCTGTTCACTGGCAGGCTGACTGATTGAGTGACTAATTGGGTGGCTAATTGGCCAGCTGACTGCTCAAAGTGTGGGCTGCAAGACAGAAGTCAGTCCATCATGTGCTGCCTGCTCTCATTATTACATGGCAACATTGTGTAAGATCTCTCATGAATTATTATGGGTTAGCGTTCAAAAGAAAATGTTTTTAAAAACGTAACCTTTTGACAACATTACACTTCTCTCTGTTGAAACCCACTCTGGTCAAAAAACAAAGCAAAGCAAAATGCTAACTCAAGTTATAGTGTCTACACTCAAAAAAGGCAGATCTATACAATCTTAATGTAAGTTGCCAGTATTATCAGTTCAGACATTTTCACTCTCTTTCTTCTGGGGAATTACTGACATCAGTTAACTACACCATTAACCTCTAATGGGACTCTGTTCAGTTTATTTGAGATGTAGGTAAATACTAATATAATAATAATAATAAAGACTGTATTACAGTGTGTCTCTCATTGCAATGGAGTCAATCACTGATCAGCATGTTCTTAATTAACCCAGTTACTTGAATATTTGATTACTAATCATCTGTAATGATGACCTGATAAAGTCTGCACCAAACTGTCATCTTCTTTTTTCACTAATTTACATGCATAAACATGTCTGGTGTGAAAGGCATTAACTTTGCTGCAGCTGCTTCAACTTTAAAAGGGGTCTAAATCAGCCCAGTACTGATGGATATGCATTAAATTTGACATTCACGTTCAGTAAGGTAATGTTGAATATTTGAACCATTGTGGGCTACAAGTTAGTATCATTTTATTATGAGTTTGAGTAATAAATACTTAAGAAAAGTACTGCCAGATCTGGGCAGTAAGCGTGAAGAAAACTAATGTCAAGATTAGACCCACCTAGGTATAACAATAACAGCATCAGGGAGTTTCAACATGGCAGTGAATGCACTAAAAGAAAAAGCTGTACATGCAATTAGGAGAATATTTTATAATATCCAAATTAACCAATTAAAATCTGTCTTAATAAATTTGACAGTGTCATCCAGCACATTGCAATGTATGGTAGTGAAGTATGGGGTCCACTCAGTCATCATAGCTATACCCGTTTGGACAAAGATCCAGCTGAATCTTTACATTTTACACGTACAAAGAACATTTTTGAATTTTTTTAATCACCTTAAATCCAGCCCAATGTCACGCTCCATTCAAACGCTCTCCAAACCCAAGAGCTGAGCCCAGAACAGAGTGCTCTCAGATGGTCTTAGACACCCTCTGATTAGTGTCACAACAACACTTTAAACACCAATCAGAGTAAAACAAATTATAAAGCAATGTAAAGAAATCTACAAGGAACATTGGAAAGAAGAAACTAAAAACCAAAGTAGGTTAGAATATTATCTGACCATAAAAAGAGATTATGAATTGGTAGAATATGTTTTCACTCTCAGAGACAGAAAGCAGAGACAGATCCTAACCAAGTACAGGCTCAGTGACCACAAACTTGAAAAAGGAAGACAAAACATGGCAACCAAAAGAAAACAGAGTATGTGGTGATTGTTCAACAGGTGACACTGAGACAGAGATGTACTTCCTCCTACAATGTAAAACATTATTATATAAGGAACATTAAACCCTGTAATCATAGATTTACACGATCTAAATGACCACTCAAAATCAAACATAACCTGAGGAAGGAAGGAGGAAACAGGGCAAATCTTGCTGTTCAATATGTATTATCATGCCACAACCGCAGGGACAGTGAGTGACACACAGAATTTTTTTTTAAGTCATCACTTGTTTGTATTTTTTTCTGTTTTATTTTAGGTTATTATAAATGTTTTTGTTACTAATTTGTATATACATTTATTTTAAACTTGCTCTGACAATGTAAACGTCTGTTTATCAAGTCAATAAAGCCTAACTAGGCTCTACTATGTTAATATATCAAACAATTAGTTTCTATTTATATGATTTCTGTATAACATGTTTCCATATCGTTTGTAGTGGCCAACATATGTACCTTTAATTACACTGCCATCAGGCCAATTAAAGACATATTTTCCGAGGAGTACTTAAAAACAATTATCCATCATCCTGCCAAATGTCATGTCCCTATCATTTGCTATCCAGCAGCAATTAGAGAGACAGCAGAAGAGGAAGCAGAGGGATAATAAACCATCAGAAAACAAAAGGATCTCAACCCTACAGATACCTGTTGTCTCTGCAACATACATCAGTTATACAACTGAAGATGGAGCTTATAAGTAATTGCAGGTTAAAAATACAGTATTTTTAAAGAGCAGGCTGTGACATTTTATGGGTCAGACAATTTTTGAGGATCAGAGACAATTAAAATGGTAACATTTTGCAAAAGATAGATTCACCTCATGGTCTAGGTGCAAGAGCCAAATCCCACATTACTCAAGTAAGCTGCTACTGTTGTAAGTGGTGCTAATACATTAACAAGAGCTGTTGGTGTGTTTCTCTCAGAAAATCCCTGCAGCACACACAGATTTTCCTCTATTTCT